CGTCGTTTTCTGTCTAGTCTTTTCGTCTTTCTCCTCCTGTGCCCTTTCCGTTTGTATAAGAAGTCAGAAACTCCACCAAGTTGTTTGAGCTGTTGTGTGACACGGGGGCCAGGGGGAGAAGGCAATACCATTTCCTTTACAGTGGCGCCCAACTAGTGATCGGCACCCACGACCCTGAGATCGTTTTCTCTTCGTTTTCGCCGTGGCTTCAGTTCATGCTCGCCGTTTCGAAATATATTTTATTTCTCGTCGTTCAACTCACTTCACCGAGATTGCTACTACGGCCATGGAGATGGAAAGGCGTTCGCCAGCCTGGCCTGCAGGCCCCTTACCCGGTGAGTCGCTCCCAGTAGAGGGTTTGGTTGTTGTATATTCGTTGTGGTCCCGTCGCCTCACTCGATAGAGCTTGAGCATCATGTCGACGTACTCGGGGTGGTGCCTCTTGGCAAGTTGCGCTTTATCTTTTCGCGCTATCGTTCCGATACCATCAGTCTTTGTGACGGCGATCCGGTTCTTGTGTCTCTCTTGTGTCTTTCTGTTTTGGTTTTTGCAGTCAGTGTGCGTATATTTGCTGGGGTTTGTGCAGTTTTCTTGATTAGCCTTTCAGTGTGGTTGTGTAACTTTATTAATGCGATTAATAGTATAAGTGAAGCGGACATTACAAAATGATGAATGAGAATACATGTATCTAAAATGGTTGTTCCTAATCGATTTTCTCGAGACTATCATCAGGGAAAATCGTCTCACAATAGAGGCTATACGGAGAAACAAACTACTTATGTAACTGTTTGGTTTGTAAGCTTGGTTCGGTTTTGAAGTTGCCACACACGTTTTGCTGTGATGGTTTGTACTGGAACAGTTTTCTTGGTTACGAGTTGGTTCATAGCCATAGGTAGTCTTTCAGGGAGCGTATTTTGTTCTCGTTTTGTGTCGACCTGCGGGTCTGTTCAGTTCACCAGGTGAATGTCTGATCATGGTGAGCCACGGTTCCCTTCGTGAGCTGGTGGGCCCCAGTGTTTGTTTAGCCTTTTGTCGGGGAAGTATAAAATTAAAAAAAACAAATAAATAAAAATCTAAATATTATGGGTCGTGGGACGACAAGATTATTATGGGTCGTGGGACGACAGGATCATACGGGGTCGTGGGACGACAAGATGATCCGCCATCGGAAAAGTGTGGGACACTTATGCCGGCTCCGCGCCGAGTTTTCTAGTCAGGTTAGAGTCCTGTGGGTTTCTCCCCTTCTGAAGTTTGTGTGACAGTGTATCGATGGATTTTCGATTTGTTCTTTTCCCTGATTGACTACATGCCTGCTGTGTTCTGTTGCTCCATTTGTACATGTTATACACATCTTCCACATCCGAATGGGCAAGTCGTACGACGCACCACCTCGTGGAACCACACCCAAGGTTTTCCCATCTCCACGTCTGCAGCCAGCCACTTGCCGTTGTCCTGTCTTCTTCTCCTGTTATTGTGTCTTCTCAACCCTTTTGTTTTCCTCCTACTCCATTTTTCTACTTCTGAGAGTCGAGGTCGACTCTCGCCGGAGGGGAAGGCTGTGTAACGAATTTATGTTACGACTATGATTTACGCATGTCGTTGTATTTGGTTCTTGTCTTGTGGAGTCCAGTGTCTGATGTCATATATGGTCTAGGTGTACGCGTGAGCATGGTGTGATGTGTGACGTTTATGGTATGTGGTGCATGCAGGAGTACGCGTTGTCAGAGTGTGAGGATGTGCTTCCGTCTGTGTGAGAGTGACTGTCAAGTGAATGCAGTACATGCGCAGTGCTAGTTTGGTCTGGGAATGAGAGTCGTGTGTGATTCGTCCGTGGTCTGGTTGTCTTGGTCTTGGTCATGTGTTCTGTACGTATTAGTCCCTGATTGGTCGTCACGATTTGTCCTCGGTTTATTACTGCTTGTTCTTTGTTGGTCCTCTGAGTCTTTTCCCGGGAGTCTTTCCCGTCGTCGTTTTCTGTCTAGTCTTTTCGTCTTTCTCCTCCTGTGCCCTTTCCGTTTGTATAAGAAGTCAGAAACTCCACCAAGTTGTTTGAGCTGTTGTGTGACACGGGGGCCAGGGGGAGAAGGCAATACCATTTCCTTTACACATACGCCGCTTGGGGAGCTCTGCCCCGATATCGTGCAGGAGTGGTACGCTGACGATGATTCCGCCGCTGGCCGTGTCCGGTCTCTGTTACGCTATTGGAACAGTGTGAAGGAGCTTGGCCCGGCCTACGGATATACCCCTAACCCAACGAAAACGGTGCTGCTGGTCAAGGAGGAGTGTTTGGAGGAGGCGTCCACCCTGTTCGCCGGCACCGGCATCAAAATCATAACCTCCGGTTGTCGATATCTGGGAGGAGTGCTCGGCACAGGAAGCTTCAAGGCCGCGTACCTTGAGGAGGCGGTATCCGCCTGGTGCAGGCAGGTGGTGAACCTGGTATCTGTGGCCCATACTCAGCCTCATGCAGTTTACGCCACGCTGCAGGGTGTCTATTCCAAGTGGCGCTACGTGCTCCGAGTGGCATCCTGCCCGCCTGCGTTACTAGAGCGCCTGGATACCCTGGTCAAACGCGACCTGCTACCCCTCCTCTTGGGTCGGGAGGTGCCTGATGAGGCAAGCCTTCGGCGACTCCTCTCAGTGCCCACCCGCCTTGGAGGCCTAAACATCCCGATTCTGGCGGCTGAGGCGGAGCGGGAGTATTCCACTTCTGTTGCGGTGACGGAGCCGCTTGTACGTCTGATGATCGGTGATGGTTCGGGGAGTGCCGTGCCCGATGGCGAGGAGGTGTCTTTGGCATCGCCTCAGAATCCACCATTGTCAGTTGCTTCTGCTTCTGCTGCGTCCGTTCGTGATCCTCCTGGACTTGTGACCCGGCCAGAACCTGGGGTCCACACCACCCAGCCGGTTCGTGATAACCCGTCTGTCGCAGCCGCTACCAAGTCCCGCAAGCAAGCGGTCTCATGTCGCAAGGACAAGGAGAAGTCGCAGAAGGCACTAGTCGCGGCGTTGTATCCCGATCTACCCCCGCCTCAGCAATGCCTCACAAATATCGCCGGTGAGAAGGGCGTGTCGTCATGGCTGACGTGTGCCCCGCTTACTGCGCACCGGACAATCCTGAATTAGTCCGACTTTCGAGATGCGGTGTGCATACGCTATGGGTACCTGCCACTGGATGTCCCGTGCAAATGCGCTTGTGGAGCGGACACCACCCTACACCACTCGATGACATGTCCACATGGGGGGTACCCGATGGCACGTCACGACGAAATCCGGGATACCCTGGCGGCTGTCCTTGGCGATGTCGTGCCGGACGTGAAGGTCGAGCCTAGATTGCTCCCTCTCGATGGCGAGGTGCTCGCCGGCCGGACCGCCAATCGCAGCGCTGAAGCTCGTTTGGACATCAGGGCCGGGGGGGTTCTGGACAAGGCAGCAGGACGCTTTTTTTGATGTCAGGGTCACCCACCCTAAAGCGTCCCTGCTGTCGCGTTCGGAAGCCCTTGGCCAACTGCGCACCAACGAGTTGGAGAAGAAGCGGAAATACTGCCAGAGGATCACGGACGTCGAGCGAGGTGCCTTCACTCCGTTGGTGTTTGCCACGAATGGCATGGCTGGGGCAGAGTGCGGAATGTTCCTGAAGCGGCTTGTTCAGCGCGTGGTGGAGAAGCACTCTGACCTACAGTACTCCGTCGTCATACACCATCTTCGTGCCAAAATTACCTTCTGCCTCCTCCGCTGGGCCGTAACCTGTCTGCGTGGATGCCGGGGAGCTCGGGGCGTACGCCGTGGCAATTCGTTTGTCACGGAGTGCAGGCTGCTCCGGTAGTGGCATGGGGCTGTGTGGCCGATCCTAAACGGATGTTGTGACGTAACGGACATATCTGTTTTTGAGCATGTCTTTGTTTTTGTTTTTACTTTTATAATAGTTTGTTTTGTTTATCGGACAGATCGAAATAAGCATTCACACGCAGACAAATTATACATCCACCACCCTATTGGTGTATGATGTTTTTACACATATACCCCCAATAGGCTATTTATCAGACTCGAGTTTTCAACTTACACATTCCACATTCACCACTCAATCGGCTTTTGGTTTGTTCACACATACGTACCATACGCGATCTATTGGACTTGAGTTTTACCTTGTGTCCTTTTTTGCAGTCTGCAGATTCTTTTGCTGGACATTGTTTATTGAGGTTCTTGTTGCTTTTGGTTTACGCATATGCGTCATTTGCCCGTAAAAGAAGCCCTGTTGCTAGTAACTACTAGTGTACAATTAGTACTACAACTAGTAATTACTAGTGTACAATTAGTACTACAACTAGTAACTACTAGTGTACAATTAGTACTACAACTAGTAACTACTAGTGTACAATTAGTACTACAACTAGTAACTACTAGTGTACAATTAGTACTACAACTAGTAACTACTAGTGTACAATTAGTACTACAGAATGTGTAGCAAGTACATGTATTACAGTGACATAGGTACGCGTACAACAAGGCATCTGATCCGGTATGGGAAAATACTAGAAAATACCATTGATCTCTTCCTGCTGTGTCACCTGGCAGGTAGAAAATCGACAGGAGGAGACATTTTTAGATGGAGCGGATCAATGGTACTTTGTGGTAAGTACTCTCCTTCTGACACCGACTTCATGTCGGTGATGAAACCAGTTCAACACGGAGCACTGTGCAACGGTGACTGTGGCTGCTTTGTTCTTGGGAAGCACACTACTACATGGACTTCTAGTGCCTTGTTTTCATGCCGTCTAGATGATGTGCATGTCATACTTTCAGTCAGAGTGACGTCATAACTATTTTTACACAGAAGTGAACAATAGCCTAGCCACACACCTACCATTGCAGCCACTGAGCCACAACACGCACTCACGATGCATACAGTAAAGCACGGCCCGATAAAATGCAGAGTTAGCTGGAGAGGCTGCACGGCTCGACGGGCAGATAAGCATCCTTTTCTTTGCTGGAAGTCTCACCTTTGACGTCTGGGCTTGTTCAACAAGGCGGATGATCTGGGCGATGGCTGAGTCGTCTCCAACACGCCTAGCACGCATAATCAATAGCCCGTGTTGGTTGACAGTCCCGCCAAACAACTCGCTGTCAATGGTCTTTGAAACGGGCTTGGACTCACCCGTCAGCATGCTTTCGTCAACAAGACTCTCCCCGTTGATCACGATGCCATCCACCGGTATCTTTGAGCCAGGTATCACCTGTGTTGCATGGAAAGTGAACAACCAACATCTTTCACATGCATATGCAGCTACACATACACATGTAGAGTGCACATGTACATGTAAGTAGACACGCATTTCGACAAGCTACGTGATTTTTCATGATTTGGGTCGAGGGAAACCTCGGGGCGAGACAAAGATTTTCTCTGATCCTGCATGTGTTGGCCTTATCCGAGTTTGATGGCAGGCTCTCACCACCAATCGTCTTCATAGCTAAGCTAGTAGTTGAAACAGTCATGAAGTTCTACATCTCATGTAATCTATGTCACCCATGACAACAGTTCTGAGCATGTGACACGAAATACAGCACTCTGTCTTGCAGTACCTTGAGAATATCTCTCTCCTGCAGCAACTCAACACGGACTATTTCCTCTTTCCTGAACAGTCAAAATATGGCATACGCATCGTGCACACAGACATGTCCATGCACACACACACACGCACACACACACACACACACACACACAAACACACACACACACACACACGAACACACACACACACACACACACACACACACACACCGTGACACACACCGTGACACACACACACACACACACGCAAACACACATGCACACCCACACATACATACACACACGCGTGCGTTCAGGTTCGTTAGTGTCGACGCATTCATGTGTTCAAGTGCAACCATATTGGAATGTGAAGTATTACATAATAATCATTCTGAGCATTTCAGCTCAAGTCAGTGCCGTATAGCTAGGGTATGGTGATTGTACAATCAGCATGGATTCTCCTCAGAGCATGTCATATGTGTCAATGCACTGCTGTGCTGTTCACCGCACTAGCATTTTGTGAAGCTGTGAACAATGAATATCACACAACACAGACCATGCAGGACCAAAAGCCCATTCAAAACGGCCAAACTGGGTTTAAAATCTGGGAGGCGCTGCGGCGGTCAGGTTATTTACTTACTCAAGCGAGCCATCGGCATTATAGTGTATTTACTTACTCAAGCGAGCCATCGGCATTATAGTGTAGTAGAACACCATCAGCAGGTTGTAGGGTTGACAACTTTGCCAACGCGCTGGATGTTTTACGCTACAGGAACAAATCAAGAGACACTTTTATGAACGCAACTCCACAACTTGGACAGGATGATATTAAAGTAGTGGTATAGTACATGTATTGACTGGTACAGTCCGCCACGGCAAGCCGCCGCTTATGTACAACGGCGTGGGAGAGGATAGCAAAAATGAAAATAATTATATTGTTCGGGAAATCCACGTTATTATCGAATATTCAACAATGACGGGTGCGGGGTTATACCAAATTCCCATAATGTGGAAGTACGTTATTATTGTTGAAAGCACTAGGTGATCTGCACTCTACAATGTGACCTGTGCGATTATATCGTTAAATGATTTTAATAGGATTTTAAACTAAGATCAGAAAAGGACTTCACCACAACTCATCACTTTCCTAAAAACAATTTAAAAAAATCTACCAGTCATTGCTCTCGCATTCCAAGCATGCACATACCCGCACATACCCGCATATGAACACTCGCAATATGATACCGGTAATACCAGGTACATGACATCAGCAGTGGATAAGAAAATACACAAGGAAAGCGATGAGGAAACGGAAAAAATAATAATCACTCTCACTATCAAGATCGGTCAAGAAATTGGACTCAAAGCATGCAGCCCGTGGCACCTCGGCATCATCCCTGTTTGTCGGTATATCAATAGAGTTGAGCACTACCCCCCCCCCCCCCCCCCCCCCCCCCCCGGTGTGGAGAATGACATCTGCATACTTCTGCAGAGTGTAGTTTCGGAACAGTGTAACCATGGTAACCATACCTTTGCCTCATGTTCTAACCATCGTCCTAGCGATACAAAGGCTAGCAGCAATGGGCCGGTCTCAAAGAATGTGCGTGGCGTGCTATTGAAGTGGGCTGCCATACATATGATCAGGACAATGGCCTGCAGCAAGGCAATGGGAAGAAAGAAAAACAAGAACACCAAAACTTATATTAGTACGGGCAGTACTTGCGGGCATGATACCACTGATCCATGTTGGTCAGCACCAGGCTTCATAAAAAAAGTTAATGAAATGATCCCGCTGGCAGTACAGGGCATGTAAACGTGATTCAGAACAGGAAAAAGGTAACACACTCCGGTATCCAGGCCCAAAACCCGCCGGATGGTGGGTTTTAGCATATTACAATTATGCTATGATACTCCTTCAAAGAATGGAGTTGCCTCAAGTCATAAATCCAAACTCAAGCCAAACACGATTGTGCCAAAAGATATCTCTGGATTTGGAAAGGAAACCTCCAATTTTGCCGAAATTCCAATGGTCCGTTACATAAGAAACAACGTACTGTACAGGCGCGTAGCACAGTCGTTGGAGGTGATCCGCTGGCTGGAGGGGGTCGGGGGTGTCCCAAGGGAAAATTTAGAAAATAGGGTGCAAAATCCTGCATTCTGGGCACTTTGGGCATTGTGTTAAAAAAAAGTGATCCGACCAAAGCAAACCGGCTGCTATGCCCCTGCTGTAGTTGTAAGCAGATCATTCCTAGCCACCATCACTAGCCACCATCACTAGCCACCACCACTAGCCACCACCACTAGCCACCACAACTAGCCACTACCACTAGCCACCACCAGCTAGCCACTACCACTAGCCACCACCAGCTAGCCACCACCGCTAGCCACCATCACTAGCCACCACCACTAGCCACCACCGCTAGCCACCACCGCTAGCCACCACCGCTAGCCACCACCACTAGCCACCACCGCTAGCCACCACCGCTAGCCCCCACCACTAGCCACCACCGCTAGCCACCGCCGCTAGCCATCACCGCTAGCCACCACCACTAGCCACCACCGCTAGCCACAACTACTAGCCACCACAACTAGCCACCACCACTAGCCACCACCACTAGCCACCACCGCTAGCCACCACCACTAGCCACCACCGCTAGCCACCACCACTAGCCACCACCGCTAGCCACCACCACTAGCCACCACGCTAACCACTAGCCATCAGCCACCACCACTAGCCACAACCACTAGCCACCACCACTAGCCCGTCAGGCGAAATTACTGGTCAGTCGGCGACACGCATTTTCACAAAAATTTGCGTTTCACCTGCTGGGAGAGTATGCGTGTACTCGAGTCTCATCCTGAGCAAGTTTTTTTTCTTCTTTTTTTCAGCTCCAGTATAGCTGTATTTTTCATTGCAAAGCCGTCCTCGATTGTTGTGTTCGTTGTGCAAACGAAGTGGACATTCAATCATGAAGGCAGAGGACATAGGAGCCTGATTGGAGTTTCTCGTGGCATAGGACGGCCACACAGAGACACTTTGGGATTTTCTGAATATAAAATACCGTACGCACGATGCTGAGATCAATTTGTGCGATATCAAATTGTTTGTGATCTACCACATCGAGCAGAACGGGATCCAAACACAAGCTTACCGACGGTTAGGCTGTCGACCTGACTGGACAAATGATCCCTGGCTTCACCAGACACCAGAAGTCGGACATCATGCCCTTTGCCGCGACGTCCATCTCCAAAAAGAACTCCATCTTCGTCGTGAAAAGGCTTGAAATACTCAATATTCAACCGAGATTCGCGGTCTCACCCTTCCTCAGATCGAATCATTTTTTGTTGTAGCAGTTGCAGGGCATATCCCCGCCACTACTTCAACAGAAGATGGCTCCAAAGCATGCCTGGAACAAGCCATATCGAGGTTGCAAGCCACCCCACTCAGCACTTTTTTTGAAGAAATTCGAAATTTCAATGGTGGAAGATATACTATGAAGAGAATTTCAAAAAGTATGTTTCGCGGAGCGATCGCTCAACCTACTTCATTCAAACTTTGCAGGATGGTTCAGACGTACATGCTAGGCATGGAACCACAGAAGATGATATCATAGCTGACACACAGAGTCACACACACAGCAGATTCGTGTGCACAGATACTAAATTAGTGGACGTCGTCATCTTCTTCCCGCTGATCTCAAATGTACTATGACGTGCTATTTCGCCTGACGACCACTGCTAGCCACCACCACTAGCCACCACCACTAGCCACTAGCCATCAGCCACTACCACTAGCCACCATCACTAGCCACCATCACCAGCCACCACTGCTAGCCACCACCACTAGCCATCAGCCACCACCACCACCACTTGCCACCACCGCTAGCCACCACCACTAGCACCACTAGCCACTAGCCATCAGCTGTACTAAACACAAATGTTTCTGAATGGGAAAGTAAATTGTCTGAGTACATGTACATATTCAGAGAACATACCGAACAGCAATACGAGATGGGTGTAACATACCGAACAGCAATACGAGATGGATGTAACATACCGAACAGCAATACGAGATGGATGTAACATACCGAACAGCAATACGAGATGGATGTAACATACCGAACAGCAATACGAGATGGATGTAACATACCGAACAGCAATACGAGATGGATGTAACATACCGAACAGCAATACGAGATGGGTGTAACATACCGAACAGCAATACGAGATGGGTGTAACATACCGAATAGAAATATGAGATGGATGTAACATACCGAATAGAAATATGAGATGGATGTAGCCAGCATAATCAAGAAATCCATGTTAATTGCGCGGTGCCGAACAGAAAGATACGCCGATTTATAGAAGATGTGTCCAACACCAGCCTAGAGGGCAAAAGAAAAAAACACACACATGCATACGCACACCGTGACACACATACACACACACATACACACATACACACAAATGCACACATGCACCCCCCCCCCCCTCCCCCCCACACACACACGCACACACACACACGCGTGTACACATGGACGTATGCACAGAGCCGGAGCCGGTAAACACATGTTAACCCTTTGTGACCCCACTGAAAGTACGACAATTTACTCACCTCCAAATAACATGCACTTTTGCTTGTATCTCTGCCAAACATTCACCGATTTTTACAAACTTGCCACCGCTGGAAAGGTATTTCCAAGACGAAGCGACTAATGCCACACTCAAGCCAGCTACCTGCACGGCCTCTGCTCTGCGTGGCCTAGAATGCCGCTCAAAACAGCAGCCGTGCGCGAACAGCTCCAGCAAAGTTTAAACAGCCGCCATTCCATTCTCCTTCATCACATCGACTTCAAATAAACTACAGCGGAAAGCTCGTTTCAAGCGCAAAATTTTGGCGTGCAGCATGCTTGAGTATGACGTAGCACTCCGGGGAAAACCCCTGCCATGCACAGTGTGAAAATTTGAATTTTTTGATCGGAGTGAATTTTTCAGTTTTCCGCCGACCTCGAGTCTCACCACGGCGGCATCGTACCTCGTAGAGACTTCGGATAACTTCGACGTGATAGCCAAGGTTCCTCTCGAGACGTAGACGGTTTGTTTACGAAAATCGGGGAAGGAACACCAGAGATATAATATTTGTAGTGCCACTGTATACCAATTGATCGATATCGATCGATGGGGTCACAAAGGGTTAAAAAATGTTATGCAGTACCTAGTATACAAGTATGCAAGCTAAAATACAAGTACACGTTATGTTCATCCAATGTCATGACCAGCTCTCGCCCATGGCACAGAAGAAAAAAAACAGGGTCCAGTATCAAACATTATTTGCGCATCTTCCCTGAATCTACAAAGAGATTTTTTCCGCCATTGGGCCAACAAAGATGATAAACACACCTACCACAGGCTGTTCTTAGAACCGTGTTATGCAAGCCATAATAACAAGCCGGTTAGTTAGGGTGGGTAGGGGTGGGTAGGGGTGGGTTCACATTACTTATCCTGTATGCAGGAGAGTCTTGAAAGAAGCAATTGAAGCATTGTGGATGGTGTGCATCTGAACGGATCCCTAGAAGATCAAGTCACGCGACTTACCTGGGCAATTGTACTCAGTATCCACAGTAGCAGATTATGAACCGACAGACCGATCACAACTCGTCGAGATTTGCAGCCTCGATAATGGAAAATCACTATGAATAGTGTTGGCAGAGCCGTCAACAAGGCCAGGAGGAATGCTGCACGCCATCTAAACAAAAGAACATGGATTCTTTCTCACACCTCGCATCAGCCATAATCAGTGCGGGGTTGGCTGCGGACAGCCATATCGCAATAATCAGTGCAGGGTTGGCTGCGGACAGCCATATCGCAATAATCAGTGCAGGGTTGGCTGCGGACAGCCATATCGCAAAACATGGAATGCTGTTACATATATTAGGAAATTGTAAAAGACGATCAAACACTACAAAAGTTATGACTGTGTTCAGACTTGCTCTGGTGCGTACTTGCACCTGGGGTTATTGAATCCAAGTGTTAAACACACTCTGAAAGAGATTGTCTTTTTCCAGTTCTACTGCATGCTACTGTGTTTGCCACTGTTTCACGTTCGGGAAGGTCCAAACATAAATTGCAACCCTAAGGAAAAGTTCTACGCTGTCCGCTGGGAAAAGGCTATCTCCCAAACAGACACAGTACTGGTGCCTAAAACATAGTAGTTTGTTTCAAACACAAAACATCATATCCATGACGAACAAATCGACAAATACGCCTGGTTTTATCAACTTGTATGTTGACATACATAGATACAATATCTGGTTTGAATACAAGCCTGGGTTTAATCATAGCTTGCATACCGTCCTACCGGTAGGACCACGGGTCCTACCGGTAGGACCCAAGAAATCGAGCTGCAAAAGTGCTTTTGGTTGAGAATTTTTTTGAAACAATTGTTGAGATGAGGTCTTTGTCAGGCAAAGTAATGGCGCAAAATGCAAGGCTATGTCCAGTGCATTGCGTATGCGCAATTTTATCGATTGTCAAAATGGCCGCACATAATCCTGTCGGTGCGCTAGCAACTCTGTCCAAAGTGAATTTTGACCATGGCACATCAATTGTGGTGAGGTCCTAATGTTTTTATTAGCTTGCCAAGGCCGTGGAATGCATAATACCATACTCTGTTTCCATGGTTACCATGGGTTGTTACCATGGAGTTTCGTAGTATGGCTTGTGCGATCACGTCTAAAATTTATGGACTCCTTCATTAGCCCCTTAGCAACAGTTTACGGTCAAGTTTTAGGTCAATGTTAGAACAGAGACCATGCAGCATGTCTGTGTATGATGGTCCTACCGGTAGGTCCTACAGGTAGGACCGAGGTCTATGCAAGCTATCATTAATTACTAGCTTTACCCTCACACTGACTTGTACACAATAAGCCAGGTTTCTAGACGGATGCATCTCTGAAAGCCAGTGAAGTGATACTCTTTTCGAGCTGTCTACATGCCTTGAGAATCCTGTCATAATTAGGCATGTCACATCCACTACTGCTACCCCAAAACGGAACGTATTACACAGACTTCCAGTTATGCTCAAGGGGTGCTGAGGAGACATTGTTCAAAACTATGTGATGTGAAGCTGGATAGCTGCACGGGCTCCAGCAGCAGCACATACATGTACCTAGCTATGCCACCTACTTTCGAATTTCCGAGGTACGAGACAATGCTTTCAGCTTCTCTTCTCTTGTTGACAGTGCTGGAACAAAGCCAGTATCCTGGAAGAGGATAACACAGCCAGTGAACACGCGTGCATAGAAACTAATGAAGGGCCCCGGTTGAGCTGGGTCAGCGGATTTCAACTGGACACAACACAATGTGTCACGCTGCAGCCAGTGGCATGTCTAGGATGGCTGAGCGGGAGGGGGGGGGGGGGGGGGGGAGTTGGGTTCAGATGACATCCTGTTACGATCACGCACACGACACAGCCACCCCACAGGTTCACACATTCATACGTGTGCCACATCATGCACATGGTTTCTTCCAGACTGGTGACAGTAACTACAGCTCATTCGCCAAATCGGGACCCCTGATACACTAAAACCATGTGTCCGAAAAGTACATTTTGCACATTATATATCTTCATCAATATTCACTGGGCGGCATTCACTTTATCTTAAAATAGGCTTAAAACAACGGTTTTCATATTTCTGACCAATGTAAGTCATCGTCTTCGCGATCTTGAATAAGAATGAAGTGAGGCAGTGAAAACCCTATGGGCCCAGGTTTGTTGAATGGACTGTACATCAGTACACGTACATGACTGTTTAGTTCTTCACTCACATAGACTGCTGCACAAGTGCCACTACGACTGCTAGTGATCTGTCTTGCAGACGCGTCGCACCGACTTTGGAGGTGGGACGGCCATGGAAGGGGGGGGGGTGCGGGGTCCTCCCCCGGGAAAAAAATTCTTAGTTTGAAGCCAATTTCAAGCATTTCCGGGCATTTGGTGCCATTTCAGTGTACGGTAACTACAATGAAAGACATTTTGATTCTGCAAAAAAACAAGAAGATGCTACGATCGGGGACAAACATTACCCTCCCCCGGGAAAAAATTCAAAAATTGAAGCCAATTGCAAGCATTCCCAGGAATTTGGTGCCATTTCAGTGTACATGGACTTTTGATTCTGCAACAAACCACGATCGGGGACAAGGATTTGCCACGTTTGCGCTGAGATCATCGCGCTTTGTTGCAGTGTGCTAGAAAAAAAAAACGCCGAAAAAGTGGGGCGGCCATGGCCGCCCCGGCCGGTGCGGTTCTGACACCCTTGTCTTGGATGTCCTTTTATGCTTGCTGACAACATCTGCTTCTGCGTCTGGCTGAGTATCAGTCCGCTCCGAAGCTGGACTTGCAAAAACTTGTTCAGAATCACCCACACAGTTTCCTGGTGGAACAGTAGTTAGACAGCCTCAACCATGCTTTGCAAAATCCATCCAAACTATGCTGGCCTGAGCATGGCATCCTTGGATGTCGCCAAGACACAGAAAAAAAGTCTTCGAGTCAACAAGTTACAGTCCGATTCCTGAAAACATTGTCGTACAATGGTGCAAAAGAAGCGCTTGCAGATGGCAAGTAAGTTTCGTTTTGTCCCATGTGCGCAGCGCTACATCATGTAACACATCATGCATCCAGGAAAGACACGTGTCCCAAGCCCGGCGGCTACAATCGAAGTCAGTCACTTTCTTCCTGCACTGGCACCTACAGTCTCTACTCTACAGGAGTCAAACCAGCGAGTCGTAAAATCCCTGTTATTTTGGAAATTTTACGACTCCCTGGTAAAAAATACACAAGCACGGTGCAACCGCCTTTTAGACGCTCACTTCCGGCTTTGCAGCCTGGCCTAAGTTTCCCGTCAACATTTTGGAGCGAAAAATGCTCTGATTCCAATTGTAAAGATCCTACATTGATCAGAGCAGCCATTCCGAATCCAACGTAACGGCAGCTTGACGTTTTCACTATGACATCATGAACTAGCCCAGAAGAGAAGAGGCCAGATCTGTGATGTCATAGATGTAGACTCTGCAGGGGAGTAGACGGGGAAATTGCAGTATTTTGGTTCTCCACTGTCCCAAAGAAGTCGGATGTTTTTCAAACTTAGGTATGGGACATGTGACACCTTTCCGGTAACCCGGCTCAAAAAAACGTCGGGCAAGAAGTTCGTTGTTGTGGACAAACAAGAAAGAAATCATGATTACTCCACATCTATTCCCCTACAAAGTTTCTCTCTGTGATGTCACAGATCTGGCCCATTCTCGCCGAGTTCATGACGTCTCATGATGCCACCAAATTTAGTGAAAAATGAAAATGTCAAGCTGCTGCAACTCCAGAACGGCTGCTCTGATCAACCTGGGACTTTCACCATCGGGACCTGTGCATTTTTCGTTAAAGCCTGTGAAGCTTTCATCAAGTTTCAGGGTAAACTTCCCCTTCCACCTCGTACCTCCACTGCTTTGAATAACGCCCTTGGCCCAGTGCGAGATGGATCATACTCCACCGATGCCTGTTCAGTTGCTAGTGCTACAGAGGCAGTGAAGACGCCGGGAACACACGCCAACTGATTCTCCACTTGAGCGACACATGCTGCACACGTCATGCCTTTCACCTGCCCAGAAAAGAACAAGAAGAAGGTTACATGGGTACAGAGGATACAGTAAAAAATAAACATGCTTGAAGGCATCCGTATTCATGAAACATGAAAAGACACACCAAAGGATGTTCTGGAAGGTGCCCTCTGCATGGGAGGGCAGTAAAAGAATGTGCAGGAAGGCCAAATTCAACATCGAATGACACACCGATGCTAAGCCGACAAACAACTTTCAACTCATGAGCAGAGCATCCTTCCCACTGCTGGAGGAGCTCAAGACCTTCAAGAATGAAATGATTCCAATGGTCAACGTAAGATCTGCGGTTCAGAAAGGTCTCGGAATCCTTGCAGCATCACTAAAATATCCGGACCATCCAACCTACCGTCATGAGCAGAGTCTTTGATCTCCCTGTCCGTTGTTCAATTACATGCGCTGGAAAACCAGCTTTAGTGACAACACTTTCCAGATGTGCACTGCTGACTAGCGTCTTGTCAATGACAACCTCAGCTTTCTTTGTCAGAAGAGCCACCTGAGCAGATGCCACACCTGGGACAAACACAACAGATGTTGCATGTGCTATTACAGTAGTACTACTATGCAGGCAGGCATAGTGGGATGGTCTAAGACCATGATTGAGAAACAGAGGGTGCCAGGTTCAAGTCCTGCTTGGAAGCGGAAGGATTTTTTCTAGCCGTGCTGCGACCCACAGTTAATTGGGAACTCGTGGCCTGGCACGAGGAAAACATGGATGCAGTGAATGGGATTTTTGGTCTTTGACCACTTGCTGGTGAGCTGATCTACTCACCTCCCACCGCTTTAGGAGCTGCATCTGCGCCTTGATCCTTGAAGGGTGGTGGCGTTCCTACGGATGCGGAAAACCCGGCTTCCAGCCGAGTCTCACGCGAACCGTGAATTTTTTTTTACTATAATTGGCATGTGTCTTGTCTGCATGACAGACCAACTCAGCCACCGCCCCGCCCCCCCCCCCCCCCCCCCCCCCCCCCCCCCCCCCCCCCCAACACACAGACACACATGCACCCACACCACACCGGGCCCCACACAACACACAGACAAGCAGACAAACATGCCCCCCCCCACACACACACACCCAAATAACTATTACACACAATGTGCACAAGCATAGGGTGCCTGCACCACATCAGTACAACCCACATGCCGCCCAAAGAACAATCACACAATGTACAGACATCCATAGAAGGCGGGACTTCAAAGCCGCTAGGACAGTCACACACACAACACATTCATTCAAGAGTTGAAAGACACGGTCTTGACTCAAGTATGTCTCCAAGAACTAACCTGTTTGCTTTGTGAGAACCCGTTCAACTTTGCCAACACAGGACGCACACGTCATGTTATCAACATGAAGAACTAGTGAGGCTTCATTGTCTGCTGGTACCACCACACCGTCCTGCTCATCCAGACCCGCTGATTTCTCTACATCGGCCGAGTGCCTCTGTTTCAGCTGCTTCGGTTTTTCTCCTTCAGGGAGACAAACAGAGAGACAGAAAGAGATATGGAGAGAGAGAGAGAGAGAGAGAGAGAGAGAGAGAGAGAGAGAGAGAGAGAGAGAGAGAGAGAGAGAGAGAGAGAGAGAGAGAGAGAGAGAAGAGAGAGACAGACAGAGAGAGCCAGACAGAGAGAGAGAGACAGACAGACAGACAGTGGGTGCATGATTTTAAACACACTTCTGTCTACTATAGAGGAAGGTACTGTATTTTGAAATGAACCGTGAAATACAGGGTACGTGTCTGAATTTCGTGACAAAAACATCTGGGTGCATCCTATACTCCAGTGTGGCTTATACCCCAGAAAATACAGTATGCAGCAACATTCGACAGTTGAAAATTCTGGATAAATTGCTACACCGCCACTGTTTCGGGGTAAACAAGTTAGTTGTTTACGATAGGATTATCTTCTCACTTGGCCATTGTAGCCTAGGCAAATCATAAGAACCACGACATCTAAAGGATGCTGCATGAAAGTAGGCAGCTGCGAGATGCGTATCTCGCGCATGCTCTTGCATGGCTACGTAATGCATTACATCATAATACAACATCCCCTTCGTCATAAAGGAGTTTGACAACCTACATAACATACCGTACGTATATGACGGCGTGTTCACAATATAGAACATAACATCCAACAATAGCTCTATGTACAAGATAACAATCATGAATGGCACACGACGGCGTGCTAACAATACAGAGACATAGTATCCAACAATAGCTCTATGTACAATATAACAATGGCACCTCAGCTACTGTGACATAAGCGAACAGGTCCATGAGGCCTCTCTGGCCCTACACATCCAGGATTGACCTGGGTGCGACTGCGCGGCCAGACCGTGTTCGATACAGCTGGGTGGCAGGTTCAGCAGGCTGGCTGACGTCACACGGTGACGGCGGCTGAGACTGGCTAACGTCGCTCCACGGCGACGGCACGTCACTCGGCGGCTGAGGCTCGCCAATGTCGCTGCGCGTCGACGGCTGAGGGCCTGCGAGACTGGCATCCGGCGGGAAGTGGACCCGCCTCTCTCTGAGGTGGGTACGGTTGCGTCGCACTTCTGTCCCATGGTCAGGCTGCACCATGTATGACCGTGGCCCGTTGACAGACTGGGTTACGATACCAGGTTCCCACAGGTGCGTGGTCGGGCTGCGGATGCCGACGTGCTGACCAGGAACTAGGGGGCGGAGAGACTGCGCTCGCTGGTCATGGTGTACTTTCTGCTGGTCCTGCCGTTCCTCGAGCTTCTGTCGGATGGCCTCGTCCCGAGTGTCGCGCTGGTGTTTGCGAGGCAGGTTGTCCTGTACCTGACGACCGAACAGCATCTCGGCCGGCGACGGTAAGCCCTGGCACACTGGGGTGGCGCGAATGCACAGCAGTGCTAAGTGCGGGTCGGTCCCGCTCTCCCTTGCCTTCTCGAGAGCTCTCTTAGCGATCTTGACTTGCGATTCGATAAACCCGTTACTCTGCGGGTGATGTGGCGACGACGTACTGTGGCGGAATCCATATTCGGCAGCAAACTCCGCGAACAGATGGCTGCTGTATTGCGGCCCATTGTCCGACTTCAGCACGGCTGGGATGCCGTGCTCACCGAAGATCTCCTTGAGGTGCTGGATGATGGCCCTGCTGGTTGCTTGTCCGGCAGGCAGCTTCCGGGTGATGAAGTACTTGGAGTAGTAGTCGGCGGCAATGAGGTATTCTGACCCGCCGAGGTAGAACAGGTCCGTGCCTAAGGTGTGCCATGCCCTTGGCGGAATATCGGGCTGCACCAGTGGTTCCTTGGCTTGACTGCTCTGGTGGCGCTGGCACGTCGTGCAAGATGAGACAGTTGCTTCGATATCCTTGTTGATGTCCTTCCAGAAGACGGACGTTCTGGCTCGCAGCTTGGTCTTCTCTATGCCTTGGTGGCTGGCGTGCAGCTTGCTGAGGATTTCCCCCCTCATTGGCGGGGGAATCAGGACGCGACTGCTCTTCAGGATGAGACCGTCCTCGGTGCTCATCTCGTCGCGGAAATTCCAGTACGGGAGCAGAATTGCCGGCACCGCGCTCCTCTCTGATGGCCAGCCACTGAAGATCATCTCCTTCAGTGCTGACATCTCGGCGTCTTTAGCCGACTCCTCGCGGATCCTCGTCATCGCTGCATCGCTGAATTGCGGGAACACGGCGTGTACACTGACGTCGAGGTCCTCAATTGGCTGTTTCCTCTGGCGACAGTCGGGATAGCGCGTCTGCGATCGGAATGTCCTTTCCGGGGCAGTACTTGATGGTCATGTCGTACGGCTGCAGCTTCAGCAGCATGCGCTGTAGACGCGGCGGGGCTGCGCGGAGGTGCTTGAGCTTGATTGACTCCAGCGGCTTGTGGTCGGATTCTACTGTGAATGACTGACCGAATAGGTAGGTGTGGAATCTTTCACATCCGTATACGACGGCTAAGAGCTCACGCTCAATATTGGCGTAGCGAGACTCCGTCTCGGTAAGCTTCTTGCTGGCGAATGCAACAGGCTTGTCGTCCTGCAGCAGAGTGGCGCCGAGACCTTTCATGGAAGCGTCGACTTGTAGTGTCGTTGCCTTGCCTGGGTCAAAGTAACTGAGCGTTACTTCTGTCGAAATGGCGGCCTTGACCTTGTCGAAGGTGCGCTGGTGGCTGTCTGTCCAGGCGAACGGTGTATCTGGCTTGGTCAGCTCACGCAGGTGCGCGGTCAGTGTACTGGCATTCGGTATGAACGGGCTCATGTACGTGACTAGCCCGAGGAACGTCTGGAGCTCGTCCTCGTTCTCGGGGTGCTCCATCTGCTTCAGCGCTGAGACCTTCTTCGGGTCGGGCTGTATTCCGTCAGCGCTGCAGATGATGCCGAAGAACTTGATCTTGTCCTCTTTGATGCGGCATTTGTCTGGGTTCAACTTGAGACCAGATTGTTCGCAGCGAACCATCATCTGGTGCATGTTGAGATCATGGTCCTCGTCTGACGTCCCGTATGTGACGATGTCGTCTGCGATTCCGGTGATGCCTGAGCACCCTTCGAACGTCTGGTCGATCCTTGCTTGGAAGACATCTTGCGACATCTTGAGGCCTAATGGCATGCGAAGGAATCTGTAGCGCCCGAATGGTGTGTTGAAGGTGGTGAGGTAACTGGATTCGTCGTCGAGCTCCACATTCCAGTACCCACATTTGACGTCGACGATCGAGAACACTTTGGCACCTCTCAACTTCGGGGTGATCTCCTCAATGGTGGAGACCACGTGGTGCTCTCGCAGGATGGCGTGATTGAGGTCCTTGGGGTCTAGGCACAGGCGTAGCTTGCCATTGTCTTTGAGGCGGAACACGAGGCTGTTCACCCACGCTGTTGGTTCGCCTTCCTGGATCTTGGTGATGATGCCGTTCTGGATCATGTCCTCCAGCTCCGTCTTGATCTCGTCTCTCAGTGCGATGGCGTGGAGGTGGCGTGGAGGGTGTACAACCGGGACGACGTTGGGGTCCACCGTGATGTGGTACTTGCCTGGGAATTTCCCAATGCCATCGAAGCACTTCGGGTATTGCTTCATCAGGTCGTCCTTGTCTCGGATGCTCGCTGGCTTCTCCTGGACAGCGCAGTTCAGCGTGACTAACTGCAGGGCTGTCGCTGTCGGGAGGCCGATGATAGCAGTACCAGGGCAGTCCGTGATGTAGAAGTCAGCGAGTTGACTCTTGCCATCGTAAGAGCACGGAATAGGACGGGTTCCGCATTGCTTTATCTTGGATCCGCCGTACGCTGTGAGGGTGGTACTTGACGGCTTCACGGACTTCGGCTTTGGGTATCCGTTTGGTCCGACGTGCTGGGGGAACATTTGGCAGAACACTCTCAGCGGCAATATATTGCCCTGGGCGCCCGTATCCACCTTGGCTCTCAAGGTGGCCGGTCTGTTGGTGTATGTGGGCGTGGGTTCGAATCCCACTTCTGACACCATGTTTCGGGGTAAACAAGTTAGTTGTTTACGATAGGATTATCTTCTCACTTGGCCATTGTAGCCTAGGCAAATCATAAGAACCACGACATCTAAAGGATGCTGCATGAAAGTAGGCAGCTGCGAGATGCGTATCTCGCGCATGCTCTTGCATGGCTACGTAATGCATTACATCATAATACAACAGCCACCACCATTGCGCTCTGTGGCCGACCATACACACTGCCCACAACAGCAAAAGGTTCCTTCATGAATTCAGTCTACTGTATTTAGAGAAGAGAGATACGAGTATATGCTCTCCTTTTTTTTAGAGCTGGAAGAGAGAAACATTGCAAGACACTTTTGTGATTTCTGCAATCAAAACAAACGCCAAGCCAAACAGATAGATAATCAGCTTCACTGGCACATGGACAGAGAGCACCTAGTTTTGGTCAGGATCACAAAACTTGGACAACGCCGCAAAATATTGCATTTGCAGGAGCCCAAAGATGAAACAAACATTTCCTATTAAAAACTTGCTGTCTGGTGCAGGTGAAAAGTTTATCTTGCAATGTGAATGCAGTTGACCAACTGTGAGTGCAGTATGGCAATGACTCATCCTGTGGATCAGGCATCCTCAGTTTCAATGAATTCTACATGAGTGAGTGGTTCTACATGTATCTTCCAATAAAGTTCAAGCACATGTCACATGAACTGCCACTGTGACATGCAGCACACACATCCACATGCAAAGAGTCCAAGATACACGCACACAAACACACATACACACACACACACACACACACACACACACACACACACACACACACACACACACATGTACCATGTACCACTGATGTACCATGTATGCACCCGTTGCAAGAGAAGCGCGCACATTTACTAAATGCACTGGATGTGCACCCACAGATTTTCTCTTTATAACAATGATAGCGGATCTGATTCTGAATGAACGGATCAAGACAAGTGCCAGATAACAGTCTAATCCACACAATTGGCGAAGATATGTGAATGGACCCCCCCCCCCCCCTGCACACCTGGTCTACACCACACAGAGTACATCGGAATAGGATGGCCAAGACAGATATCTATGCACAGTGCACCCTACACTTACTGGGGTAATCAGTACACACACACACTGATACACACACACACACACACACACACCTCAGACCTCAGACATGCCCATCGCGGGAGCGATGATAGCGAACAGCTATGTTTTTTTTAGACATAGCAACTTGTGCTGGGATTACACCATTCAACAGCTTGCAAGGCTGATGAATTGACCGCCACTATTTTTAGCCTGGTATCCACCACACAGCTGTTTGAAGTGACTTTTTCTGGCCAGCGAATCCCTATTTTTCATTTTTTCATTTTTTTTTTTTTTTTTTTTCTTTTTCTACACACACACCACACCACATACTCCGGCATACACTGGCTGTTGGTAACCACCCAGGAGAATGAAAGAAAAGTCAGGAAGAGTCTGAGAAAGAGAAGAAAGACGTGTGTGACCATAATCGTCGGGAATCGAACCCGCAACCTATCGATTGGAAATCGCTGCACATACCACTGCACCATATGGGACACACACACACACACACACACACACACACACACACACTGATACACACACACACACACACACACACACACACACACACACACACACACACACACACACACACCGTCACACACACCGTCACACACACACACACGCACGCACGCACGCGCGCGCACACACACACGCCAGGCCCGAGCCAGCTCATGAGAGGTGGTACGACCCTAGGTCGGCTACAGGGCCGACACTACCCCCCCCCCCCCCCCCCATGTCTAATTTTAGTGTCACGGATGATGCATTTCTAGCTATATGCAGCATCACATCTGTTTGTTTCAGCGACATATTCCTCTTGCAACAGATACACAGCTACTGAAGTAGTATGAAAGTCCTCACTATACAAGAAGAGCAGTTTAGGAGGATAGCAACTCCAGCGGGGATAGCTAGATAGTGCTCCCACATAATTAAAGATACGCTGGACATTGTAGGAAAGTTGGAATTGGTAAAATCTGGTGGGGCCATTGCTGTGCCAGACGTACCAAAGAACCGGCCCCGCACACATACATGTGCACGTGGCCAGAGCACCATGTGACTTTGCATTGACATTAGCCACTGTGATGCATCCAGGACCACAAACTAACCGGCCTAATCAACAACCAGTAGGAAGTCATCATGACAAGACACACATTTACATTGTAAATGTGTGTGTACATGTTAGACTGGCGTTTGTATTCATATTGACTTACACATGTGCCCTCCCCCAACAGCGCAAATGTGTCAGAAGTACTTGTGAAAAGCAGAACTTCAAAGACACCTTGAGGTGATGATTCCTGAATCAAGCATATCCCCAGGGCAAGCATGAGTACATAAGCACCTGCGTTGAAAGGTATTCGGCATTAGTGCGGTTATGAAGAGGTGTGTGTGTGGGGGGGGGGGGGGGGGGGGGGGAGTTCTGTGGGCATCCCCCACAAGAAAATTTTGGAAAATTGGGCCCAGGTAGGCTATATGTTGTATTTGCGGCTGTGTTTGTGTCTCCTTGTCGTACATGCTCCTGCGTTTGTGTCTCTTTGTTGTACATGCTGCTGCGTTTGTGTCTCCTTGTCGTACATGCTGCTGCGTTTGTGTCTCTTTGTCGTACATGCTGCTGCGTTTGTGTCTCCTTGTCGTACATGCTGCTGCGTTTGTGTCACTCTATGGTACATGCGGCTGCGTCGTCTTTTACTCCTTTGTACATGCTGCTGCACCGTCTTCTGCCCCCCCCCCCCCCCCTGTATACGCACTTTTCTGTCTTGTCCCCGTTGTATTTGGTCGTGTGTCGTCTTGGCTTCACTTCCCGTTCGGGACTGTTTGTACCACGAACTGGTACATATTTTGCTACGTGCCTGTATACATGATTGCACTGCTGCGTGGAAAGTTAAGATAGCCATGATATGTTTCCTATCTTGTCACGAGCAGGTGTAGTCAAACAGTGCTGGCTTACCTTGTGAAGAGGTGGCCTCGAATCCTCGATTTTCGATGGCCTCGCAGAGCTGATCAACACTGAGTTCACCTGGCGAGTATTCTACTGTGGCTTGTCCTGGTGTCAATTCTACATGGACACGTTCAACTCCGGCAAGGCTGGTAAGAGCCTCGGTGACAGATGATGTACACGATGAACATGTCATGCCTTCTATTGCGATAACGGTGCTCTCCGTCTTCGCGGCATTCGACGGCCATGTCAGCACATCAAAGCCGCAGCCTTCAATGGCTGCTATCAACTGGGGCACTTGCACATTGTCCGGCTTGTAGCGAATAGCCGCTTGGCCAGGGTCTAACTGGATGACAACATCCACAACGCCAACGGTGCTAGTCAAGACGCTTTCCACAGCTGATGTACAGGAAGAACATGTCATTCCCACCACTGGCAATGTCACTCTATCCATGCTACCCTTCTGTTCCGATGAAGAAGATAATATTATGTTTGGCTCATACACAATATACCCTAGATTCACAAGGCACGACTGGATTTCATCAGTACGAACACTTCTATGGTCATACTCCACGCTAATGCGATCACTGCGCAACCTGATGTCCACCTTTTTCACACCATTCAGGTCCAGCAAAGTCGAGCAAATTCTATGCGCTGCACCGTGGTCGCGCACATCCCGCACAACCAGGATTAGCTCGCTCAGCGACGCACTGTCATCATACTCCGGCGACGGAGCTTCCGCCAGCACATCAAGCGACGGACGGTATTTCTTTAGTCGTCTCATGCATTCCTCCAGGACCGGAAGACCGTCGCGGTCGTCGTTGTAGCGCGGACGTTCCGGATGTTCGTACCGATATAGCACGGTAATAAATCCGTAACTATCGGCCACCGACACACTGCCAACACCATCCAGATTGGTCAGTTCTTTCTGTACTGGCCAGCTAGCCCCTGCAGGGAAATCCTGCAAAGACCAACACGCACTGCCCTGTCTGGATGCGGAGGAAGCGGCCATGGCGCACGAGCCAGCCACCGACTGGTAACTAGGGACTGGTTGAACTAATAGTTGTAGCTTCGCCGAGTGCCCTGAAACCACGCACACACACTTATTCACCGGACTGGAATCCACCACTAGCTGCGCACTACACTAGCGGGAATCACTAGCGTGAATAAGCGCCCGGTACGGACGGTCAAGGACTTAGGACAAAGGTAGAAGCTTTCACCTGTGTTCCACGAAACAATACGGTCATCCTTGACCACCTGGTTGTAATACCTACACTCTACAGCATAGCATTTCAATCCGAAAAACACGTAGTCGTGTTGGAGCTTATCTGGCCTTCGGTTGCCAAGCAAAGCGAGGCAATTCGGCAAGGGAATAACAAGCGCAAAGACAAAACACAACCCCGGTGACGCCTTGTCCAGCAGCACGCCGAGCGAAGTGCTTCACTGTAACCCAAGTCTTCAGCAACGACACAGGTGAGTACCTGGACAAATTGTCAAATGTGTTAGCTTGCAGCACTTCCAAAGACAGTTCCATGACTTCAGTCTTCACTCTCCACATTCTTTCCTTTTCCCACCTTCCGACGTCCGTGCAGTGCCAGTGCCGGCAGTGGACCAGCTCCACTCCATCCAGTCATCTGGTCATGACCACCTCTAGTCTAAGTCCGCCTCTAAGTCTGATGTTGTCATGGTACTGGTCAGACCTCGCTATAACGACTCTCGCTATAACATAAACCTCACTATAACGTATGCAATTATGTCCCTGCCGAAACAGCATCAGTTCTGTACAAAATTTCCTCACTATAAACAGTCATAATTATTATCCGCTATAGCGTAATTTTCGCTATAACACACTCTTCCGCAGTGTTCGCTTGGTCCCACGCGCACATATACCAGCGGTTTGGCCGAGTGGTTGTACTTGTAGGCTTGCCTGCGAATCACAAGGTCCCGAGTTCGAGACCCGCGCTGGGAGCAGGGAGCGTGTAGATCTACCAGGTGTACTGACTACTGTAGTACTGTGCTAGCAAATGCGGTGATGCATGCGTGAACCACTTTACATGCAGTGAACTGCGCCGACACCCACGGTCAACCATGGTCAACTGGGTACTCACTACTCGGAGTGAGGGTAACATGGATGCAGCTAACGAGGTTAGCCCCCTTGTCGGGCATTGCCATTGGTTGTGAGACTTACCACCTCACCCTCGCCGTTAGGCGCTGCATCTGCCACCCTGGTAGCACAGGCATGGTGGTGGCCTGGCACATGCGAAACTTCCTAGTAAGCTGGTTGTGTTTCTCAACGCAATTGTATAGCCGGTGGTAACGCGGACGTGCAAACTTTACTTCAACGTGACTTTATTACATAACCATATGGGGCCGTCCGTAATTATCGAACGTTTTTCACCAAACGAATTATTTTAGTTTAGACCCAACCCCTCCCTAGTACCCGGCCGGTACCCCATAACGAAATTATTTCGTTTTGTGAAAAAAAGTTCGATAAGGCCGAGTAAAAAAAATTACTAGATGATCGTCCTTTTTTTTGGAAAAATCGGGGAGGGCGGGAGGATTTTATTTTTATTTTTTTACTTTTTACCCTCTCATGCACACAGTGTACACAACAACATCAAGGTTTTTTTTCTCTTTTTTTCTTTTTTTTTCTTTTTTTCTTTTTCTTTCTTCAGCAGATCGATACTGACGTTGTGATATACTAGTAGTATGTGGTCCATATAGTAAAGAAAGTATTAAAGGGGAAGTCAAGGCAAAAATTAAAATTTCACCAGTTGTAGTCTTCGGGGTGCTGAGTCGAATGGTCTTGGTCCGAGAAAGCTGAGGCGCTCCCTTCCTACTTGAATCCCAATCGAACTCGCGCACTTCCACCGAAACTGGGTGACTGCGCCCTACTAGATGGGGATTTGTATGCAAAATGTCACTAAAAGCGCCATTTCGTTCTTCTAAAAGCACGGATGACCGCGATTGGCCCATATGTTGTAGTCTTTTGGACGCTGAGTCGACTGGTTTTGGTCCGAAAAGGCTGCGATGCAGCGTTCGCCCCTAATTCCCAATCGAACATGGTTGAAGAAGCGGTCACGTGCTCCTGCGTACACCAGTCACCTGGTCACCGTGCCTGCAGGGTACAACTTACAGCCTGTTTTGACCTTTTTTGGGTGCAGTCCTGTCACTCGAGTTGAACCTTGGTGTGAAAGTTGTCGCCTGCTGGCGTGGTGACCAGGTGATTTGGGCACCCAGGAGCACGTGACCACTTCTTCAACCATGTTCGATTGGGAATAAAGGAGGAACGCTGCATCGCAGCCTTTTCGGACCAAAACCAGTCGATTCAGCGTCCAAAAGACTACAACATATGGGCCAATCGCGGTCATCCGTGCTTTTATAAGAACGAAATGGCGCTTTTAGTGACATTTTGCATACAAATCCCCATCTCGTAGGGCGCAGTCACCCAGTTTCGGTGGAAGTGCGCGAGTTCGATTGGGATTCAAGTAGGAAGGGAGCGTCTCAGCTTTCTCGGACCAAGACCATTCGACTCAGCACCCCGAAGACTACAACTGGTGAAATTTTAGTTTTTGCCTTAACTTCCCCTTTAAACAAAGCGTGCACATGTTTCCTGCATCCGCGATCGGTAAAAAACCAACGATTTCGGCAAAAACTCACGATTTAAAAAATAAAATATTTCTTGGGGCGCTGACAAAAACTGGGGCGGACGGGGACGATCATCTAGCTTTTTTTTTTACTTGGCCTAATGGACGACCCCGGCCCTACAAAAAAAAAATATAACAGTCGAGTCATGATCGGAGAAAATTTGAAAAACTGGATTACTGCCACACTGCCTGCTGGCTCTTACTACTACCACTAGTCTTAGTCTTATTCTGAATATTCATGGCGAGAATGTACTCGTACTGTAATCATGGTAATAGTTTGAGAAGTAAGTTTACTTTGGGCTGAAGCAATTATTATTTTGACTTTTGAGGACGTGGACCAGACGCTGCTAGTCTGCAGCTGAGAGTAACGTCACGTGCGATTGTACTGCCTTGGTTTGACTTCTGGACGACGCTGACCTGCCAGTGTAAAATGCAGGGATCAAGGTGCACGAGAGGTGTTGCAACAAAATCGACCACACCTAGCAGCAGGTAGAGTACCCACAGCATCTCATAGTGGCAGAGCAGTTGTGTTTCAATGATAGCCACAGAGTTCAGTGTAAAAAATTAAAAATCAAAACAGCACAGCCGCATGAGTGGCTTTCATTCCCTCGAACCGATGCGTAGAGGTTCGGTTTGGCGTGCAGTCAAAGCGAAGACATAGAAGATGATTACAAGTTGTAAAGCTGATCAGCTTTGTCCCAGAACTCTACAACAGTCTAATATCACTTCCGTTACATGTACACTTGGAATCCTGATAATTCGAACCTCCAAATGCCAGCAAAAAATTTCTAATTATCCAAACATGAACCCACAACACAATAGGGCTTGAAAGTGATGACGTCAAAAACGGCCAGGGAGTAGCAAGTTGACATCAGATTTCTATTTTGGATCCACTAAGGTGTGATTTTGCTACCGTAAAAGGCCATAAATAAGTACCTGCCCGAAAGAAATACCCCCTTCATTCTTTTGGCTCTGTCTGTTGAAGTCAAGCCCGATAAACATACTGCCCGAAATAAGTACCGGTACGATGCGCACATGCAGCACGTAGCATGTACATCAACATGAAAATGACTTCTCCACTACACACAAGTCAGGTCCGAAAGTTAGTACGGGTGTGGTCACTAAATTCGAAAGTAAATACGTACTTATTTACGGACTTTTACGGTATTGCCTCAGTATGTGGGTGCATAGCAACCCACTCATGTCGTATGCAGGGGTGACTTTTACTTCGCCACCAGTTGTAACCCCGCCCCCAGTAGCCAAACCGGTCAGTTTCACTGACTACATCACCTTGCTGTGAGTAAGACGGCTTGAAATGTGCTTGGATCCATACAAAAACTGGATCCAAGTGGATCCAGTTTTTGAATTTTTGAATTTTTGAAATTGTTGCTATGCTGTGACGTAGCACTTTCAAGCCCTATATGTATGTCAAAATGCTCCCATGGTCACGCAGAGTTGCGCTATGGACCTTAGACACAGATTTCACGGATACTGAACTGACCAGCACAGCCTGCTCATGCAAACTGAACTGACCAGTACAGTGTACAGTGAACTTCGAATTACACTTTGCTAACTTCGAATTATCAGCACAAATCCCACACATTTTCTATGTAAGTGGAATACGTGGAACTTCGAATTAATCGGACATGTCCGGTTCGAGGTTCGGATTATCAGAAAAATGTATGTGGGAATCGTATTGACAGAATCGGTCCAGGAAAAACTTCTAATTAAGCGGTATGTTCGAATTAAGCCATATTCGAATTATCAGGATTCCACCTGTACAAGGTTAACTAAGTACATGGTCTTGACAGTGCTATCACAGTGACCGTAGTCATGGCAGCGATTGATGTAAAGTCGCTTGGATCCACCAGAAATGGGAATGGCACTATAGTATGGATGCATGCATTTGCATGCATCCGGCCATACGTGTTTGAAGCGGTCTTCCTTGCAGTGTAGTGACACTTCTTCTGCCAGTGTGCAGTGGTGTGCGGTAGTGATTGGACCGTGGCGTGGGTGGGGTGGTGAGCTGGGTACATAGCACATCACTGATGTATGCGTGTGCATTTTCATATTGGGAGCATAGTGCGCACCTGCAATTGGGGGCCTGGCATAGTGCATGTGCATCTAAAGTGCGCACTATAATACTCATACCTTTAGTCCTGTCTGTAAATTGTGTTTGTGGAGGGAGTTGTGTCCTAGTATTTTCACTACTATCCTGGTTTTGTGTGGGCACGTGTGTGTGTGTGTGTTCGTGTGTGTATGTGTGTGTTCGTGTGTGTATGTGTGTGTGTTCGTGTGTGTATGTGTGTGTATGTGTGTGTATGTGTGTGTGTGTGTGTGAAATAGTGCATCTAACGTTAGTGTCTGCTTCTATCAAAGCAGCGTGCTGTCTATACTGGATACCCCGGCAAGTGTAGGGTGTGCATAGGTAGCTGTCTTGGCCGTCCTTTTGCGATGTGCTCCATGTGGTGTAGGCCAGGTGTGCACTGGGGTGGATTCCCATAGCTTCGCCAGTTGTGTGGATTAGGCAGTTATCTGGCGCTAGTCTTGATCTGTTTCATTCAGAATCAGATCTGCTATCTTTGCTATAAGAGAAAATCTGTGGGTGCCCATCCAGTGCATTTGCAGATTTGCGTGCTTCTCTTGCGACGGGCGTATACATGGTACATGGTACAGTCAACTTCGCTAATAACGACTGCGGATATAACGACAATTCGCGAATAGCGACATCATTTTCATGCCCAGAGCAAAGTCCCATCCAACTGTGACACATAATTATAATGAGACTTCGGGAATAATGACACTTCCCGAATAACGACACTTTTCTGATGCCCCGCCGAGTGTCGTTATAAGCGAAGTTGACTGTATAATATGATGTGTTTGTGTTCAATTGTACTCATGTGCATGCATGTGTGGGTGCTTGTTTGTTATGTTTGCACGTACGCAGGTCCAAGTCTCCATCACATGCTCGGCTAGTAAAGAGCACATCACAAAATGCTAGTAGCGGCAGACAAGGCAAGGCGGCACTGACAGCAGCGCGCTATTCCACTGCCCAAAGTGAGGAACAGGTAGGACCTGTAGCGTGGGCTCCTCCTCACTTCCAGCAAATATATTGTGTCCTGTAGCACCTGTAAATACATTGTGTCCTGTAGCACCTGTAAATACATTGTGTTCTGTAGCACCTGTAAATACATTGTGTCCTGTAGCGCCTGTAAATACATTGTGTCCTGTAGCACCTGTAAATACATGGTGACTTGCCATTTCAGCGCCACCGTTTCAGCGCGATACATTTCAGCACCAGCACTTCAGCGCCTGATTTCGCAGCGCCAGCTTCTTCAGCGCCATGACTATCAGCGTGGTAAAGTACAGTGCCAGCAGCTCAGTGCGAACAAGTAAGGCGCGGTAATTTACAGCGCGAAGAAGTTCAGCGCGATACAGTACAGCACGGTCAAGTACAGCGCGGTACAGTTCAACGCGATATAGTACAGCGCGATATAGTACAGCGCGATATAGTACAGCGCGATATAGTACAGCGCGATACAGTACAGCGCGATACAGTACAGCGCGATATAGTACAGCGCGATATAGTACAGCGCGATATAGTACAGCGCGATATAGTACAGCGCGATAAAGTACAGCGCGATATAGTACAGCGCGATATAGTACAGCGCGATATAGTACAGCGCGATATAGTACAGCGCGATATAGTACAGCGCGATATAGTACAGCGCGATATAGTACAGCGCGATACAGTACAGCGCGATACAGTACAGCGCGATATAGTACAGCGCGATAAAGTACAGCGCGATATAGTACAGCGCGATATAGTAGAGCGCGATACAGTACAGCGCGATAAAGTACAGCGCGATGTAGTACAGCGCGATAAAGTACAGCGCGATATAGTAGAGCGCGATACAGTACAGCGCGATAAAGTACAGCGCGATATAGTACAGCGCGATAAAGTACAGCGCGATATAGTAGAGCGCGATAAAGTACAGCGCGATATAGTAGAGCACGATAAAGTACAGCGCGATATAGTACAGCGCGATATAGTACAGCGCGATATAGTACAGCGCGATATAGTACAGCGCGATACAGTACAGCGCGATACAGTACAGCGCGATATAGTACAGCGCGATATAGTACAGCGCGATATAGTACAGCGCGATATAGTACAACGCGATACAGTACAGCGCGATACAGTACAGCGCGATACAGTACAGCGCGATATAGTACAGCGCGATAAAGTACAGCGCGATATAGTACAGCGCGATATAGTACAGCGCGATAAAGTACAGCGCGATATAGTAGAGCGCGATACAGTACAGCGCGATAAAGTACAGCACGATATAGTACAGCGCGATAAAGTACAGCGCGATATAGTAGAGCGCGATAAAGTACAGCGCGATATAGTAGAGCGCGATAAAGTACAGCGCGATATAGTACAGCGCGATATAGTACAGCGCGATATAGTACAGCGCGATATAGTAGAGCGCGATAAAGTACAGCGCGATATAGTACAGCGCGATATAGTACAGCGCGATATAGTACAGCGCGATATAGTACAGCGCGATATAGTAGAGCGCGATAAAGTACAGCGCGATATAGTAGAGCGCGATAAAGTAGAGCGCGATAAAGTACAGCGCGATATAGTACAGCGCGATATAGTACAGCGCGATATAGTACAGCGCGATATAGTACAGCGCGATATAGTACAGCGCGATATAGTACAGCGCGATATAGTACAGCGCGATACAGTACAGCGCGATACAGTACAGCGCAATACAGTACAGCGCGATACAGTACAGCGCGATACAGTACAGCGCGATACAGTACAGCGCGATGCAGTACAGCGCGATGCAGTACAGCGCGATGCAGTACAGCGCGATACAGTACAGCGCGATACAGTACAGCGCGATACAGTACAGCGCGATAAAGTACAGCGCGATAAAGTACAGCACGATATAGTACAGCGCGATATAGTACAGCGCGATATAGTACAGCGCGATATAGTACAGCGCGATACAGTACAGCGCGATACAGTACAGCGCGATACAGTACAGCGCGATATAGTCCAGCGCGATATAGTACAGCGCGATATAGTACAGCGCGATATAGTACAGCGCGATAAAGTACAGCGCGATATAGTACAGCGCGATATAGTACAGCGCGATAAAGTACAGCGCGGTACAGTTCAGCGCGATATAGTACAGCGCGATAAAGTACAGCGCGATAAAGTACAGCGCGGTACAGTTCAGCGCGATAAAGTACAGCGCGATAAAGTACAGCGCGATATAGTACAGCGCGGTACAGTTCAGCGCGATAAAGTACAGCGCGGTACAGTTCAGCGCGGTACAGTTCAGCGCGGTACAGTTCAGCGCGATAAAGTACAGCGCGATAAAGTACAGCGCGATAAAGTACAGCGCGATAAAGTACAGCGCGATATAGTACAGCGAGATAAAGTACAGCGCGGTACAGTTCAGCGCGGTACAGTTCAGCGCGATAAAGTACAGCGCGGTACAGTTCAGCGCGGTACAGTTCAGCGCGATATAGTACAGCGCGATAAAGTACAGCGCGATAAAGTACAGCGCGGTACAGTTCAGCGCGGTACAGTTCAGCGCGATACAGTACAGCGCGATAAAGTACAGCGCGATAAAGTACAGCGCGATAAAGTACAGCGCGATACAGTACAGCGCGATATAGTACAGCGCGATATAGTACAGCGCGATATAGTACAGCGCGATACAGTACAGCGCGATAAAGTACAGCGCGATATAGTACAGCGCGATACAGTACAGCGCGATATAGTACAGCGCGATATAGTACAGCGCGATACAGTACAGCGCGATAAAGTACAGCGCGATATAGTACAGCGCGATATAGTACAGCGCGATATAGTACAGCGCGATATAGTACAGCGCGATATAGTACAGCGCGATATAGTACAGCGCGATATAGTACAGCGCGATAAAGTACAGCGCGATATAGTACAGCGCGATATAGTACAGCGCGATATAGTAGAGCGTAAAGTCAATACTTGTACAGTCATAGTCATTACTGGCGATGTTCACACATACATTGTTCACACATACATTGTTCACACATACATTGTATAATAAAACGGCGCTGAGAAACATGGCGCGTAGATCTGTGGCGCTGAGATCTACTGCGCTGAGAAAGGCCGTGCTGACGTATTTAGCGCTGAAATATATGGCGCTGAGATATTCGGTGCTTATCTGCTGGCACTGAAGTATGCAGCGCTGAAATATATTGCGCTGAAACGGTCGTGCTCACCTGGTTGGCGCTGAACTCGAGGGCGCTGAAATGGCATGGAATCAAATACATTGTGTTCTGTAGCACCTGTAAATACAATGTGTTCTGTAAGTTAAAAAAATCCGCACGTCCGTGTTACAACCGGCTGTACAATTACAATTGCGTTGAGAAACACAACCAGCTTAGGAAGTTTCGCTACCACCATGCATGTAATACCAGGGTGGCAGATGCAGCGCCTAACGGCGAGGGTGAGGTGCTAACTCTCACAACCAATGCAAGGGGGCGAACCTCGTTAGTGCATCCATGTTACCCTCACTCTGAGTAGTGAGTACCCAGTTGACCGTGAGTGTCGGCGCAGTTCCTTGCATGTATAGTGGTTCATGCATGCATCACCGCATTTGTTAGCACAGTACACGCTCCCCGCTCCCGGCGCGGGTCTCGAACTGGGGACCTTGTGATTCGCAGGCAAGCCTACAACCACTAGGCCAAAGCGCGGGTACATTGTGTTCTGTAGCACCTGTACATGCGATTGTTGTTATAATGTTGTCTGAAGAATAATGTGTATGTGTGTGTGTGTGTGTATGTGTATGTGTGTGTGTGTGTGGGGGGGGGGGGGGGGGTAGTAGGTACACATGTACAGTACATGTGTGGGGGCAGATACGTACAGTGCGTATCGGTTATAGTGTGGTCGTATACAAGAATATACTGCTTGCAAGAATGAACACTCATTTTTTCATAATCATAACACATATTTTATGTGTATATTTATTCTTACAAGCAGTATTATCGCATAGTAGAATATATCGGCCCTAAGAATGGATTTTGTGTAGCAAAATATGCCAGATTAGTGCAAAGTGTATCGCCTGTAGTAATAACATCTGTGCTCTGTGCATACTCAGTACAATAATAGTCAACACAAAAAGAGAGTTATGTCCAAGGGAGCATTGGAGAATCACTTTTTCTGTCCAGTCGGACTCTTTCTTCCGACTTCTCTCGTATCCGCTGCTCCGCAGTCGCCTAGCACGACCGCGAGTCTGATTGATCCGTGTGTATCATGTGTACGTGTCCACATGCCAAACGTGCGCGCATATGATTTGTCACACGTGCATATGATATGTCACACGTGATTTATCGTGTGTAAGAAATATCGGCAATAAGAATCAAATGTCGTTTTTCAAACACCCACGCTATAACCGATACCTACTGTACATGTGTGTGTGTGTGGGGGGGGGGGGGCACGTGTGTATGTAATGCTGACGTTTAGAGTTGTTTTACACTGTGGGTGATGCTCATTTGCACATAGCACGTACACATACCGGTACATGTATGTTTGCAGTCTGGTCTGCCGTGTGACGCTGCTGCCCATGTGTAACGTCTTGGGGAATGATTCTATGCAGTGTCCATAGCGGAATTGTTTGTCGTATCTCCCTCCCCTTACTTGTGTCCCAGATACACGACACACATCGAGACCTGGACAGGTGCGCCACTTTGCTGGATTCTCTGATGCAGGCGTCCACAGACAGTAAGCAAGATAGTGGTGTCTTGGTGTGCACCGGTGTGTCATGAAGCACCATGATGCTGCTGCTGCTGGATTCTCATTGAATAGAATAGCGTGTGCAGGTGGTGTGATAACAGACTCAGTGGCTGCTGCTTGGATGGCTGCATTGCAGGTGTGGACAAGGAGAAAAGCACTAGTGTACATGTATATGTATGTGAATGGTTTTGAATACAGTAGAGTGCCGAATATCCGCATCCCTCGCGGCGCGGGGCTGTCTCCAGGGTGTTTGGATGAGGAGCACTTTCGGATAAGGGAGCGGGCACACATCAGTCCAAACCGGGCACACTCCCTCCTATTTTTGTCATTTCTCATTCTCTTCGGCAGTACCACAAGAATTAGACACACTCCAGCGCCTTAAAATGGGGACAAAATATGACGCCAACCAGTTGCCATACATCCAGGGAACCATTTCCAATGGTACTTTGGGTGGGAAAATCAGTAAGAACTCATTTTCGTCCCTTTTATTCAGTTCAACAGGCATTTCGGATAATTGACTGTTCGGATAGTTGACGTTCGGATAATCGGCATTCTTCTGTAGTACCGGTATATACATGTAATGTTTGAAAACCGTACTTCGAAGTACCTCCCCACAACACTCTCCTTGGAGAGTGTCGTGGGATGTATGGTTATATTGGATGGCTACAGTAGAGTCTGCGCGTATTGAGAAACGTAATGTTTGAGGCACAACTCTTTTCTGAGTGTATGTGTCTGGTTCGAATAAATAATTCATTCGGTGCTTTCACTAGTTCACTGAAGTACAAATAATTATGTAGTCAATCGTGATATCCGCTAAATGTACACTTTCAACAGTGGATAAGTATGTGCAATTGTACATGGTCGTAAACACAATCAGGGTCAGTCCAGGCCAGTCTGGGCAGCTCGCAAGAGTGCTCTATGCACCAGAAAGCGGTGTACATGTACACGAATAACAAGAGACGAAAGGCTGTTTTGCTGTAACTCAAAGTGTCACACACCGGGCTATGATCAGATTGTCTGCTGATCCAGAGCTAGGACGCCCACCCCCACTCACTTGCAATCTCTGAACTTACACTATGATTTTTAGCGCCGATACCTCAACATTCCCAGTGTTAGCACCCTATTCTCCATGCATACTTGTATATAGCGGCATGATCACTAGACTCACTACAACATGCATCAGCCATGTGGTGTGGTCATTGCGGCGCTGTGTGCATGAAACCATGTGGTGTGGTCATTGCGGCGCTGTGTGCATGAAACCATGTGGTGTGGTCATTGCGGCGCTGTGTGCATGAAACCATGTGGTGTGGTCATTGCGGCGCTGTGTGCTTGAAACTATGTTGCGTGGTCATTGCGGCGCTGTGTGCATGAAACCATGTGGTGTTATCATTGCGGTGCTGTGTGCATGAAACTCTGTGTTACAAGTTACAACACCTGCTGAGCCTCACATGTGGTCTACCGTTTTATTGTGTAAGCTGGGTGTCTAAAAGTGTTGTTCTACAATCATGCTAATTCTGTGTGTGTGTGTGTGTGTGTGTGTGTGTGTGTGTGTGTGTGTGTGTGTGTGTGTGTGCGCGCGCGTGTGTGCGTGCGTACATGCATGCATGCACACATATGTGCATCTGTGGATGGACCCATTAAGCAGACCAACCTCGCTCGCAGCTAGCACGTGGCAGAGCAGCCGCAGCATCTAACGGTTGCAGACCGCGTTCGGGAACCAGTGATCAAAATGCACAGGCAATGCGTCAACCCGTTGCTGGCGCGGCAGTGTCTGTTGCTGGTGCACACTACCGCTCTCGCTCCTGGACAAGACCTGCACGGAAACTGGTGCCATCACCTGCACTGGCAAAGGAGAAACGACCTACTACTGGCAAAGGTGTGATGGACTTGTTTCGTAATATACTGAATGCCTATTACAAGTACTTCGAAGTAGCTTGTTTTTTTAGCATACTATTTATAGTGAAAAAGTATATTTACGTGTATAATTACACCATTACAGTGAAACCTGCGGACAGGCAGACGAGCACTCACCATGCTCACGGGACACCCACAGTGTGATCTCTGCGGACAGGCAGACGAGCACTCACCATGCTCACGGGACACCCACAGTGTGATCTCTGCGTACAGGCAGGCAGTCCCCTTATCCAGGGTCATATCAGTGGAAGCAAGAGCAATTAGAGTACATAACCCCCAAGAGTGTGCAAGTCCAGCTATAGGGTCTGCGACGGCAGAACTTCTCATCACGTGACAAACCTGTACACATTATTTGCACCCTCTGCATGATAGATACAGCTGTCCTCTGGGAAAATCGTAATTCCGCTGCCACGACCAGTGATCAGTGAAGGTTGAGAATAATGAATGGCTAGAATTAATTTGAAAGCATAGTTTTATAGAAAGAAATGAAGAAGCGCGATGCCGCGCTTAGAGGTACATGTAACAGACGTGCTATGTGCCAACAAACGGAGAAAAGGTGCAAAATGACACTGCTACGCGCCATAAGTGTACTGAGGACATCATCGATACTTGCACAACAGATTCTAGCACTCTGAAATACTGTAAATATTATAGTCTACATGTACACGTACTGAAAATAAGGGTGACTGTTCTGACATAGCGCTCCAACACAGTACTGCAAGTAGTCATGCGAGAGCACAACAGCCATTTCATGTAATGGACTGATGAACGTTGTACGCAACCCTGCTTTGGGTTCAACTCTCTTGTGGTCACTTTGCACTGTTTGCAAGCGTAGCCTTTTGAATCACGTCACGTGATGTGAAGTTCTGCCATGGCAGCACTGTATAGAGGTTGTGCAGGCAGTTGCACACTCTTGGCGGTTATGTACTCTTGGTGGAAGTGATACCCTTTGGTACTGGATTTTGGGGTCCTCTAGGGCAGGTGGTCGCCTTATCAGAGTGGTCGCTTTGACAGGTTTTACTGCACGTTGTGGAGTACAACAGACAGTGACAGTGACAGTGACAGTGACAGTGACAGTGACAGTGACAGTGACAGTGACAGTGTACTTTTGCATTTTGTGGTGTAGAAAAATTCAGTACATGTACCTGTACCTCCTATCTGCCCGGCAGTTTTATTTTTGTCACTAACCTGGCCTTGCGTTCTGCCCATGCTATCTCGCAGCTCACAAGGTATCTGCTGTTCCCGTCAGGGGAATGTCCACCACCTCGGCCAGGCGAACATCCCATCTGCAGTCTGGCAAAGCTTCTCGCTCGACGTCAGCCCGCGGCGCCGGTGGCAGAAGCAGCAGTCAGGTCCGCCGTCCACCATCTGAGCTAGAGTGGACATTTGACAGTGGCAGTGATGGTGGAATTATCTGCATGCCAAGTAGGCATGTGCGTCGGAAATCCGACCCAAGTGTGTCAGTGGAGACTGCTGTTCCCAAATCATCATTGGATGGAGCAGGAGAGGCGATAAGCAACGGTCGGCAGGAAGACGTGGAGGTGCAGTTCGATAGCATGGAAACGACAGATCTACTGCAAGCACTGTTAACGAGAACTATTGATACAGGTACGCGTGTGTGTGTGCATGTGTGTGTGTGTGTGTGTGTGTGTGTGTGTGCGTGTGCGTGTGTGGTGTATGTGTGCATGTACGATATGAAACGGGCATGCTGGCATGGAAACAGCCCGATAGTGCAGGCTCCACTCGATTCAGAGCATGCCGCTTCTAGATTCTTTCTGAGGAGGCAATTGTACTCTCGCTGGATGCATCCCTGGTAGATTTGCAGTGCCTGATTGGTTGGTTTTCTCGCATGTACTTCAGTATCACTATTGCTCTGTGTTGGTTTTGTTTTTCAATGTGCCTGCTGAGTGGTTCTGTGTGTTTTCTTGCTATGTGCATGGCCCCATAATGCATTGCGCTTTACCTGCAGGTGACTCTGTCCTGCAGCAGATGGTACTAGCACTGTGCTCAACGGCACTGAAGCCATGGATTACGTCACAGCAACCGCCAGCAGTAGCACTGAAAGCTAGATCTGAATCAAGTGCAGCTGATTCCAGACCCAACCTAGGAGACCCGGTATCCGACAGTGAAGCAAGCAACGCTCTGAAATCTGAGAACGCGATGCTGAAACGGTATGTTTGCTACACGGCATGAGTGGAATGTGCTATAATCCTGCAACGTGTAGGCGATGTACTTGAATAGTGCAGTGTCTTATGATGCTTGTCTGACCTTGTTCGCTGGCCCCTTTCTTTCTAGGAAGTTGCAGGAAGCTCTACAGAAGGCACAGGTAGCAAAGAACCGATTAAAGGACGTGGAAAAGCTATATTTGGAAGGTGAGTGGTGTCAGAGACTCTCGGAATGAAGATTAAATTCAACATGTGTACATGGATAGCAGTTTGTCTGGCAACGTCGGCTCTATTTCAGTTTTTAAGCTTCACTGTCAGCTTGTTAAGCCGGAGTTTCGCTGAGTTCCGTCGTCTAGCCTCTGCTTGTGTGCAATGTGGCTCTCTGACAACCTTCTGTCTTCATCATCACCCTTGTTGATTACAGGTGTCTGAAATTGGACTCGCCACTGCCGAAAGCTCCGCTCAATCACTGTATTGTTCTTGAAAAGCGAAGCTGCTACTCAAGTCCCTGTGTTTGTGGACTTTGCTCGAATGGGGAGGGTTTGGAACGTGGATCATGAGCGATCTGAATCATCTGATGATCTGAAAAGGAAATGTGTTGGTCTTGCTGCTAGGCTAGAGCAAATGACTGTTGTTATGTAGATGTACCGCATTATGTGTACTGTAGTGCTGGGTTGTTTCATTTCCTTCCTGTTCAGCTCAAACTCTCCAGGATAGCTTTAATGCGGAACAGGAGTTAACAGTCACCCTGAGAGAGCAGCTTGTGAAGAAGACGTCGGAACTCGATCAGGTATTTAGCGTATATCTATTCTCTGACTGTGTATATATAACTGGGATGGAGCTTCATTTTCTTGCATATTGGCACTCAAACCTGCATCCAACTCCAACTCCACTCTCAATTCTTTACCATTCCATGAGAGTCCAGGCATTTTGCAGTATCCTTTTTAGCATAGAAGTGTTTTAGCTGACAAGCGTATTGCCACCCCTCTGCAGTCACTGAACTCCGGTTTCATATCGATTTGAACAACATTCGGCCATTTTACCATCATTGCTTCGGTCGATGTGCTGCAATAGAGGAAAAACGGTTGAACACCTAGATGTCTAGGCAATACCCTGACAGGTTATCACCTGGTTCATGTGCTGGATTGTTGCTCATAACGTTACTTCCAAGTTAGCTTGTATCCAGTTGTTCTTTCTCTCTTTAGCAGCTCAGCCAATCATGTCTCCTTTTGCTGTGCATCATCCAGCTTTTTCAAGCAAAGGAGGCTGAGAAAGATCGCATGCAGAAGAAAATATCATCCGTCGTAAGTAACTTAGGTTCCTGTTACATGTACTTCCTTCTACGCGGCGGTGTACCGTGTAGTGGCATGGAACGAGAGAGCTGCTAGCTCAAGGCCCTGGCTATGCTTGTTCTTCACCTAGGTCACACAAATAACTCATTTCACTGAGTTGACTGTCATGTGGTACGTGTGACCTTCTGCGCCCCTCTGCTACGTACGCCACCTCCAACTCTTTATTGCTCACGGGGACCAGTCATGTACATGTAGTTCATGCCGGCCCGACCATGCACACATGCACACACACACACACACACACACACACACACACACACACACACACACACTTGTACTTGTTGTTGCTCACTGCCATGACTGATCACACGAGTCTCCCCCCCCCCCCCCCCCCCCCCCGAAGAGGGGAGAGAGATTCAAAAGGAATGTAGGAAAGATGACTCAATTGGCTATTGAACCGCCCAATGGCCGACACCCCCTGAAATCCCCAAACTTTGGGTGGACTTGGAAAATGATCCCACTTATGGGCTCACCACACCTCAGTAAGTGGGCAAGGTCAAGGTGCAGAAAAGGGATTGACGGCATCAAGGTATCCGTCCTGGGATCCTACTGCATTCGCCCCTGCCCCCAGTGAAGGTAATACTAGCTACTAGTGTGGGTGGCTAAATCAGAGTGGATCTGATATAGGCTTCACTAGCACCATTGGTTACACAAGAGGTACTCTAGCCAGAAGTAGTCACACACGCGCACACACACACACACACACACACACACACACACGGACACAGGTACAAAGTAAAGCGCTGTGGACCCTGGCTACACCAGATACCACTGCGTAGCATCTCTAGCATAGCTTCGGCAGGCCCGGCGCAACCGGTCCGGTTGGTCAGGCCATGGCCAGACCAACTGTTTGGCCACCCGCAACGTGTGTTTATTGCTGAGGAGGTCATGTATTCCATGGCATCCTGAGTACTATCCTCCATATCATACACAAACTATGACACTAGGCTAGGGTATGGCCGGACCAAGTATCAAAAACTGCTCCCGCCGTTCCTGTTCGGGAATAATAGTGCCCTTCCCTGTACTGAGTAAATAATATCGCTCAGTCTACATTACTGTACTGTCTACCTTCTCATTTGTCATTAGGAAAGTCAGCTTCAGCAACAGATAACGGCTGCAAGAAGCAGCCGTGTGCATTCGCTCCAGTATACCAAGCCATTTGAATCCACAACAACAGTACAGCCACTGCACCCAGCGGCTGTTGTAGCGACAAGCTCAGCTCCTGGTCTGATGCCTTCCAGTTATATGTCAGTAACGAATGTACGGTCATGCATGTCCACTGCATCATCTAAAGATGAGCCTACAAGTGCGGCAAGCACTACTATACAAGCAACGGCTGAGGAATCATCCTTCATGCGCCTGCCTTCGCTATCATCTCTCCTGGTGGATCGACACGCTGTATCTGAATCGGCTCCGTCGGACTCGGGAGCTGACGAGCTCACTGTAGCCAATGTCCGTGCATTTGATAAGGTTCATCCTGCTGTGAAGCTTAGCGAGCAGGCATCAAGGATACCTACATCTCCTTATCTTCCTGACAGCGTTGCTGATCGCACTCTGACGTCCATACCGGACAGCGAATCTACTCTGAATATTGCAGGTGAGCGTGTCCAGCATCCTGCAGCCGCAGGGAGAACGTCGTTCACATCATGCTCTGGCATTGCTCCCATACCAGATATCATCTCAGCTGCTGTGGCTGAACTGGACCTGAACTCCAGTGTGTCCTCTCTTGACACAATGGTACCAAACACGAAACAATCATTCTCACTGCAGCGGCCCATTGCTTCCACGTCAACTACTGCTTTTATAGAACCTGTCGCGTTGTCCATGGGAGGAGATGGTGGCGTGCCGTCTTCTAGCAGTGGTGGCAGCGGAAATGTGCTAACAAGAAATTTTGTTTTGGCTGATCTGGCCAGTGTCAGTGATATTACGGGCTCGTACGCTGATGAAGAATTTCAAGCAGGCATGGCGGCACTGGATGCTGGCATTCAGAGACTGCGGCAACAGTTGAACACCGGCAGTGCAGCGTCATGACGTTGCAGTTCAATACCAGCAGTGCAGCGTCATGACATTGCAGTCGAACACTGGCAGTGCAGCGTCATGACATTGCAGCCTGCTGCCTGCGTCTTCCTGTACGCTGTGTTGTTGTTGTTGTTGTTGTTGTTGTTGTTGTTGTTGTTGTTGTTGTTGTTGTTGTTGTTGTGGAGAAATGACTGTTGCACAGGACTGACTGTTTACTACTTCAACTGGCAATATAGTCGGACCTTCATACATGTGTTGTTGACCTCACCGCACACGCATACATAGCACCGTGCACTATGATAGAGTCACGTATCAACACAAGCACGCCTCATATACCTGATGTAATAGAGTATTAGACACATTCTTCAGCCTGTGAGATACAAACACGATTTAGAATCTTTTTTCTTGATTTTTAGCTGTTTGTACTTCAAAGTACTTTTAAAAGTTAGGTCCTAGCACAGCTTGAATGTTATTTTGTATGACAGGTTTCTGTGTGTGGAATTACTGGTCTGTTTTATTCACAGTTTCTGTGCAAATCTATTTCTTTTCATAGGCCAGGTTGCCCCTAACTTCGAGGTCCGGATAAAAGTTATATGAGTATTACTGTGAAGGGGGTGCCCGCTAGGTGAGGTTCTCGTATGCGCTAGCCGTTGTGCTAGCACCCCCTAGCCTAGCGGCCACGAGTCACGACTCGTGAGCTCTGGTGAACTGGGATCACAACCAACAACCTGGTTCAACTACACAAAGAAAATTAATGAGGATTTCCAAGGCTGCGTTAACACGAGAATTTTCAACCCGGGTTGAAAAAATAGGTGTTTTTTTTTGCATGGAGAGAGTTGACCCGGGGCTGATATGCTGACAAAAGTCCACTTCTAGAGTGTCAGTCCTGTATGGTCGCGTGGCTGTTTTCCTGTGGGGTGCTGTGCCAACCTGGCGTGAAATACGCACAGAAGTACGGTAGTACGCTTTCTCAATATCAACCATGGGGGGGGGTTGAAATCAACCCAGGTCGAACACAATGCGTCACGCAAATCCTCCAGCCAATCTCTGTTCATGGCAGGTAAAAACTCGGAGATGAAAACTCTTTTGTAAATGCAGCCTAACTACATGTTCATGTACATCACACACACAAAACAAATTGAACTCAATTATTTCTAGACCAAATTCAAGAAAAAGACTAAAAGACTGAAATAATTACTTGTCGTTTGATAGAAGAAATAACAGAGGCACTAATGTTGCAGGATGGCCATCGTGGCTGGAGCTCCTGTGTAGGGGGTCGTTACCAGTGACGACGAGGGGCCATCTGATCAATATTGCGCATGGTGCATTGCAGCCAGGCCCCCCTAGCTGAAGACGGACTGTCTAAGAAGAAATATCAACGGCGTAGTCTGACGTTAGTCTGTCGCAAAGACCGTGTCCTCGGTTGGGCATATGATAGGATCATGCAAGTCAAATGTTGTACGTTTCTTGGTGCTTGGTGTTAGCATGTTATTCCACATGAGTTTAGCCATTGTCTGATGGGCCAGTAAACTAGGATGAAAGCAGTCCAAAGAAGAGATGAAGTCCAGTGGGAGGGTTTCTGCAGTTCCATCTCTAAAAGCCGGCTGAAGAACGGCCACAAACTCATCGCTGCGGTTCTTGGCAAAGTCACGCACAACCTTCTCCAGCCGCTCATTGTAGGCGACCGCTGCTTCATCCATGTCTTTGCGCCTTTCGTCGGCAGCTGAGCCGTTCCAGAAGGCACAGCTACACTCCACGAAGAAGTCTGAATGTATGTTCTCACAGTGCTTTGAGCGCAGCGACACCGTGTACACCTGAGACACATTGAACATCTGAACAACATTGACAAACAAGCGCGGCACCTCATCACGCAGCTGCGTGAGTGCCTTGCGAAAGTACAGCTCGTAATCATCCGGTGATGTTGGCTGAGCGTGTGTGGCACCGCAGCGCAGGCACATCTCGTTGGCACCTACAAATATGGTCAGCACTTTCCAGTCTTTACGCATGTCCACCTGCTGCATCTTCTTCAGTTCACCAATGATGTAATCCACTTGACTGTTGAGTGTATGTATCATATCGTACATCATCGCACCAGTTTGGGCTGAGTTGAGCCTATCCTGGACAGGTTCATGAAAGCTGGGACACAGGTACCCCCAACACACCTCCACCTGGTGCGAGCCAAGACTTGCGCCCACCAAATCCGGACTGAAGTGACGTATTATCGTGGCCAACGTGTAGGCCTGCGCATCTCCACCGATGCTCCACGACTGTCCTCTGTATTCGATCAAATCTTTGAAGACCGTGCCCTGTTTGCCCATCATCCCGAAACCCGCCGTGATGCTGTCACCCATAGCCATCACCACACGAACATCCTGTGGCCGCAGTGCGTGCACGCTGCTGGTTGTCTCGTTCCGTTCTGGCAAGCGTTTGCAATTGAATGGCGGAGGTATCATCATGCCGCGATTCCCGGTATTCCCATATTGGCTGGAATAGCCGTCCACGTCTTGCTGCCTAGTAGTAACGACGTCCGCCGGATCATTTTGCGATCGTATCTCCACTGCCAGCAGCAGCACTAAACAACAAGTGGCGAATGCGTACGGGAATCCCTCCAACATTCCGAGCAAGAGTTCTATGGGTCAGTCAAAAGTGTCGATCTCCTCTTCCTGGCTTTAGCGAATATTCTACTATACGGAATAGTGTACAATATTAGTAGTAGTAAGATATTTCCCGAATGATAATTTTAAAAAAGGAAAAAGCCTTACGTCACGGCTACTAGTACACCGGATACCATGGATACCGGTACAGCTGTACCAAGAGTCAAGACTACGCGGCCGGGGGCGGCGGGGGGGGGGGGGGGGGGAGGGGAGCACGCATAAGCCTTGTTTTTCAGTTGTTCAAACATGAATGATTTTGTTGTTGGTTGACACAATGACAGCATGTAGTGATGACTGATGTAGCAACCGTGAATGTCTGTAGAAAGGTCACTGTTTCCGAACACGATGTCCTCCACCTACACTGCTGGCAACCGAAATCCGACCCCTGAGCCGTGCGCTCACATCGCAAAGACCCAACACGGCCGGGATGGTAAAACTACGAAACAGGGACCGCTAGAATGTGGACGCACCGCTAAGGGGTCGGATTTCAGTTACCAGCACTGTGTACTGTCAACCAACAAGGACGGTTGGGCGGCGCTTGGACCCGGTTGAAAATATAGTACCGGGTCACCTGTGACCCGGTTGGTACTTTACACTTTCGAACTTTGAAAGGACTGACCACATGGCTTGTAAAGTTGTATGTGTCAGATACTTCTTCTTCTTTCGTAATTTTCTAATTCCTGCACTCTCTTTTCTAAATGCGGCTTATCCATTCGCCTTTATGTCATTGGACCTAGTTCCCGTTTATTGTCCGAATTAAAATAAACCAACCAACCAGTTAAAGCATGTGCCTCGGCTGGTGAGACAGCGCCAGGTACATGTGTACCCGGTTACGACCCGGTTGAAATGGTTGCACCAGGTACACGTGTACCCGGCTGTCCTACAATCCTAGAGCAGACACTGTGTAGATAAATCTTGTTTGTTCAAACTGTGTTGGTTGGCAGCTTGTAACAAGGTACAAGGTGGAGGGCACCGTGTTCGGAAACAGTGACCTTTCTACAACCACCATCCAAGTGCACGGTTGGTAGAGCCCAGTGGCCCAGTCCATCGCAAGACTTGCAACCAGGGAGTCGTCAAATATTTGACAACTCCTTACTGCCCTTACTCCTTAGCTAATTAGAACTAACGTGTTACTTTGAAACTCCACTGTAGCCTTGTCATATTTTTCAGTATACATGTACATGTACATGTCAGGGGCGTAGGAAGCAGTTTAATATTGGTGCGGCGAAATTGTGAGAGGGGGTCAGGGGTCCTCCCCCGGGATTTTTTTGAAAATTGGGCCTAAAAGGCCATATTTTAATGCTACAGAATAATATGAGAAATAAGAATATGCATGCTGATGATACACCGCATTGTCGATGTAAAACATGGTACCTGTACAAGAGTCGAGAAGCCATCAACAAGGTTAAAAAAATCGAAAATTATTGGTCCGGCGACCGCCGGGCCTGCCGGACCGGTTCCTACACCCATGATGAACTAGTACCCAACTCGCAACACACAAACAGTCCTTGGCTACACCACGTACATTTGTACAGTTGAGATTGTCCAGATTTTCATTCACCCAGGAGAGCATCATCAGGGATACTAGTAATAGGAGAAGAATGATACAAAGTAATGTAGTTGGCTGTTAACTCAATACACTACTGTACTACATGTAATCTGAAACAAGTAGTTACAAGCTAGCACTAAGACATAACCAGGGAGTCGTATAGTCCATACCGTATACGACTCCCTGGACATAACAATAATAACAATGTAAGTGAGCATTTCATCAAGTGCAAAGACTTTAAGTCGGCGTGACACAGGCCTATATGGACCATGTTTGAGTTGATGTGTGTGTGTGTGTGGGGGGGGGGGGGGGGGGTTATGTCTGTGTGTGTGTGTGGGGGGGGGGGGGGGTTATGTCTGTGTCTGTGTGTGTGTGTGTGTTTCACTGTTTGTGTGGTGAGCGGGGAGGGGGGGGGGGGGGTAACGAGTCAAGTATGGACTTCTCAAGCTCTCAAGTCAGGTGCTATGTGGCTACCCATTCGAGGTGTCGAATCTGAGATCATCCCACACTCCGACTGTACTCGTTGGGACTCCGGAGTCCTGACCTTACCTACATGTAGTACCTCTGTCCTTACTAATACAGTAATAGTAATAAATACTAACCTTAGTGGCTTAGGCCTCATTTACACGACAACGATTGAAAAACGTTTTTCAATCGTTTTCGAAACGTTTTTGCTGTTTACACGAAAACGATAATCGTGTACACTGCAACACGTTTTTCGGCGCGCAATGGTCACGTGCAAGAAGTTGGCCTGGCGCAGGCTGGCGGTGGCATGTTTTGAGTACAGGGCTCGTACTAGAAAAACGTTTTTGCCGTTTTATACACGAGAACGAAACGGAACGAAAACGATTGAAAAACACTTTGAAGGCCGTTTTTCGTTTGAAACGTTTTTGAAACGTTTTTCAGCGTTGTCGTGTAAACGCTCTTATCAAAATCTGTGGAAGCGTATTCTTTTGAAAACGTTTTTCAATCGTTGTCGTGTAAACGAGGCCTTACTTAGATGACTGACTGACTGACTGTAGTCATGGTAGTCTACCGGTAGTCGTGTGTACAGTCACCATGGTCACACTCACACTCACGGTGACTTTGCCTTCTTTTGCCAAGTACGTTACTGGTGAGCTAAATCACCATGGTCACTGTGCACATGTGGCCCACAAAGGGCCACGTGCACCAGTGCACACACTGCCGGCCGAGCGCGAGGTCGGAACGCGGAAGAAGATCAGATCAGACTCAACCCATTAGTAGTACTACATGTAGCATTATGTGCAGTGCCACCCCGGTCCGCCGTGCCAGCACATGCACAGACTGACAGTCTGTGTCGTGGGCGGGTATGGTGACGGCACCATCCGCATTTGAAAAAACCCAAGCATCGAACAAATGAATCGAGGAGTCCCGCAGAGCTAGAGACGAGATCGTCGCGTTGTCAGTCTTGTTGTTGCACACCAGAAATATTTGCAGCGCAGATCTTCTACTGAAGCGGTGGCCGGTACGAGAGACCGAGCATTTGAGCGAGGATCGCTACACACGAAAATGGTGGGGAAAGATGAAGGCGAGACGAAGCCGCTCTCCAGCTCGCCCGGGCCCGACGTTGCTCGAGGCAGATTTGAGAATACACCTCTACATTTGTCGGTGTCACAGGGCGATGCACCTCGCATTGCTCTGATCCTCAAAGAACCCTCTGGTCAAGCATGCCTCGAGCAGCTCGGCGCTAACCTGTGGACGCCGCTGCAGGAGGCGTGCTTCTTCGGTGATGACGAGGTCATTGGTGTGCTGTTATCGCATGGTGCAGATGTACGCACAAGCGACGGGCTGAACGGGCGTACGGCACTGCACATAGCTGCACAGCAAGGCGATGCGGACGTGATCGAGAAACTGCTAGCCAGCTGCACACTAAACATGGCTGATAAGAGGCAATGGATAATGCAGCCGGACAAGAATGGAGATGCGGCGGTAGATGTTGCCAACGAGCCTTGCCGGAAAGCCATAGGTAAGATCTAGAGACAGGGACTGTACAGTCATGTACCTGTACTTTCCCCCGGTGGCATTATGGGGTTCGAATTATCAAGCTTCCACCTGGTTTGTACCTGTGCCGGTAGGCCCGGTACGCATCTGTATGTGCGGAAAGGCTGTGCCACAAACACGGACAATACTCGGCAGGTGTCCACCGTTCCTAGGTGTTCACAGGAGGGGTGAAACGGTTGCCCTTTAAGGTTACAAACGGGTAGCTGGTTTAACGGGCGGGTTGTCGGGTTGTCGGGTACGCTTTAAACCCTTTAGCAGCCAATAGTAACTGAGTAACTGTTACTATACAATAGCCTTCCACATTTCGTGCCAGGAGGACTTGTGATGTCATGCAATTCACTGCAAGTGCACTACATCGCGACAAGCGCAGCATACACCCTTACTACCCTACATGCAAAACAGTCCATATTATTATCATAATGTAGCAGGATCGAACCAGCAACAACACATTCGAACTGTTCATCGAACTGCACGACTGTACACACCAGCTAATCATTTTTTAAATGATAAGGCACCCATTTTGATAATCCAGGGGATGGCCCACACCTGGTACTGCCACTGCATTATAAATCATACGTAATGACTGATATAATACCGTACCGTAACGTCGTACACGACTAACGGGTACTCGTTTGCTAACGGATCAGCAGCTAAACAGACGGGTACCCGGATCACCCCTTTTACCCCTTTCACCCCTAGTTCACAGACAACACTGTGTAGAGTTGTACTGCCGCCGCCGGCACCGCACCCCGTGCCAGGATGCCGGCACCGCACCCCGTGCCAGGATGCCGGGACTGGCTGCTCCAGTGCAGTGCTGTCCACCTGTGCCACCGACCATTAGTAGTCATGTAGCCTTCCTACTGGCTATACTAGATTCATTCCATCTTCTCTTGGGCATGCCACTGCTGAGTCTGTGCCCTGGCAGCTTGCATGCCACTGCTGAGTCTGTGCCCTGGCAGCTTGCATGCCACTGCTGAGTCTGTGCCCTGGCAGCTTGCATGCCACTGCTGAGTCTGTGCCCTGGCAGCTTGCATGCCACTGCTGAGTCTGTGCCCTGGCAGCTTGCATGCATTGCGGCACAGCAGCTAGGTAAATGCATCGGTTGAGCATCATATTCGTTCCATTGGCTCAGTGGGCCGAGCCACAGTGGGCCTGTGCCAGTAACGTGTGCATGTCATGTATGTAAGGCTAGTTCATGTGTGGCCGAGTACCGGGTGCATAGTGCCAATGTTCAGTGCTGTGGTGGTTGAATCATCGGGGATGACCAGCAGGCAGCACTGCACGTTTCCACACACAAATGAAGAGAAATGACGCCTGGACCGTTGGGGTGCTGAACCATACAGAAACAACAAAGACCCTAGTAGGGCCACACTCATAGGTATGCCATGCATGAAGCAAGACTCTGAGTCTGCACACACAGGTACTGAGAGTTTTGAGGAGGAGATGCAGAATCTACCCGGAGTGGAACAGATTGCCAGTAAAATCTAGTCATGATGCAGATTTGCTTTACCCGGGGCCTTCCATAGATAACAGTGCCGGCTGAGGGTGGAGTGTTCGTGGTGGAGTTGTCACGCCAGTGCTGCTACCATTTTTGCCTGTGTGTCCACCAGAATCAGCGTTGGCATCACTGCCCGTGACCCTGGCAGCACCAACTACAACCAGGTACGAATCACCCAGGAATGCAAGAAGCAAGTCACTTTCAGATCAGGGACGCTCCGCCAAACCCATTGTATCCACTGCTGAGTTTCAGGTTAGCTTTCCATGCCATGTAGAAGTCGGACATGCTAAGCTGTAGGACTTGCATGATTCAGGCATGCATAGTGTGTGTGTGTGTGTGTGTGTGTGTGTGCGTGTGCGCGGGGTCACGTGTGTGCGTGTATGCGGGGGTTGGGCAGACCCCCTAATGTTTATGTGCATGTTGCCTTTTAAGGTGCAGATATCGGCTAAACCCGCCCTTCATGCCGGGAACCCTGACCTTCATGCCGGGAACCCTGACCTTCATGCCGGGAACCCTGACCTTCATGCCGGGAACCCTGACCTTCATGCCGGGAACCCTGACCTTCATGCCGGGAACCCTGACCTTCATGCCGGGAACCCTGACCTTCATGCCGGGAACCCTGACCTTCATGCCGGGAACCCTGACCTTCATGCCGGGAACCCTGACCTTCATGCCGGGAACCCTGACCTTCATGCCGGGAACCCTGACCTCATACACCTACATGTACATTGTAAGCCATGGCTGGTTATCGTCTTCATCTCCGGGGTTGCTCCCCACTGGCATCCATTACCGCGCAGAGCCGCCAAACTGTAGATATAGATGTGTCAGCAATACCAACCAATGTCGGTTAGTAACTGAGTGATTGACTGAGTTACTGTCACCACGGCTCTCTGGCTCAGTTCTTATTTCTAGTTATTAGTACTGTATAGTATTCTTCCTTATTCTCACGGTGGTGACTCGTGCCAATAAGAGATGAGAGAACCGTATGACAAAGAGAGAAGGAAGTTAGAACCTAGAGCAGCTGCTTGACAATCCTGGTAGCTTCTGCACATTCGTGTCAACTTCCTTAGTCCCTACGACTCCCTATGCTGCGATGCATAACTATTGATATTTGTGGTCTTCTCACATCCTTTCCCCGCCATCAGGATGCCGGTCATGGTCATGGTGTTCCCAACGTGAGCAGCGTTGGTGAGTGGGAACGCGGTGAATTCAGCTTGCCAGGTCTAGCATCACTTGACTCTGAGACTGGTACGTTGGCACACACACACACACACACACACACACACACACACACACACACACACACACACACACACACACACACACACACACACACACACACACACACACACACACCCCACACACACACACGTGCGCGCTAGACGTGCGCAGCGTTACGAAATAATAACGCTGAATGGTGATGTATGCTACACTGCTTTGATGAGGGATGACCGGGTCTGGCCAGCAGTGTATTGATCGGGTCTGGCCAACAGTGTATTGATCAGCACCATCATCGGTCTAGCCAACAGTGTATTGATCACAGGGCCGGCGCCACTGGTACGGCCGGTACGGCCATGGCCGTACCAAAAAAAAAAAAACTTCCCAAAAAGTCGGTCCACGTGGCCGTGGAACGTCCAAAACCGGGGAGAAAAAAGTTTCGATGTATGATTTTGTACAGGGAGTCGCCCAGAGTGCAGGATTTGCCGTCTAAATTCCAAAAAATTCTGGGGGAGGACCCCCAGACAAGGATGGCCGTGCGGTGCGGCTCCGCGGAAGCTGCCTCCGGCCCTGAGATCGCACTATCATCTGCACTGGGCCGAAGTCCCACTGCCTTCGTCACTTGATGCAAGGTACAAATATGATGAGCTGCTGCAATAACACTATTGTAGCCTTCCATATCTACTCTTTGTCCTTGCTTCCACATGTTTCCGTATTTGTACGGAAAATCACTCCTTCGTCCGCAGCACGGAATTTGAGCAAAATGGTATGGAAAATTGAAGAGGGTCGATCAGCTACAGATATGTACAGTAAAACCTGTAACTAACGACCACCCCTTGGTGCCAGCAAAAGTGGTCTTTAGTGGCAGGTGGTCTTTAGTTAGAGGTTTGCACTGCGCGACCATAATATTATGGATCCCGTATATGATATGTATGTCAAAATGCAGCTAATAGTAATACGATTCCCCAGGACTTGCGCAATGCCATTCTTATTTCAGGTCAAACAACACGTGGAGAGAGAGAGAGACAGAGGGAGAAGGCTACTTTTTGCAGACATCAAATTCAGCTGCTACTTCTGAAACCAGGAATCAAACGTTCCCTGTAGTTCGTTTTACGCTGGGCTTCAAATTTGTTCATGTGATCAATCGTACCTGTCCTTGTTGTAACTTCTCGATTGCTTGAACGCGGTCCTTCAGCATCAGGACCTTGCGGTGCTGCTTGTTTCTGGATTCCTTGATGCCATCGTCAATTCGTCTGTATGACTGGGGTGTCAGAGCCGCTCTGTCTTCGTTTCTCCTCCGAGTAGTAACAACGATCAGAGAGCGCTTTCGATGCGCTCTCCAAGACGTTTCCTATCGTGTTTATTCTTGACAGAGCTTGAAATTTGGACAGGTGTAGTGCAGTCCACACCAATTCCACAGTCAAAATGACCTGTGTTCATTTGTTCAGCTGTAGTATCGAAAGAGTCCTTTCAGGACCATGGAAAATCAGCAAATTTTCAAGAAGGAGCTTCGAGCAACATTTGATTTCGTACATCGCGGTCGCTAGTTACGGGTCAATAATCGTCTTTGGGGCAAGAAAAGGCGGTCGCTGGTCGCGTTCAGCAGGTAGTCGCTAGTCACAGTGCATTTTGAATATGAGACCGTCCGTGCCTGGCCAAGTGGTCGGTAGTAGCAGGCTGGTCGCTAGTCACGGTGCCGGTCTTTACTTACAGGTTTTACTGTATGTGGAAGGATGGCAAGCGCCAGCTGAGCGATGAATATCCCTGCGCCAAAGCAAGTGCATGCCATGCTTCGACTACATGTCGCACAAATATCATGTCGTGGCACAAGTCACACATGTTTTGCACTAGCAAATTCAGCCACCGACAAGCATGCGAGTGTCAAAAAGCACAGTAACAAGTTACAAGCGATGCGTATGGCAGAACATTGGTAGTACGGAAAAAACACTGCAAAATACGGAAAATCAGAAGTCGCAGTACGCAAAACAGACCCAGCTGATTGGCAGAAGTGGCATTGTGTAAATATTGTGCGGATATCGTTGCACTCAATATGATTCCAGGTGGTATAAATGCTGATCCAGAAAGCAACACGAGGGCCACCAATGCGTTGAGGGCGTCAACATGCATCGTGAAGAAAGGTCAGTTTACTGCCATGGTTTACCTTCCCCGTACCCCATTGTGGTGCAGGTTCAGTTACCGGCGATGACGCAAAGTTTATCACTCGTATCTCTGTCTACCTGTGGCTGTCTATCCGTCTGTCCGTCCATCTGTTTCCATCCGTCCATCTGTCTGTCCGTCCGCCTGCCTCTCTCCTGTCCAAAAGGTCTCTTTACTGCAAACACTTGACTTAACATTACACGTGTGTATATGTACATGGTATGTGCGTGCGTGCATGCATGTGTGTGTACGTGTGTGTGTGTGTGTGTGTGTGTGTGTTGAATGCTGTTGAATGGTGTAATCCCAGCACTAGTTGCTAGGTCTAACCGGCATAGCTGTTCGCTATCATTGCTTCTGCAATGGGCAGGTCTGAGGTCTGAGGTGTGTTTGTGTGTGTGTGTGTGTGTGTGTGTGTGTGTGTGTGTGTGTGTGTGTGTGTGTGTGTGCGTGCGTTCGTGTGTGTGTGTGTGTGTGTGTGTGTGTGTGTGTGTGTGTGTGTGTGTTTGTGCTTGCAGTGAATATTGATGAAATCCAAGACTTGGATGCTGTTGTTGATTTGAAGGTGAAGATGAGTCTGAGACTAGCATTTGAATACAACTCCAAGGCAGATTGTCTGAAAGTGCGAGCAAGCAAGCTGTGTGGGCTACCCATCCTACCCAGTGAGTGCCACAGCTGATACTGATACATTACGCAACGTATGGCCCTACATGTATGTGCATTGTATAATATAATCACTGTGCCATGACTCACTGTGCCATGACTCCTTAGCACCATCATGCAGCTACTGATCATGCAGCTACTGATTTTGTTATAGGTAGGCCACACACATGCACATCACGGTTGGAACACGTTGCTCAGTCGTAACACTGAGTTTCACACACAATTGATTATCAGTAGGATATAATTATAATAATTATAACACTGTCTGTTGATCACTTGCATGTACCGTATTTCCCCGATTATAAGTCGCACTCGATTAGAAGTCGCACCCCCACTTTCAGGTTTAAACAATATTGTTTCAATAAATTCATTTCAGTAGTAAGTCCTGCTCGATTGTAAGCCGCACCCCTTTTTTACCCTGAGTTTTAGTGTAAAAAGGTGCAACTTATAATCGGGGAAATACGGTATTGCTCATCTCAATGCCGCAGAGAATGCAGAGAATGCAGCAGCTCAACAGTTCAGTTTAAAAATGACTGTAAGTGTGCAAGGCTCTGCGCCACAGTGCGGCATTGAGAGTGAGCAGCCACAACTCACTTCCGCTAGACCATACACCATTGAAAGTGTACTTCAGCACAATGTGTCTTGGTGTGTGTGTGTGTGTGTGTTTGTGTGTGTGTGTGTGTGTGTGTGTGCGTGCGTGCGTGTGTGTGTACGGGTGGGGTGTATTGGTGTGTGTGTGTGTATGTGTGTGTGTGTGTGTGAGAGCATGTGTGTGTGTATGTATGTGTGAGTATGTGTGTGTGTACATGTGTGTATGTGTGTATGTATATGTGTGTATGTGTGTGTATGTGTGTGTCACGGTGAGTAAACTAGCTAGCGGCACATCACCATGACAATCTCAGGAATTCGGCCAATGCCGCCCACACTCACTGGAGTCACGTCATGTGGGGTGTGACAGTAGGACTGTTTCTGAAACTGCCACCACTGAATGACACTGAGTCCTGATTGTCCTGCTCTTGCTCTGCCCGTGTACAATGTAAGGTTTTATCGCCAACGGAGGGCACATCTATGTACGAAGCACACTATTGCCAGCGGGAAGTGATGGTCAGGACACAAAGCGCAAGTCTGACGAATGGAAAATTGATCTGAACAAGCACGCCGTCTCCCATGCCAATCCAGGCGCTGCGTTGACTCTATCAGATGTGAGCTTCAAGGACCCGCTTCACTATAAGCCGATTGGCCGTGTCAGTGATGTGACACGGAGTATACGCATCTCTGTGTGCTACCGACCTGATCAGTGGCTGGCAGCAAGTGAAGAATTGGCGTTTACGTCGCTTCCCGTGTCCAGTGTGGTGCAGAAGCTCATGCCCTGTCTGTATGACCTACAGGCACGGCAAGGTTTGGTGCAACAGGTAAAGGAGTTTGCCAGTCAATGCCCGGAGGATACAGGAGTGAGCTTGCAAGGACGCATCTATGGCATTAGTAAAAGTGTGAATGCAAGAATGGATATAAACGTCGCTGGCGAGCAACTCACTGCTTCACTGTCAACGTGTAGAGATGATGATGCTGATCATGATGCTGCTGGAGCAGATACATCTCCGGACAGAGATACTAGTGACATGGCTACAGTGAGCATTCCTTCAGCAAAACAGGCAGGCCGGGGAATTAGTGCTAGCAGCATGTGGGAGGCAACGAGTGGCTTTATGAGGAGATTGGCCCCGCGATCATTAGGTTCGGTGTCTAGTGTGATCGATGAAGCTTCAGCCAGCAACCTCTCAGTTCAACACAGGTCAAGTAGAACTGTAAGTCTGTCCACTGGCATGGAGAGAAAGAAGGCAAAGACCTCAGCACAAAGCGGCCACACAGTGCAGTCTAATGCTGAACAGCAGGCACAAGCATTCCCTTTGCACAACTGCCGAGAAAAGGAAGCAAATACATCTCAACAAGAACCACCCGCTGAACTAAAGGCGGGGAATCCCCATCCCAAACTTCTACCACTGGGAGCTCTTCGACCGAAATTGCACTTGTTTCGAGATCCTGCTAGTACAGGAACTGTACCAAATGAATCGTCAACGACATCGGTCCAGGGACAAGGGAAAGCTGCAAAAACGTCCCGTGAACAACCAAGAGAATCAGTCGCAACAGGAGCTGAAGCATCAACTGCTTCAAAGGCGTCCAGGCCAGCTATGCCATCAAATGCATGCGATGGACAACAGAAGGGAAAGCAACATCCTAACCTTCTACCTCTGGGAGCTGTTCCAGCAAAATTACATTTGTTCCGGCGCGTTGATACAGAAGAAACCACGACAAGAGAAGAACCGGCATCAGGAGCAATCCTAAACCCACCAGTGACAGAGCGGTCGCAGCAGAAACAGGACCAGGACAATCCCCACCGTACCCTTCCAACGGTGGGAGCTTTCCCAACACCAGCTCACTTGTTTCGACGTCCGCCTACAAAACGAACCGCATCGAGCGAAGCATCGACAACTTCTATCCAGGGCCGTCCACGGGAACAAAGTGCCAATCAAGCCACAGTGGTGCCAGCTCATCCCTTTCAAGTATCATCAGCAAGCACAACTCATGTCACCACTGCAGCAAATGAATCGTCTCTACCAGCCCGCATACCCACAGCCAAACCACCCACTAAGCTGCTTGATCACTGTAGTTCAGGTGGTGCACACAAATCAACACCGACCAGCCTTTTCCGGGTACAGGCACCGGTAGCAAGCCTCCATGACAGTACAAACACTGAAGGCAGCAAACCATCACCTACCGACAACCTCCTACAACAGCAGAGATATAAGACTACATCAGAGTCCACCGCAGTTGAGCTCATGCCATCAAAATGTAAGACATCAGAGTCCAGCAGTCTTGGCAAGTTCAACAGGTCTAAGAGCAAATCTGAATATGCTGCGGCGGCTGCAGTAGCAATGAGCTCAGCCAATAGCATTGACAGCAGCAGTGCTAGTGCCAGCGTTTACAGAAGCACAGCAGCAGCAGCAGCGCCCTGTGATAGGCTGTTGTGCGGTGCAGGCACTAATTCCGCAACACTGGCAAGGCCAACTCAGACAATGGCAACTCATGCCGGCGAGCTACTGGACACGGCCTGTACACACGGTGCTGCACTAGAGAATATCATGACCTTGCCCGGTACAGCTGAAGCGAGGGACGGCGCTCGAGATGTGCTTGATGGAACAGTCCAGCGAAAGTATGCTGACGGCACACACATGTACACCGGTGTGATCGCAAAGAAGAAAACGGGAACAGGAACTCCTCGCCGCAGCGTGATAGTTTCACAACAATGGCGAAGCACTGCTGATGCTGCTGACACATCATCTCAGTCACTCACAGCAGGCATGCAAGCTCGGCCAATGAAATACAGGCAGACTGGCAAGCATCAACAAACCAAGACCAAGGATTTCACCATAGATATTCCGAATAACGACAAGTTTCAAATCACAGCAAGCTGCACTGCCGAGAAGTAGCGGTCCATTCGCATTGCAACACTGTACTGCATGTAATCATCACTGATATACATGTACTGTGTACTGTGACGTAGGACAACGTGCAAGGAGTGGCCCAGTGCCACGCTACATGCACATCATCACACTCATCTCTCTCATATGACTGGCTTCCAATCCAGCCCCCCCCCCCCCACCAGCATTGAATGATTTGCCTCCGGCTTATATCATAGTTACATCATCCGCAGAAAACATTGTCACAATCGTCTGGTAAGCGTTAAATAAGTCCACCAACGTTTTATTTCCTCCTGCAATATTAGTAAGGCGTATGATCTTCTCCACTACAAGGCAAACAGGCATCGTACATACATGTAGACGGGTCCTATGCAGTACAACTAGCGTGCACAATATGTAAAACAAGCGAGAAAAATGACAAGTGCATGCAACTGGGTGCTAATCGCATGCATCCAGCAGGTCAAGGACCTCATTTGTTTGTACAACTCCCTGATTCTAGCTTCTGCAAGCCACGTGCCACCGGATACGACGATGCTTTGCGTACACATTTCAACCAGTTTGCACACAAAATCATGCACCGGTATGCGGATCGCGAGGTCCGGTTACCGTATTTCCCCGATTGTAAGTCGCACCTTTTTACATTAAACTTCAAGGGCAAAGAAGGGGTGCGACTTACAATCGAGTGTGATTTCTTACTTACGTGAATGCATTGAGACGATTTCATTCGGATGTGAGAATGGGCTGCGACTAATAATCGAGTGCGACTTATAACCAGGGAAATACGGTATGTTGTATGCGTAACGCACGCTGCACATCGGTAACCAGCGATTTTCTTCCGGATGGTGAGGGATCCGGATAAACGAGGACCGGATAAGCGAGGTCTGACTGTAGTACCGGATTGGGTGGCTAGCTAGCAGCAGCAGCACAACTTGGAGAGAGATAGAAAGAGAGAGACTTTGCAGCAGGTCAAACATGTGAAGAATGCGCAGTACCACAGAGTGGCGTTGTTCTAAAATATGAGCACAGAAAGCTTGCATAAACTGAAGAAGTAAAAGGAATAAAAAGAATGAAAAGCAAAGCAGCATTATGATTGTATTCTAAAAAAAATAACAAAATAGCAGTGTTTGCACGGAAGAGGACACACAGAAGCCAATGAAATTCGGAGCTCGTGTATTTCTTTAAAGGTTACATCTGCAATCTACTACTACAATGGAAGAAAAAAAACAGTTTCCTAGGTAATATGTGTTATCATGGTTGTACATGTGTGTAAAAAACTATTCATTGAGGAAAAGAAAGTGGCCGTTCCGAACATTGGAGCTGGTGCCAAGCTAGCGCGCGCAGTCGCAACATCTTGGCTCATAAATTTATGAAATTAAAAAAAAAGCAATGAACAATATGCCATGTTGAATCTTTGGCATGCACTTGTTTGCATGAAGTGCAAAGCAATATAATGTGTCGGCAGTGCCACAGTGCTAGGCTATACATGCTATACATGTTGTATGTTGGCAGTGATGCAATGCACGGCTACTGACTATGTCCGTCAGTGATGCAATGCACGGCGCTACTGACTATGTCCGCCAGTGATGCCATTCAGCTCTTACAAGTACATCTACGATTGAGTACAAACATACTAAACTGCAGCTAAGGGCAAGCTGCTGTGGTCCGTGCGAATGAAGAAAAGCACGTGCACAACGCAGTGTGTCTTTAGAGGGAGAAGTTGCAAGAGCAGTGCGGGTCCTCGGGGTGGGATTTCATGTTGATTTCTTTTCTGTTGCGAGCTGCTGCATGCGCAAGAAGTCACGGTGACGGTACGATGATAGCGGTATACCCAAGTACCTGAGGGAACAGAGGTGTAGAGTATGCACGGAATGTGCACTGCACATTAGAGTGTGCCCTTGGCAACCATAACATACTGATAGGAAGATAGTGCAAACAGCAAAGCCAAAGGCACTACCCCACACAAGAGTGCTCAACTGCTACAAGGGCAGGAGCGAAATTAGGGCCTGCAAGGCCCTTTCTATGTGAGGACAGCCAACAGCCATCCACACATAACAGAGTTGCAGTACAACATCACACAATGACACGAAAATAGAAGTGGAGGGCTGTCTTACTTTGCCATCTTTCGTCGAACATTTTCTGCATAGAGTGGGGCGTCTTTCTTTTCCTGTACATAGGACAGCAGACAAGCATTGGATTTTCACACACTAAACACAGGATTTTATTTTCACATACAAAACTGGCATCGTCACAAGCATAGAGCGGTGCCTTGTACCCTCATAGTTACTCCCAGACAAAAGCATGTCTCTTAGTCTTACATAGCATTACGATTTGTGTATGTGTAGGATTTGGGTTCACACGAATCGAAAGTCTTCCATTATTTGCTAAGGCACGCTTTGGGTTATTCAAGTCTTCCATCATTTGCTAAGGCACGCTGCTTTGGGTTATTCAAGTCTTCCATTATTTGCTAAGGCACGCTGCTTTGGGTTATTTAAGTCTTCCATTATTTGCTAAGGCACGCTTTGGGTTATTCAAGTCTTCCATCATTTGCTAAGGCACGCTGCTTTGGGTTATTCAAGTCTTCCATTATTTGCTAAGGCACGCTGCTTTGGGTTATTCAAGTCTTCCATTATTTGCTAAGGCACGCTGCTTTGGGTTATTCAAGTCTTCCATTATTTGCTAAGGCACGCTTTGGGTTATTCAAGTCTTCCATCATTTGCTAAGGCACGCTGCTTTGGGTTATTCAAGTCTTCCATTATTTGCTAAGGCACGCTGCTTTGGGTTATTCAAGTCTTCCATTATTTGCTAAGGCACGCTTTGGGTTATTCAAGTCTTCCATCATTTGCTAAGGCACGCTGCTTTGGGTTATTCAAGTCTTCCATTATTTGCTAAGGCACGCTGCTTTGGGTTATTCAAGTCTTCCATTATTTGCTAAGGCACGCTTTGGGTTATTCAAGTCTTCCATTATTTGCTAAGGCACACTGCTTTGGGTTACTCAAGTCTTCCATTATTTGCTAAGGCACGCTGCTTTGGGTTATTCAAGTCTTCCATTATTTGCTAAGGCACACTGCTTTGGGTTATTCAAGACTACCTGTAGACGTTCTGACTTGTTTTTGCTTTGGGAGTTATGATGTATGGCTGTGTGCACACTGAGTTATGATGTATGGCTGTGTGCACACTGAGTTATGATGTATGGCTGTGTGCACACTGAGCTATGATGTATGGCTGTGTGCACACTGAGTTATGATGTATAGCTGTGTGCACACTGAGTTATGATGTATGGCTGTGTGCACACTGAGCTATGATGTATGGCTGTGTGCACACTGAGCTATGATGTATGGCTGTGTGCACACTGAGTTATGATGTATGGCTGTGTGCACAATGAGCTATGATGTATGGCTGTGTGCACACTGAGCTATGATGTATGGCTGTGTGCACAATGAGCTATGATGTATGGCTGTGTGCACACTGAGTTATGATGTATGGCTGTGTGCACACTGAGTTATGATGTATGGCTGTGTGCACACTGAGTTATGATGTATGGCTGTGTGCACACTGAGTTATGATGTATGGCTGTGTGCACACTGAGTTATGATGTATGGCTGTGTGCACACTGAGCTATGATGTATGGCTGTGTGCACACTGAGTTATGACGTACGGCTGTGTGCACACTGAGTTATGATGTATGGCTGTGTGCACACTGAGCTATGATGTATGGCTGTGTGCACACTGAGCTATGATGTATGGCTGTGTGCACACTGAGCTATGATGTATGGCTGTGTGCACACTGAGCTATGATGTATGGCTGTGTGCACACTGAGTTATGATGTATGGCTGTGTGCACAATGAGCTATGATGTATGGCTGTGTGCACACTGAGCTATGATGTATGGCTGTGTGCACACTGAGCTATGATGTATGGCTGTGTGCACACTGAGTTATGATCAGGGAGTCGTACTCAAACTAGGGAGGTGACACGGCACAGAAATCCGTGTCACAGGGGTTGACTCGCACCCGTAACCCCTCGTTGTTATTTTTGGAATAGTTCAGTCCAGTCCGAAAGGTCATACTCGGATCGGCGCCTTCTGTACTTCACCTCCAAGCGCGCCGCATGGGTGTCTAGTTTTTGAAATTTTTGAGGCAGCACATTTCGTTTACAGCCCATCACTCGCCAGTATTCTTTGAAAGACTACCAGCAATTTTTTTAGCTCCTGCCATGTCCGAACTACTTGATAGCAGTAATGGCAACAGCAGCAGTTATGAGACGGCGTGTAGTGTTGCGGTAACTGTTCAGAGTCGTATCCAAGGTTAATCCGAATACTAAAAATTGACCCAAATTGCACATAACACGAAGCTGGTTTTTGAAAATTGTAAGTCGTGTATCTGCCCCATTTCTTCTTTAAGACTTGCACAATACACCAGTCTTCCTAAACAACACATTTATAGCAGGGGTTAAGTACCATATAAGAGAAGTACAGCCAGTGATATTGTCATGTTGAAATACTACAATTTTGACACAAATTACACATAACGCGAAGCCAGGTTTTGAAAAATGTAAGTCGTGTATCTGCCCCATTTCTTCTTTATGACTTGCACAATGGTCCAGTCTGCCTAAATAACACATTTATAGCACGGGTTATGTACCATATTAGAGAAGTACAGCCAATGATATTGTCATGTCTAAATACTACAATTTTGACACAAAGTACACATAACACGAAGCTGGTTTTTGAAAATTGTAAGTCGTGTATCTGCCCCATTTCTTCTTTATGACTTGCACAATACACCAGTCTTCCTAAACAACACATTTATAGCAGGGGTTAAGTACCATACAAGAGAGCTACATTGTACATCTAGTCATACTGTCATAAACAGCCAGCATTTTTCCTGCAGCAGTCACACCACCATCATCATTATTTCCAGGGAAATCCTCTTACATTGTCAGCTCCTACGTCGTTAGATACAATGTAGGGGGCTGTAGGACCGGCTCGTCAAAAATAGAGAACCTGAACAAGCGTGCTCGGGACGTCTCAGCAATCGTAGTATGCCTGAGCACTCCAATAAAAACTTGGATCAATGGCAAAATCGTTCGCCACAGAAAAATCATACTTTGCGGGTCTTGCGTTGCACGCTTGGAGGTGAAGTACAGAAGGCGAGTCGATCCGAGTATGACCTTTCGGACTGGACTGAACTATTCCAAAAATAACAACGAGGGGTTACGGGTGCGAGTCAACCCCTGTGACACGGATTTCTGTGCCGTGTCACCTCCCTAGTTTGAGTACGACTCCCTGGTTATGATGTAGGGCAGTGTGCACACTGAGTTATGATGTATGGCTGTGTGCACACTGAGTTATGATGTATGGCTGTGTGCACACTGAGTTATGATGTATGGCTGTGTGCACACTGAGCTATGATGTATGGCTGTGTGCACACTGAGCTATGATGTATGGCTGTGTGCACACTGAGTTATGATGTATGGCTGTGTGCACACTGAGTTATGATGTATGGCTGTGTGCACACTGAGTTATGATGTATGGCTGTGTGCACACTGAGCTATGATGTATGGCTGTGTGCACACTGAGTTATGATGTATGGCTGTGTGCACACTGAGCTATGATGTATGGCTGTGTGCACACTGAGCTATGATGTATGGCTGTGTGCACACTGAGCTATGATGTATGGCTGTGTGCACAATGAGCTATGATGTATGGCTGTGTGCACACTGAGCTATGATGTATGGCTGTGTGCACACTGAGCTATGATGTATGGCTGTGTGCACACTGAGTTATGATGTATGGCTGTGTGCACACTGAGTTATGATGTATGGCTGTGTGCACAATGAGCTATGATGTATGGCTGTGTGCACACTGAGCTATGATGTATGGCTGTGTGCACACTGAGCTATGATGTATGGCTGTGTGCACACTGAGTTATGATGTATGGCTGTGTGCACACTGAGTTATGATGTATGGCTGTGTGCACAATGAGCTATGATGTATGGCTGTGTGCACACTGAGCTATGATGTATGGCTGTGTGCACACTGAGTTATGATGTATGGCTGTGTGCACACTGAGTTATGATGTATGGCTGTGTGCACAATGAGCTATGATGTATGGCTGTGTGCACACTGAGCTATGATGTATGGCTGTGTGCACAATGAGCTATGATGTATGGCTGTGTGCACACTGAGTTATGATGTATGGCTGTGTGCACACTGAGTTATGATGTATGGCTGTGTGCACACTGAGCTATGATGTATGGCTGTGTGCACACTGAGTTATGATGTATGGCTGTGTGCACACTGAGTTATGATGTATGGCTGTGTGCACACTGAGCTATGATGTATGGCTGTGTGCACACTGAGCTATGATGTATGGCTGTGTGCACACTGAGCTATGATATATGGCTGTGTGCACACTGAGTTATGATGTATGAAAAAATTTACCCAAAAAGCACAAAAAATGCCACCGTTGCCATGGTAACAAAATGGCGACAGCTAGTCGGGCGACATTTGGCACCATGGTGATCATTCATGGTGATCGTGGAGTACCTATCGCTTGCAGGGAGTCGTAAAATACCGGTATTTTACGACTCCCTGGCCCAAACTAGTCCAAAGTGGGTCAAAATGGACAAAATGCATTTTGACCCCCAAAATGCAAAAATATGCAAACACATAATCCGGAAAGGCCTACTGTGTGCACACTGAGTTATGATGTATGGCTGTGTGCACACTGAGTTATGATGTATGGCTGTGTGCACACTGAGTTATGATGTATGGCTGTGTGCACACTGAGTTATGATGTATGGCTGTGTGCACACTGAGTTATGATGTATGGCTGTGTGCACACTGAGGTATGATGTATGGCTGTGTGCACACTGAGTTATGATGTATGGCTGTGTGCACACTGAGCTATGATGTATGGCTGTGTGCACACTGAGTTATGATGTATGGCTGTGTGCACACTGAGTTATGATGTATGGCTGTGTGCACACTGAGTTATGATGTATGGCTGTGTGCACACTGAGTTATGATGCACGGCTGTGTGCACACTGAGTTATGATGCACGGCTGTGTGCACACTGAGTTATGATGTATGGCTGTGTGCACACTGAGTTATGATGTATGGCTGTGTGCACACTGAGTTATGATGTATGGCTGTGTGCACACTGAGTTATGATGTATGGCTGTGTGCACACTGAGTTATGATGTATGGCTGTGTGCACACTGAGTTATGATGTATGGCTGTGTGCACACTGAGTTATGATGTATGGCTGTGTGCACACTGAGTTATGATGTATGGCTGTGTGCACACTGAGTTATGATGTATGGCTGTGTGCACACTGAGTTATGATGTATGGCTGTGTGCACACTGAGTTATGATGTATGGCTGTGTGCACACTGAGTTATGATGTATGGCTGTGTGCACACTGAGTTATGATGTATGGCTGTGTGCACACTGAGTTATGATGTATGGCTGTGTGCACACTGAGTTATGATGTATGGCTGTGTGCACACTGAGTTATGATGTATGGCTGTGTGCACACTGAGCTATGATGTATGGCTGTGTGCACACTGAGTTATGATGTATGGCTGTGTGCACACTGAGCTATGATGTATGGCTGTGTGCACACTGAGCTATGATGTATGGCTGTGTGCACACTGAGTTATGATGTATGGCTGTGTGCACACTGAGTTATGATGTATGGCTGTGTGCACACTGAGTTATGATGTATGGCTGTGTGCACACTGAGTTATGATGTATGGCTGTGTGCACACTGAGTTATGATGTATGGCTGTGTGCACACTGAGTTATGATGTATGGCTGTGTGCACACTGAGTTATGATGTATGGCTGTGTGCACACTGAGTTATGATGTATGGCTGTGTGCACACTGTATTGTGCAGAATTTTTGTAGGAAAACAGGTTTCTTACCTCTTCAGTAGGTATGACTGGTTCCATGAACTATCCACAGAGAGGCAATGGACGCGGGCAGGAAGAAACAAACAGAACGAGCAAGCCGAAGAAATGCACCAGTCAGCCACACGAAGCTCTTCAGTCCGTTTCCCCCACTGCTACATCATTCAGCTGCAGTCCACGCACTGCGGAAAATCAAACACTGCACTTTCCCTCTTGTTTGAAATGAACTTTCATACAGGACTGGAGTTCACGCGCCAAAATTTACAGATCGCGTAGGTACTGGAACGAATCGAGCAAAAAAGGATGGGCCCGTACGAGAAATTGATGGTTTGAGTGCATGATTTCAGAGCGTGATGGAGGCAAGTTACGTAATGGAGGCAGCGCGCCGCGCACTGACCTATAACCACAGTTGCACACTCTTGTTCATGCACTCTTGCTTTTAGCATTGGCACATCTACTCAACTTAGAAGTCGGTTTCTGTTAGCAGTGCACAGTTGTCATATATGCACCTCTCAGTCCATGCAGACACTTACTTCAACGGATGCATTGTTCATAGGTGTGCAGTACAAAATGAAGATAAGGAAAAGCCTGGAGAAGGCAATAAACGTGCACGCATGCATACCCGCACACATACACACACACACCACCGCCGCCGCCACCGCCGCCACCACCAACAACAACAACAAAAACAACAACAACTTCTCTTATTGGCCAAAGGCCATCGTGAGAATAAACGATTTCAAACAACATCTCAGAGCAAGGAGGAGACAACTAAGGATATAAATAATACAGATTTACCAATCAGCCATTGTTAAACGCTCGGTTAGGCAGTACAGTGCAGACATGAAGTAAATCATTCCTCTAAAGGAAATGGGCACCTGGGTGTACTAGGGTTACACATCAAGCTACATCAGCTCAATATCCTTCACCAGAGCTCACTGCCCACTGAAAGTGAAATGTGCACAAGTACGGACTGCACTGAAGTGCACCGCATGCCGGCATGCATGCACAATTCAAGTATCGTATGAAACGCAGGCAGCTTTCGTCCATCAACCCCACCTTCGAAACACGACCAAGCAGGGTCCAGATAGTGGGGCGCTACGGAGTTACTTTCTGCTACTATAGTTGTAGCATTGGTGGCACAAACACATACACACACAGACCCAGTCACAGACCCAGTCACAGACCCACTTACGGGTGAGTAGTAGTCCAGATGCAATGAGGCTGCAGCGCACAAAAAGGCATGGTGACAGAATCACAGACATACACACCAGAGAAGAGGCCAGTTTGAAATGGAAACGGTGACAACACGCATAGTGTCAGTACCAACTAAACAAGCCTGTCCGTGCAGTAAGGGTAAAAGAAGAATACAAGTCAAATCAAAAAAGTCTACAAACGAAATGTGTGCGAATGATGTAAACTCGCACTAGAGAAATTCCAGTGCAGCCGTTTGGCTAGTTTCGCAAATACTGTACCTACAGCATTACATTGGTACAAGTTATGCAACATAAGGATGAAAGCAGACGAGTCGTAACTCGGACTCACATGAATGTCACTCGTATCATGTGCAATTTAATCTGGGTTACGACTCAACTGCCTTTGCCCTCTTGCTGCATTTATCACGCATACAGTGAGCAGTATTGCAGCTGGACAGCAGCAGACGTTATGTTTGCCTACAGTGATTGGCGTAGGATTGTATTCAGAAGTACTTCAAGTATCCATATCCACTGTTTTAGTTCTCTGTCTGTCTGTCTGTATGTCCGTCCGTCTGTATGTATTCACATGGCTTCGCCAGTTGTGTGGATTCTTGAACAGTGCAACCCCCCCCCCCCCCCCAAGCTTGAAACCAAGCGCATGTGCAAGTTTGGTGTTATTTTGCTCATGTTCTTGTCCATGTCATTGCACTGGTTGTTTCAGGATCAAAATGGCAGTTCTTGTTGCCGTTTCTCTTGAGTAGTGATAGTTGACAGTAAACTTTAGGCTGTGTTTTGTTTTGCTTTTATGCTGGATGACGTAAATGTACCAGCATTGAAAAAAATAGTGCCCTCTCTTGAATAGTGCCACAACTATGATGGACATTAAAAAATAGTGCCACCCAGGGGCACTAATCGCGCGAGTACGGTATCTGCCGCTAGTCTTGATCTGTTTCATTCAGAATCAGATCCGCTATCATTGCTATAAGAGAAAATCTGTGGATGCACATCCAGTGCATTTGCAGATTTGCGTGCTTCTCTTGCGATGGGTGTATACCTGGTACATGTATGTATGTATGTATGTATGTACGTATGTACGTACGTATGTACGTACGTACGTACGTACGTACGTACGTACGTACGTACGTACGTATGTACGTATGTATGTACGTATGTATGTACGTACGTATGTACTAGTATGTACACTGTTGTGAATTCCAGCAGAAATCCAAGAGAGCTCGATACCTGGAAGGTAGAGCCGTGACACACTAGTCAGAACAACAGATGGCTTGATCAGTCCTGACTGATCAAGCCATCTGTTGTTCTGACTAGTATGTACTAGTATGTATGTATGTATGTATGTATGTACGTACGTATGTACGTATGTATGTATGTACGCATGTATGTATGTATGTATGTACGTATGTATGTACACTGTTGTGAATTCCAGCAGAAATCCAAGAGAGCACGATACCGGGAAGGTAGAGCCGTGACACACTAGTCAGAACAACAGATGGCCTGATCAGTCACAACTTAAAGTTTCATGCCATCTCAGGTAATCATCAGGTGATATGAACATCAAGAAAAATAACCCACTATTTAAAGCCCAGTATGGCGGGACAAGGATAACAGAAAGCGCTAGGGGCGCTATCAACTCCTATCCGATTCAGTGCCATAGCCAGTAAGGATCGCGGTACTAAGAAAGGTGATTAAGGTGAAAAAACCGAGCTGGCACAGCTAGTGAGATGCGCGGTGCAAAGATGATGATGGTGACAAGGCGGCAGAGGGCTATCAACTGGCCCTACTGCCTGGAAGCAGGGTGCCGAGAAGATCATGTTATTGGTGTTGATAGCATGAATTTACTTTGATGTCGACATTTTCAACTCCGACCGCCTGTTGAGGCTCGATCTCCTGTCGGCAGTGATTGTTCTCGCCTTCTCCTCGAGGCACAGGCTGCATCTTTTTGTTATGTTGCTGTAGGCTTTGGCCTTCTGAACCACTCGCCACTTGATGTCGTGCGTCTTGCCATTATCTTTCAATTCCCACACATGCTTTGAGAGGCCCGTGGATTTGCAGTATCCAGGAAGCTTGATGGATGTCTTGTGATTCCCGTATCGAAGCTTGAATGGAGGCTCCGTACTGCCAATGTAGGTCTTGGGCCCATCGCTGTGGCCATCACTCGACACCTCCGCCGCGTAGACTATGCTGGTTGCTTGGCACGCTCCGTTGAGAGGGCACTGGTCCTTGCGACGGCAGTTGCACGGCTTGTCCGGTTCCTGGACGCACAATTGACGCTTATTGTGGCCACTGATAATGTGGGCCATATTCGGTAAACAGGAGTAGCTCACCTTCATGTTGTAGCGGTTGAAGATTTTGTTCATTTTGGACCCCTTACGAAAATGCTTGTCGATCAGCCGCAGGAAGGTGCCGGCGATGTTGGTCCGGACACTCTTGGAGTATGGCGGGTTAAACCACACCACATTCCGTTTCCTTTTTCTTTTTTGCTTGCTGCCGTTCATTGTAGCAGGTGGCGTTGGGTCAATGTACTTGATGTTGGCAGGTAATCCGCTGGCCGCTAATGCATTGCGATATGTAGGGGCAGCATCGGCGAATACGCCGCTGTCGGCAGATATGCTTGAGACACGTCGGGCGATCATATCAGGGATGTTCCGTAGTATGGATGGTGGGTGATTGGACATGGCGTTGACATAGAGAGGTGCGTTTCCAGGTTCAGAAGGCCAAGGCCTACAGCAACATAACGAAAAGATGCAGCCTGTGCCTCGAGGAGAAGGCGAGAATCATCACTGCCGACAGGAGATTGAGCCTCAACAGGCGGTCGGAGTTGATATCTAAATGTCGACATCAAAATGAATTCATGCTATCAACACCAATAACATGATCTTCTCGGCACCATGCTTCCAGGCAGTAGGGCCAGTTGATAGCCCTCTGCCGCCTTGTCACCATCATCATCTTTGCACCGCGCATCTCACTAGCTGTGCCAGCTCGGTTTTTTCACCTTTATCACCTTTCTTAGTACCGCGATCCTTACTGGCTATGACACTGAATCGGATATGAGTTGATAGCGCCCCTACCGCTTTCTGTTATCCTTGTCCCGCCATACTGGGCTTTAAATAGTGGGTTATTTTTCTTGATGTTCATATCACCTGATGAGTGCCTGAGATGGCATGAAACCTTAAGTTGTGACTGATCAAGCCATCTGTTGTTCTGACTAGTATGTATGTATGTATGTATGTATTAGTGTTGAAACGATCTCACCGGATACTCGTTAGCTCGCTCGCCAGAAACTCGGCTCGTTTGTGCGGCCAGCTCGTTTGCACTAACGAACACCGTACACCGTACTCCGTACACATGGCAGTACATGTCGACCGGGGAGTCGTAAAATATTTTACGACATTTTACGACTCCCTGGTCGATCGAGAGTCCAGTCCCGCGCAAAGTGAAAATCACTCGCATTTACAGTGACTGTATGCCTGCACAACACTTGAGTTGTTTCAGTTGTCGTTGCAGCTTTGGTGGACTCTACTGATGTCTTGTTCCGCATCTGCTGACCTGTCGCAGGATATGCTTCGGTCACCTCTCCATTCGAGTGAAAGTTACGCTCAGTCGTTTGGAAGTTTTCTCCCGCGATGCAGCGAAGACCAGGGCTACTTGCAATCTTTGCAAAACGGTCTATTCTTACAAAGGCTAATCGACGACAGCGCTGAAAAGACACCAAACAGCAGTCCGAAGTGAAGCAGCAGCAACCCCAAATGCCGGCGGTGATAATTTGAACCAGCTGAAAAAAATCGAACTCAGAAAAATAATATTCAAAAAAATAATGATATTTGCCACATCAATGAAACTCGTTAGCTCGCTCGATAGCTTGCTCGTTAGTGGAACTGATCGCTCGTTTGTTATAGATACGCTCGTTTCAACACTAGTATGTATGTATGTATGTATGTATGTAGAACAATAGAAGTATTTCTTGCGTCGGCAAAAAGTGCTCAATGTCCTAAGACAGAGCGGGGTTATACACTCAGACACAAAGGATCTCCAAGTTTCTCACTGTTGCTACTCTGCTACTTCACTTTATGCACACCACCCGGCCTGCGCGATTGCTCACACTACCACACTTGCCACATTTATCTTCACCTGTGATTCCCACCTAGACTGGCTAGCGTGCTTCTTTTCCCCACCTGTGATTCCCACCTAGGGTGCTTCTTTTCGTCTTTTCTGGTATGTAAAGGGATACTGATGTGAGAGAAGAGTAAGTTGCCTGAAGAGTGCTTTTGCACGAAACTCAGAGTAGCAACAGTGAGAAACTTGGAGATCCTTTGTGTCTGAGTGTATGTATGTATGTATGTATGTATGTATGTATGTATGTATGGTGCTGGGGTAGGCATCGGCCATTGAAAACTGAATTCCGTCCGTTTTACGTGGAATTTCTTGGAGTTTCCCAATGTATTGTACTTGAATAAAATTCTATTTTAACTTTCATGGTATCTCAATTTTTTTCACGTCTACATGACTTTATTTTGCCCGTAAAAGAGGCCGTTACCCCGTAAAAAAAAAAAATGTATGTATGTATGTATGTATGTATGTATGTATGTATGTATGTATGTATATGTGTATCTCCACCTCTCTCTCTTTTTCCATCACCACCCTTTCCCTTGCACACACAATGTGTTCAGCTGCTAAAGAGAACTCACGCTTCCTTCATAACGCAAGATCATAGGCTGCACGGGAGCACCAGGACTGAAGGCACCGGCCTTGAAGGGTAGCATGGCTCTCCGGTTGGTACATGTCCCTGATGGAAGGAACGAAAGATAGAAGGGGGGGGGGGGCGAGATAGATAGATAGATAGATAGAGAGAGAGGTAGATAGAGAGAGAGAGAGAGAGAGAGAGAGAGAGAGAGAGAGAGAGAGAGAGAGAGAGAGAGAGAGAGAGAGAGAGAGAGAGAGAGAATGAAAAGAGAGTGAGAGAGAGAGACAAAAAAATTTTAAAAAAAAGGGGGATTGTGCAGTATACATGCAATCAGCTTCAGCTTGCAAAGTAGCTACTTTCAGGCATATGAAAGTTCAGGCATTGCAATTACAAGCATAAACTAATTCGTCAATAAACCAAAAAGCAGTTTGATAATGGAATACATAAAATCAATGTGCACCCTTCAAGTTACAACAAGAATGTGCTGCTGGTAGTTTTGTAGGTGGACTAACCTTCAACAAAGATCATAATCGGTGGCCAGCCTCCCTGCTTAGTTCTCCTAACAATTTCCTGCTGGGCTAGCTGACGTGATTCCTTCCGTTCACGGCGAATATAGATGGGTGCGACTACATCTATGAGAGCTGCATGTGTACAGGGGGCAAGTATACATGTATTGAAATAACGTGTGATGGGGCGGGGATGAGGAGTAGTAGTAGACACAGGGGAATACCCTAGAATACACCATGAATTGAGGCATGACTGTGTTCCAGAGCTCACCACACTGGATCAAGTGGTCCAGGTTCCACTTACATTCAACGAGCGGCAGTTCTTTCAAGTACAAAAAATGTCAAAACGAGCGAGCTTGGAAGCTCAGGGCCCTACGCTATGCTTTTTGCCTAGCTCATCATGCATGTTATTAGAACTGCCCCTCATAATCGGATTTTCGGGCCTTTTCATAGTAATACATTGACCTGCTGAGCCAATGAGGTAAAATTATATTCCATACAATACGATTCAATACAATAATGCAATAATGTCCTTGCCTTGATAGTGTGCTTGTGCTTAACTGTTGCTGACGGCCGAATGCATGGTTGCTTGTGGAGCACATTACAAAACTTTACAGTCTCCTATAATACGCATCCTCTCCGACGGCAAAAGAGGCTGCGGATTTAGTTTTTCTGCACGTTATCAGCAATGACTACTGATCTTCAGCAACTTGGGTGTCCTATAATACGCATCCTGTCTATGCTTTTGTAATGCTAACATAATGCTCGGGATAGCACTCGCTACTGATCTTCAGAAACTTGGCCTGACTCTCACTCACAAGACTTTTGTAATGTTCAGCGCTCCCAAGCGGTCGCTGGTTTCTCCCACAATTTCATCGTACTGTTGTACGACATGCCATACGACATCCTTATACAGTCAAATCTGTCGTAAGCGACCGCCCCTTGGTGCAAGAAAAAGCGGTCTCTTACGGCAGATTGTCTCTTACGGCAGATGTATGGTAAATCCGGCATACCGGGCATGCATATATGCTTCCATGTACTCAAATCGACGAGAATAATGTGATTTTTAATATCATTTTATTGGATATTCAATAGAATATAGGGGTGCACAAACCCAAGAATAGTGCACATACCAGGGCTAATCTTTTACATGTTCAGCCAGCTGTCAAGGCTTCCCTGTTCAAGTTCGGACTTGCGAAGCATCTCCTCCTTGTAATAATGTCAGTCGCCTGTGTGACCAGATCCAGTATGCTGTCAAGGCTACAGCGCAGCCTCAGTACAGGCCAGGGCCAGTCGATCGCACTTGCAAGACAGCACATTTTCACACCTTGCAGTTGACAGCGCACTGGCAAGTACAGTTTTGCACCTGACTGAACCTGGGTCGCGGTCGCTTACAGCAGATTTGAATGCAGCCACTGTGCATGAAATCGCGGTCGCTGGTCGCGCACAGCAGATGGTCGCTCTGGACAGATCAGTTTGTATGTGAAACCGTCGGTGCACGGAAAATCGGTCGCTAACGGTAGATGGTTGCCTACAGCAGAGGTCGTTAACGGCAGATTTGACTGTACCGTACAACACCGTATTGATGTCTTTGATGGTACGGTACGGGACAGGTACGGGATAGCGCCAGGCATGCCGATGGCACAAACAAACAAACGAACATGGAATTAAAGCTGCGTGGACCCTGGCTAGCGCCAGACGTTACTGAAATAACGTCTTTTGCATAGCTACGGGAATAAAATTAATTTGTTGAGACCCCAAATAGGCTGGATTTTATGGATCGCGCAGAGCATGGATGGAGACGCACATTACATGGGTCATGCACAACACAGACAGAGACACACCACCATGAAACATTACTGCACTTACGTCCAAGCATTGGTACTGTTCTGTTCTCAAATCTGGTGACTGCACTGTAGCAATTTGGGAAGATCAGAGGCACTAGACCGTCCATGAAACTCGAGTGTGGCGCCATGACGAAGATTGGCGCTTCGTCGCTCTTCGCCAATTTGCCTTTGAATGGAATGTACCAGAAACCCAGCACATAAAGCCACAGCCTGGCTAGAAACGGTACCAATACGTTATACACAGCCCTAAACAACCACACAGCAGCAACACAATACCACAGCAAGGTCTAACGTCAGTAGAAGCAGACAAAATGACAGGAAGCGATATTGACCAACTGGTCTATATTTCCAGAATTCCTTGTTGTACGAGTACCGTAAAGTCTGCTGCAAACGCCCACCCCAGCAGGTCCATCCTATTTTCGTCTTTTTTCAGGTCAATAAAGTTGTGCAAAACCGTCATGAGGGTTGAACGTGACGAGAACAACTGTAATGCCTACAAACTCCCGATGTCTTAACAGGAGGCTCTGCAAAAGCAATTGTCATTATCTTGCATCAAAGGAAAACTACTGTCGTGATTTCCTTTCATTCGATAAATGAGTCGTCTTTGTATCAGTTCGTTCTCCAAGTGGAAATGTCGTAGAATCTATCTGTTTTTAAATCATGAAATCGCTGCAGTGCCACGATGTCGTGCTGTCTGAATGCAACGATGATTAACTGAGATAGGATTGTTCTGACGAAGCGTCACTCAATGACTTGACCTGTTGCCGTATTGAAGTTGCAAGGAGAACAGAAAGGATATGACAGAAGCTACAGCTACAAAGTCGCTGCTACAGGTGGAATCCTCATAATTCGAACCTCAAAATAGACACCCTTAGCAAAAAACGATATGCTGTAACGGTATTACCGTGAGGGGGAAAATACCGAGATTTGGGTTCGACCTTTAGCAAGATACACGCTATTTTTGTACGCTGTTGCCACGAGAATAGCTTTCATTTCGCGCGGTACAACTATTTACGTCACCATATACTGTAAAGCGTGAAATTTTCGCGGCGTTTTTAGTTCGCGTTTTCAGAATCCGGACAGGTTTGCGAGGTTTTAATTTTGCGATTGCAGAATGGCATTCTTGCTAAACCTGTGGCATTCTTGCTAAACCTTTCATGGATCTCCTTTTCGCGCTGTCTAAATTTCGCGATTTTCACGCGGTCGCGAATTTCGCAGAAATTAGACCATCGCGATAATTTCACGGTTTACAGTACGCGATACAAGGTGAAATGCGTACGGACTATGCAATGTTTGGCCAAAACAGGTAACGTTGGTCACAACGATAAATCAGCCCCCATAACGCTTTTACGCTGCAGCTTCAACGCTATTGGGGTGATCAAGGTACGAGTACCGTAAAAATAGCGTTACCGTTGTTTGCTACGGGTGTCTAATGCCATAAAAAAACTTCCAATTATCCGGACATTCTAATTATCCAAACATGAACCCACAACACAATACGTATGTCAAAATGCTCTCATGGTCACGCAGAGTTGCGCTACGGACCTTAGACACAGATTTCACGGATGCTGAACTGACCAGCACAGCCTGCTCATGCAAACTGAACTGACCAGTACAGTGTACAGTGAACTTCGAATTACACTTTGCTAACTTCGAATTATCAGCACAACTCTCACACATTTTCTATGTGAGCGGAATCCGTGGAACTTCTAATTAACCGGACATGTCCAGTTCGAGGTTCGAATTACCAGAAATTGTTATGTGGGAATCGTATTGATAGAAATTGGTCCTGGAAAAACTCCTAATTAAGCGATATGTTTGAATTAAGCCATATTCGAATTGTCAGGATTCCACCTGCATCTTGTTGAAAACTCTGGACTGATTTGCTCGGGAAAAACCCTGGTCTTTGCACGTTGCGTGATTTGGAAATGATGGCTTGAAACACCGTCAGAAGTGTACATGCATTGGGTTCCTGCAATGCTATGTTCTTCACTACCTTGTTATTCGGAAGAAACTCCAGTTTGGATTTGCGAAATAAAACAACCAATATTATAATCATCACTAAGAGCTAGCTCGTAGCTAGTGCCTGAAGAGATCTTGACACCAGCAAAGTGGACATAGTTTACCGTAGAAAGGGCTCTTTGCGCTACGGTGTGAGATGCACTTTCGTACGGCAGCGGTGACAGTGCATGGGGTCAGTGCGTACAGGCCAGCAGATCTTGCAAAATAAAGGGGGGTTGCAGCGGACTTTACGGTACAAGTACTGTTGATCCCCCCCCCCCCCCCCCCCATTGAATTTCTACCTGTGGAGCGACTTCAGCGTATACATGTACATCAAAATACGATGTTGAACCAACGCATGCACTGCTGTACATAATACGATGTTGAACCAACGCATGCACTGCTGTACATAATACGTGACAGTGAGAGTGTGCCTGTGGATGAAACGTGCACAGTCCAGGGCGGCAAGTCTGACCTTTCATGTTGCTGTATATCACACTGTACCTGACAGCCTTGATTTAATTCCCGTCCCCAGCTGAAGAAACCAGCCGGGAAGCGACACGGAGCGGGAGGGGTCAACAGTATTTACGTTAGTTTCTAGTGCAGAGAAGTGGAGTGTCGACACCTGGCACTTCTGTCTTTCCTGACAATACATCCGATCTAGGATAGGTGCATATGCATAAAACGCTTTGCTATCTCGCCTATTCTAGACTAATACGTCCATGATTTCCTTTACCGTCTCCAGCCTGTGATGGGCTCATCGTAATGGCCGTCTGCATTCGTCTCCAGCCCCAGCGATACCGTGTGGCACATAAGGAGACCAGCTGCCAGCACGAAAATAGTGAGAAAGAGACGGATGGGAAGTAGTATCACAGCCCCTATGCCAATCTGTGAACAAACAGAAGACCAAAATTCCATTGCAACACAACCCTCTAGCCACAGTACAAATTTAGAAGCAATCCATACATGTCCCCAACAGTACATAACTAAAAAGAGTGTGCAACTGCCTATACAACCTCTATATAGTGCTGCGACGGCAGCACTTCACATCACATGACATGGTTCAAACGGTTACGCTGGCAAATAGTGCAAAGTGACCACAGGAGAGTTGAAGCCAAAGCAAGGTTGCGTACAACCCTGTATCTATCATGCACAGGGCCAGGGTGCAAATAATGTGTACGGGTTCGTCATATGACGTGAAGTTCTGGCATCGCAGAGACGCAGACCCCATAGCTGGAGTTGCACATTCTTGGGGATTATGTACTCTTGCTGTCACCAATAACCAAGAGTGTACAGAGGAGGCAGTGGGGCAGAGAGGGCCTGGTCGTCGCTGCACGCTTTTCATACGATTTGTATGCTCAGATTCGTCTGTACGCTTCCAGGAGAGGGGTGTGGGCAGGTCACGGTGTGTATGCCTGCATGACTACAGACTATGTTGTAACAGGCAACAATTATGAATGGCCCATAATAATACCAGTAGCCAGGCACAGTATGACGTTGTCCCCTTTTCTTTTCTATTTTTTTAATAGTTTTAGATTTTACACACACTTTTACTCGTAGGTACTCTTTGGATATGCTGAGTGATACGCTCTGTGTACTAAGAAGAGTACAAGTTTAAAATTGTTGGCCATCATTGCCCATATCTGCTTCCTCTCCATTCGCGTTCAGTGGAGTGGAGTTCAGTAGGATGTTGACGTTTCGGTTTGTCACAATTCGTCTTCGCTTAGCTTCCCCTTTATTTGTTTAATACATAAACTTGAGCCTCCCAAGTTGGGTGGTCTGTTGCTTTGCGTCGTCGAGTTGTAGTAAGGTCGGTATGTCCAATAGTCTTACTAGTTGCGTCATCATCCAGTAACGTTCGGCATTCTTTGTTGCCGTGGGGCGAAGGTCGTGCTCTTCTTCGTTGTGCTTTCTTTCCCCTCTTGGACCGTTCCGAACCTGAGCCTTCCAAGTTGGAAGGTTGTTGGTTTGCGCCTTGGAGAAGTGTTGGAGCTCGGTGTCGGGTTGCCGAATGTCTCAGTACTGCTTGTCAGTTTTGTGCCATTTTGTCGCACTACTGACTGTATAAGATCTGGTTACGTTGGTGGATAGTTAGTCATAACTCGCAACATTTCGTCCTTCTCCTTTTTTCACCATGATTTAATTGGCTCACCATCCGAGTTCAACCAACACTAAAGCTCCCTTATTTACTCTTGGCGTGACCCATGTGAACCGAGCGGGGTATGTCTTTGAGCCTGAAGTGTGTCTTTCTTTTTAGCATTATAGCACATTTTTTAATAGCTTTTTTTAAACGAAATAACACTGAAAAGTTCTTTTGCAATTTAATATTGACAGAAATGTTGACAAAAGCACTGCTCCTATCATCAATACAACCACAAAAGGATGAACCCAGTATGCCGAGAGTGCTCGGGGCACTACGCAATCATGTAAGTGATCATTATTTGGAGCACGACCACGATACAACATAGGGTGAAGTGCAGTGTTTAGATTCCTACCTTCACTATTTGTGGCCAGGACAGGTCCAATTCATACTCGAACGGATTAACCTCGGCAGTATGGTCAGAGTTGTTAGACTCTGAGCCTGGCTGACCCGCCGAACTGCTCATTTTCAGATTCCACGCAAACGAGCCTTGCTACCCTTCAAGCTAGCGAGAGAACTCTTTACTCAGAAATTCCAGTCAGAATAGAGTCAGTGAGAGGCAGAGAAGAAGAAAGAGAGCGCCAGAGGCAGAGAGAAAATGCAACAGTTGCACGTGAATACCGACCGCGGTAGCTTGGCCATAACAGATTTTGAAATTGGAAAAGCCCGATTTTTGTGCCACCGAAAAAGGCATCATGACTCATGTCATGTCATCATCAGTCCTGGTGATGTCCTAGATAGGACATCACGGAACCCAGCATGCCCCAGCATACATACTATGCTGTTCCCATAGTAATCGTGACACGTGACTCAAAACTTTGTGTCGCGTCCGAGGAAGATGAACATGTCGCACTCAAAACAAACGCAACGAAGGCCTTTCGTCTCAAAAGTAATTATTAGTTGTCGTTCTCCTGGCGGCTTGCCTCAAGCGAGTCGAGATTCGTATCTTGCCTCTTGCCTTCACGAATTTTATTTTCCTCGTTGTGGAGTACGCCTGGACAAAGGAACTGGCAAGCGAGTCGTTTTGGTCACATTGAAAATTGCAAGTGCACAAGAGGATTGGCGAAGCAATTTGTGTTCGCACTTTCAGCAGAGCAGTAGCTGCTGCTGCGATAAAGTTTTTACTTTCGCCATTGGCTTCAGGCAGCAGAATGATCTGGCTGAAAGCGATGGCGATACGTCCATGACCACCACGTCCTGGGTTGATATCCAAGAAAGACCGTCCAAGGTCCAGTTTTAGCCAAGAGCTGTCGTATCCAAGAAATCAAAAACGCCAACAGCAAGCTTTGGCCAAATAATATCTTCCAGGCAGTAATTTACGGGCCTAGCGCCTGCTGGCTCGTCTTCCTCCTCTGCATGGCCAGGTTTGGGGCGAAATGAACACACGGGGCGTGAACATGGTGAAGAAACATTCCAAAGGCAAAATATTCAAAATTAGAACCAATCGTTTCCAAAGAAGCGCCGCGTGGCTACGAGAAACCCCACATTAAATCCCCAAACGAAAACGGCCATTCGGTCGGGTATTCGATGGAGAATCGAATATACACTACCTCAATCCCCGCCGATGTCTGATATTCTCCGCCTATTCCCTCAAACTTGACCAATTCGGAAAGAAATCCATCGCCATTACGATCGTGCATCCTCCACATACATTCAGAAATACTCACGCAGCACTTCTTTTCATCGCGTGTGCGCGACCGACGCTTCCATGACAACTCTGGGACAGGTGACCAATCAGACTCATTCAGAGTGCGATGTCCTAGATAGGACATCTCCCCGACTGATCATGATGATGACTCCATCGTCGCGATTTTATATACGTATGTCCATGAGCTACTACTACCGTACTGGCAATATAATGTTGCTGCAGTGAGGCCATGAAGCGTTACATGTTTGCCGCACGCAGGGCGTTACATGCAAAGTCGCACAGGAGCCGTTACACAGGTTTCTATATTGCCGGAGTCCTTTTTTTTGCTATTGCCGCATCACTTTTTTGCTATTGCCGCATCATTTTTTTGCTTTTGCCGCATCATTTTTTCTTTTCATCCACATTGAAGGCACAGAAATTCAGTTGCTATCCAACTGTTACAAACCCGACGGCAAAGGGCGACAACGATATCAATAGAAGACTGTATATTTTAACTATCAAAGTGATCTGTTCACAAAAAGATCATCAAAAGGAAAGTGATATAGGGGAAGAGCGCTTCCTCCAAAAACTACTGTCACTCACACAGTTAATGAGTGTACAACATAATATGTGACTTTGTAATATTATTACAAATTATTACAAAGTCACCGTGGCTATCATTAGTCATCACTGCTGCTAGCATGCTGGAGTCGTCATCGCTGCTCGAGCCATAATGGCCATCACCAGATCACTGCTGCTATGCTGGAGACTTTTCACCACGCGGTAGATCTACACCATGGTACACGTGCTTTCACAGTTTTCAGCCTTTTTTTTGGAGTGCAAACTGCAATGAAAAGATCGCCGCACCCCGCCGGACGCGCGTTACGAACTCAACGAAAATTTGTCGCACTAGCCTGGTCGCGCGTTACGCCGCTCCCCCTGCGTTACGCGTTACGCGGCAACATATATTGCCAGTACGGTAGTACTGAGTACTAGCAAGAGGGGGGTTATGTACTCTTGCTACTAGTAGTAGATCTACGGTATATGCAAGAGTACATAAACCGTTTATGTACTCTTGGTATATGCATATGAGCAAGAGTAGATACATGTAACCCCCCAGGGTATATACTAGTACCCTGGGGGGTTATCTACTCTTGATACTTGGTCCGCGTCAGCAATATTGTCGCTTATCTTTCGACAATTTGAACTTAGACTTTGGACATGAACGCGTGCACTTGAAGTGATAAAAGTTGGTACGATGGACGGTAAGGTACAGAATGAGAACTAGCTGCGAGGAATTTATTGTCCAAGGAAGGGTTCCTACTTTTTTCGGTCCTCCTCGTCGCTGCTTTCGGCGCTGGCGACAAATATTTTTGCTCGGGATCGACTCTCTTGCTTTTGCAAGCTCATCTCTCTTCCTCTCCGCTGCCTGTCTATTTTCTAAAGAGAAGTCGATCGTGACGGTCGCCTTCTCTATAGGACTTCGCGTGGGCAGCACGACAGCCTGTGTGGTTCAAATCAGACGCCGTTCTTTGCAAGATTTTATTTTGAACGACGACGATGCGTACAGTACTTGCAAATCTCCACGACGCGCTGGATACTCAGAGCGTTGAGCTGGAGGTAAGGGAGCTGCGATCTCAGCTTGATGAGCGATCCCTGAAGTGAGCGATCTCGGCCGTTCAGCAAAATGGAGCTGATTCCGAGTAGCCGATTACTTTCTTGTGGCTTGCGCTGCTCTTGCCTGCACAGCGTAAAAAGATATTTTGATGCGGCGCTGTATCAATCAGAATCACCCACCTGTCGCTCTCGAAATCCACTCGAACTCTAGCTAGACCTTTCAGGTACTAGCAAACTAACTTGCTAACCACAATTGGGATGAAATGGGCTGCCAAGTAAGCATTGGCGACATATAAACAAAGCTGAAAGATAAGCGACAATATCGCTGACGCGGACCAAGTATGAGCAAGGCCTAAGGGGCCATAAACTGGTTATGGAATGATATGAGGCAATTATTATTTAAAAAAATTAATAATAAAAGTAGGGCTCCCGACTCGTAGTAGCCTGAGCAAATTTGCTACAAAACATTTACCTTTCTGCTCGCCATAATCATTACATGTAGCCGTGGCTTGAGCTGAGCCTATACTGAGTATAGTATAGGCCAGGGAGTCGTAAAATACAAAAAGTATTTTACGACTCCCTGGTATAGGCTAGACAAGAGATCAGCTCAAGTCAGGGAGTCTACCATGAGGCGACACGTCACACATTTCATGATCCGGGGATTGCTTTTTTCACGACCTGGCGAAATTTGAAACATCGTCTTCAACTATTTACTTCTTTTTTTCAATTATTTTTGCTATATGCTTCGAGGTAGGAGTCGTAAAATATTAGGACTCCCTGCTGCGAACAATGGGCTGGGGAAAGGTGCAAGGTGCAAACTTGAGTGACGCGATTGGATTTCATTGAGCAGTACCGTTGTATTCGGTGGTGATACGCCGTGGCAGATCATACATGTCATGGAATTTCAAAGAGTGGAGGCACAGAAGAACAGAGAAGCATGCCCACAGAAACACCAACATTGGGTTCAGAAGTTTCACTGTTCTTTCTGTTCTTATGCGCTACAAGCTCTAAGAAACGTGGAGATCTACACATTTTCGTATTCGGAATTTCGGTTTATAAAAAAAAGAACTATACAAAACATGTTATCAAGTCGTTTGTGTGAAATTATACAATTGCATGTACAGTCAGAATAGTCAGAATGCCATTGAGAATGGGGGGGGGGGGGAGGCTTGGTGATGAAAGCAGACAAAACGTGACATCAACATGACGAGTGTACAGACCGGGACGCAAAAGAACAAAGGGGAGAAAGAGCTAAATCATCCTAAGCACAATGACACACTGTGGTTCATGATTATCAGGACAACAGTTTAGGGCAAAACAAGTGACTGTACGGTATATGAAAAGTAAGAGTGGATGATACAGCACAGAGCATCCCTGAGCTATAGAGAACCAGTGGCATTGGTGGCGGTGATGAAGAAAAATGGGAGTACAAGGGGCACTAAAATAGTGCATCCAAGTAAAGTGTTCCAAGTAACAGTATCAAAAACCTTCAGGGCACACACCCTTTGACATGGTTAATGGTACCAACCATTTGCAACAAGCAACACTAATCAGCAACAATTAGAAAGAGGAACCCTCCGGAGGTTGTTGCAGTTTGAAGTTCTCTTTCGCTGTCATAAGCCTGTGAGAACAAAAGAACATAGAAAAAAGAACCAAAAATTGTTTTGCTTGCTGCATGTAGAATACTCAGGCGAAGCACCAGCACCCCAAATCAAGACTTTTTTTAATTAAATAATTTGTTTTCCGTGGTGGGAAATCGAGCTTTTCCAGGTATCTACAGCCTGTAGAAGTTCAACGCTGAGAATTTCCAACTATTGTCCGGCTTTGGTCCTCTGCCACTAGTGACTACACCCAATTTCCAAAACTTGCTCCGATTGCTTCGATTTTGGTCTCATTCGATTCTTCCAGGCGTAGTACATAGGAAATCTGCAAGTATTATTCAAATCGGCCCAGCCATTCTTGAGTTATAGTGATTTGAAGTGCGCCAAGTTGGACTTTTGCTGGAAACAGAAATGAATGGGAGTGATGGGAGAATCGCGAACGACCGCACAGTCAGTGCATGCAGTACAGTGTACAGTGCACACGCCTCGTCACTCGAACTGCGCGTACGAAATTGCATACTTTGGTATGCTGGCGCAGAACAAATTCGTTCGTGGAGGAAGACGAAAGCGTCTCACCACCTTGTAATTTCACATGGCCAGTAGTTTTTCGACGCTGAAGACGATGGAATAGTCTGCGACGCTGCGACCCGACCAGAACAACCCAAAATTCATACCCTGAAAAAGCGCTGAGCGCAGAGCTCCTAAATTTTGTCGTATGGAAACGGGACTTCGGGTCTCAAGGGCACGAACATCTCCTCTCTCAGATAAAGCAATTCACTCGATGCGATATTCTACAATTTGACCTGGCCACGCCAAAATGCACTGCCATGTCGGATTCTCCCATTGGAAGTATAGAAACTTGTTTCCAAAAAATCAGCATCTGGGTGCGAGGGAGTAAAGTCACTATTGCCACCGACCTATCCTTTGAAGGAGAATGCTGAAACCAGTTGGCTGCTCTTCAGTAGTTCTTTTTCTATCGTATACATATTTATATATGTTGACACATGCCACGTGCGACGACGTACATACTTCTCAACACTTGAGTGACTTGAATTTGGCCATGATGACCGAAAGTCATTGGACCGTGGAGTCGAGTAGAGGGCTCAGGCTCGATCGGCACAACGGGTACGTATAGAACAAGGGTAGGGCTAAGCATATATAAAGTTGTTTGCTGTGCACAACCTTGGGACAGAATTTGGCACGAAACTCTCTGCTCGCCAACTGTTGAGTACTTGCTGAGTATACCATGCAATACGTAGGTTTAAACTCATTTTACAGCTCTATCACGGTTGCAACCCTCTTTCAAATGGTGACATAGCCAACAACCACATAATCCATATCAAATCTTGCCCCTTGTTTTCTGAAACAGTTGAGGTGTTCTAAGTGTGAAGAATTGAAATGGTCCCAGTCCTAATCATTGGAAAATGCAAATCACGGCCTATTATCGTCACATCGTGGTACCATGCAGCCTGGTAGTGCATTTGGAGCAGGAAAGTGAATGGTAGCACTGCGGTGGTGAACACATGAGCTGATGACCATCGTCGTCTTGTTGGTTTGTGTTGTCTCCAGTTCATTGCAGGTTGAACGAGGAATGAACGTCTACTCTTTCTTTCCACAACTGGCTGAGCACACGCCAATGAGACGAAAGCTAGTGCCAAACCAGTCCTTGGAAGTTTTGTTGTGCTGCTGGACTTTCAATCATCATGTAGAGTATATTCCGGTTTCTGAGTCTTCGCGTGAGCCTGAAGAGCTACACTGTGTAGAGGTGTTGGAAGTTTATCCTGCTCACGACACTGCACCAAGTACAAGCACTTCCTCGGCACTGCCTGAGCCCTGCTCTGTGTTTCCTGTGACCAGGAGAAGCAACTAGAAATGTGGAGCTTGAGCTGGAACGCTGGTGCTCTCTCTCTGTGTCTCTCTCTCTCTATCCGTCATGTTCTGCCACTTTCCGAAACCGGTGCATGTGCTAACATGTCGAAGCGCATTGTGTCTGAGTCACGCACTCTCCTCCTCCTCCCTCATATGCCCGAGACAGTATGACAAACTGTGAATACAGTTCATGCCAACATCCGAACTTGTGTGATTTTCTTGTAGTAAGCTGCCACGTGTGTACTTGCACTTGTTGTGTACATGTGTGTGTGTTTGTGTGCGCGTGTGTGTGTCTATGGGACTGCGTTCTCCTATTCCCCTCCGAGGCCCACGCAACCTTCGTGGCAGTGGCTCGACAGTACAGGACAGGTGTGTGCGCGCGTGCATGCGCATGTGTGTACGTGGGTGTGTGCGCGCGCGTGTGCATGCTATGTCGGATACTGCCAACCATGTATCGACTAGGCGCCAGGCGCGAACTGAAGGTGGTGGTGGCGAGGAGAGCTCTCTGCCAGAACGTTGCAGCCTAGAGAGCGTGTGTGGGCAGGCGTGTATTTACCGCCACATTGCCAGGTGTGTCTTTACCACCATATAATTCAACCTAGTTTTCTCATTGTCTTATTGTTTTCCGTAAGGCCGCGGTTCTTTTTTACGCAGGGGAGATATGTTAGGTACCTCCTCCCGTACATTCTACAATCTTTTCCAAGCTGGCCTGTATGCACCCCGTACTTATCCTCGTAGTCACTATTGTTCCGTTGGCCTGGATAGCTACTTGCGCACCCATATTTGCCATAGCTACCCAGGCCCTTTATCTTGCATTCTCTCTCGTTCGATCTCTCTCTTCCATAATGTAGTCGTTCGTCTTTGTCTCAGTCTATTCATTTCCCATAATAAATGTCGTTACTCCTACCAGTCCCAAGTTGTTCCGTTGTGTCCGGGAGTATGACTCCTTCTCGTTACTCAACACAGGCTTGAAGAGCATTCAGTACTATTATTTGCTCTAGCCTTGAGATGAACAAAACAAATGCCAAACTAACCGTCTCAGTTCTGTCAGCACTGTCTTGATGTTGTAGGATCGCTGCCAGCGAGCTAACACAGCCACACTTCTCCTGTCAACCTAGTACAAACAATAACAAAACAAACGAGGAACAAGAAGAAATTCTCAGGAAGAAACACCACACCACAAACTGGACATGAATATACTCTGTTGTGACCAAAACGCCGCAGAATCCACCGGATATCTGATTCAAAAGGCCATATGATGGGCTTATATGTGGGCATGGGCTTGTACATTGTGTACGTTCATCAAGAGCGACACCAACAAAAACACAGCAAATACCGGCACTGTACATACTAAATCTGACGGATCCTGACGGATTCGGAGCGCGCCACGAATGAAGAGGCTTCCATTCGTGAAAACGAGCTCTCTGCAGGGACTCTGACGAATCCTTGAACCCAGGTGACGAATCAGCATTCGTTTCGTATCCGTACGTGTGGTGCGAAAGGTCCCTATTATCATGTTCCGGAGACCAGTAAAATTTTGATATGTCATACATATCCAGTATACTCGTTTTACGATAACTCGATCGTTTATAATAAACGACACTCCAAAAGAAAAAAAATGGATGATCGTTTCATCCCTAAAATTTCGCGAAGTTACGAAAGTTTGAAGTTGTCCGGTAAGGCCGTCATCACACTACGTTCTCCGACTCCCGTTTACGTCTACGTATATGGTGAAAAAACCAAAACGGGTGGTCGTGTCATCAGACAGGCACAGCTCTTGACGCGTACACGCAGTCAGGTTTTTGGAGAAATTTGAACCCAGCGTACATCGAAGTACAGGGTCGCTCGGAAAAAGGCTGGGGGAGATACGCACGTTCATACAAAAAGTCGTATACCACGTCTACGTCTCCCGTTTCCTCTGCTCCCGTTTTCACCCCGTATACGGATCATCATGACAACCGACCAAAGACTCCTTACGTGGACGTAGACGCAGCGCTTTGTACCATGGTGTGATGACAGCCTAAACTCTGCATACCGGGTTAACGAATATTCGCCATGAGAAATATTTGTTCGAATGTGCCAAACCGAACAAGTATTCGAATATTCGGTATATTCGTTTCACCACTATATAAAATATGGTAAGGAGCGTGAGAATGCAGCAGGTCGTGGTTATGCATGACGCGGGTAGTGTGAACTTATGCAGTGGATCTGAGAATGGTAGCAGTAGATGAATGTTGCAGCTGTGGGTGCGCGTGGACAAAAATGGTGAGCGCGTATTTTTTGAAGAGTGTGAGTTAGGAGTCAAAGGGGTGTACCGGGTACCCGGGTACCCGACCGTTAATCTCAGGTACCGTTAGTAAAAGGGTACCCGTTTGGATTTTGATGAAGTAGTCAGTACGGAGCAACACTGCTGGGATCGTATATTGTCAGTTATTTACAACACCACGCTGGATGTCGGCATTGTTGTTGCATTTTCGCACCTACTACATCTACTCCTGCGACTGTCAGACACCAATCGATTTACGAATCACAATGTGATATCAAAATGCAACCCGAGAACAGATGAATTGAAATCTTGATTCCTGTGAAAATTGCGCAAAAAAATAAACATGGCTGCTAAAGGGTACCCGTTAACCCGCCCGTTAAGAAAATTACCCGTTCGTTAGTTAAAGGTACACCCGTTTGACCCCTAGTGTGAGTGCTACAACATTTTCTTTTTGCTTGCATAGCACATAACCATGCATAACCACGAGCTGCTGCATTCTCACGCTCCTTATCATATTATTCTAGCTATATAGCTGGTTGTGTTAGTGATTCTTACTATGTGACGATGTTCCACTGATGATAGTCACGAGAAAACGTTCTGGAATTTTTCATTTTAATAATTGTTTTATACATGGTTATGAGTGCACAATTGGTTTCATTAATTGCTATTTTACGACTATTGTCTCCTCGTCGGTCATTTAAATACTGAAGTACACTGAATAAAATATCAACGCATTCATAGGCGAGCAGCAACAGAAGCAGCATTCCTATTTGTACATGCCTAATCAAAACATTTCCAAAGAATGACTTACAGCACCATTAGCTGGATTCACACATGGCAGATTTATTCTGGTGGTGAAACGGACTGTAGGAGGTTCGTCTGGGTACCTTGGACCACAAGTGAGCTTGAGGCTGAATATTCTACCTTCACATGATGTCTAGAACACACAAAAAAAGGAAAGATCCCGACAGCAGTACAGATCCTCCCTTGTCAGTAGATAATCTCTGGGCCATCATATACTGGTAAGTATTTTATAACGAGACTTATTATCAATGTAACAGGACTTGCACCTATAGGTGCAACAAGCACTGATTTGTACTTCTATGGGATACCCTCGATACAACATAACTTGTCGGCACTTTAACTCATTATTAGATAATTGAAAATCTCCAACCCGGCTGTTTCTTAAAATACGCAAAAGAAAGCTTAGGGCCCCCGCTAGGCGTTGTTTTTACCTATGTCATCATGAGTGTTATTCGAATGGATAGAAACGTCTTTGCAATACAAGAACATGTAAGGGATTGCGCGTTAGACGCCTGGCGAAACTAGTCACGTGGTTGGCGCCGGCACACACACATACAATCATATAAAGCGCTCTGGACAAAGGCTACGCCAGACGCTACTAGCATAACGTCTTTCGCATGGCCTTGGGAATTAAAATGACCATAGTTATTATTAGTGTTGAAACAAATAATCGAATAATCGAATAATTTAGATTATTCGTGGGGTGAACGAATAATCGAATAGTCGTAGGAATTATCAGAAATCGAAGAAAAAAAAAAAAAAAAAAAAAAAAAAAAACGACCTACCAGTATGCTCAGTGCTGACCCTACTGATATTTGCACTGCGTAGATCTGCTCGCCGTATTTCTTCTCAATCTCTTCTCCTCCAAGTTTTAATCTCCTATCGCGATATCGGTATCTAGTATTACTTCTGTTCTTTCCATACGAGGGAAACATGGATGCAGTGAATGTGATTTTCGGTCTTTGACCACTTTCGACCAAGAGTCAAGACCCTATGCAGATCTGGATCAGGCGTTGTACACTCTGGGCCATGGGGGGTACGTACTCGTAAAAAAATTATAAAAAACTACTGTATAAGCAGAAATATTCATCTGGAATTTAATTTCGTCTTTTTCGTCCAAGGAGCTTTTGGACTAAATTAAATGTAGGACTAATGTCGATTTGCCCAGCGTTTCTATACACTCTTATGATCCATGGACGAAATTTTTCAACTGGACGAACTCCTTTTCTTTGGAGTTGGACGAAATTATTGACCGACGAAATGTTCTGCCTCTACAGTACTTAAAAGTGCTGAAAAAGTGTTGAAAAATGCCATCATGCGTATAATAGAATATAGATTATTCGTTCGATGGAGGGCGAAATTATTCGATAGATTATTCGTTCGAAGAATCCGTGTTCGGTTTAAACACTAGTTATTATCATATACTGAGGGTTTAGCAGTCCAGGAACATGAGCCAAAGGCTGTTATAGCGAGCTTTATGTACTAACGAATTATATCGTAATCAGACCTGTAAATAGTTGTGTCGACCACGTTTCGCCAGGGGATTTCAGATTTCTATTTACTAATGGGGTGAACGCACTACCCGGACTTGTTATAACGAGGGAGGACCTGAATAACCGTACAAAAGATCTCGCTGTGCAATCCTTAGTACAGCACACATTTGATCAACAGCGGTATGCATGTGAAAGAGAGATAGGGAGAGGATACTAGACTTACTAGTACACACACACTTCACTGGAGTGCATGCAGATAAGCCAACACAATTTTGGGCAATACCAGTACCCTTCCTGAAGAATGCGTCGTGAAACGATTCTCAATATAAAACAGTAACTATGTAGAGCGTAGTCAGGTCCAGCAGGTTCACTGTCTACATTGTTCCAAAATCACGTTTCAAAGCCAAGCAGCGTTTTAGTAGGACTCTCACTATGTACTTTGCAGTACCACAAGAGAAGAGAAATAGTACAAAAGAAGGGACACACAAATTAGGCCTGGGGATACGCTGACACACAGCTTCCACAACTTCAATTCATAGCCATGACGGGTACAGCATGGTTACGAGCTGCAGTTGAAACTTTTCGGAAGCTGTGTGTTAACGTATCCATAAGCCTAATTTCGATGTTCAGACGGATAGTGTCAAGAGTAGATAAACAAGAGTGTGCAACTCCCGGATGGGTTGGCCCACGGTTGTTGAAGTAATCTTTTCTACGACCCACGCGCTGCCGAGTCTTTTGGAAAGTTTTGCCTCGTGCACTTGGCCGGGCTTTACATTACAAGGTCGGTGCCCAGCACGTGCTCTCACACTGCTCTGCGGCAAGATGTGCGTTTTTCGGAAAATGGTGATGTCAACAAAAAATTCCGCCATAGGCGGGGGTATCTGCAGATTGTGCAGGAGAGATCCGGAGTTGCACATTCTCTCGTTATCTACTCTTGATAGTGTTATTAGTAATTACGTTAACTTAAAGAAGGGACAGTTCCAAAATGTAAAAATTCAATATGGGTCATTTCATAATAATAATATTGATTTTTAAAATATTGTTGTGAAAAGAAGAAGGACAAAATGTTACGAGTTATGACTAATAATTTAATTGGCTCACCATCCGAGTTACATTTTAAAATATTGACTAAATACTTTACCCAGAACACACACGAAGCAAACAAAGACAGTTCGAGTCTGCACAATGAGATATGCTGCTATCCATTGAAGACTACAATGTAAAAACCATAACGGAGTCCATTCAATTCCACTTGAACATGCGGAAATTGATCAATGAGTTTCGACCAATTTTCAAAGATTTGAATTCAGGTTTAGGAATGTTCAAGACAATTTTCCCTTCAGAGCAATCTGTCGTTACTTCGTTGCAAGGCGGTCATATAAGTCAGGTTTCCACTATAAACTTACCCTGGGAGGTCCAATAATCATACCCGTCCAGTGTGACATTGTCATATCTTCATCACTTTCCAATCCCCAGCTGATGGTTCCATCTCCGTGGCCCTTCTGACCCTCTTCCAGCTCCTCCAGGAGGCGGAAATTTCTCGGAACTGAACAACAGCAAAGTACATGACTGTGAACAGCCAACTCTTGCTAAAGCAAGACGTTCAAGCGTAGAAGACTCACCAACACAACCAGCTGACGAAGCCATTTTCCAGGTTCTTTCTTGCCAGCGCATGCGCTTCTCAAGGTATCTTCTTCCCTCAGACAGGTTTCTCTCGAATTTTCAACGATTTCCGATGATTTCCTGGGTTTACACATGCAAATATTCGTACCTTTTTCCTCAATCCGGTACAATATTGCGGAAATGACGTGAAAATGATGAAAAGCGCGGATTCAACCGATTTTGATTGGGCACGGGATATCATTATCGGCAAGCCCCATCGACCATGTACTGTAATGGTAATGCACTCTTTTCAAACCAAAACGGTGTACATGTACTAATAAAATAGTATAAAATAATGACAATTTTGAAAACAATTGCATGTGAGAGAATTGAGAAAGAGAGAAAGACTGCGCTGAACATGTAACAGCTTTACTACTTCTTGATCTTTTGGGTCTTTTATTCTGATCGACTGAAGTGGAGATGTTGAGCTGCCTGGGTAGAAAATTACGTGTCAACTCATTGAGTTGCTCCCTTGTGAGGAACAGGTCATGTAACACCCAGGGCCTAGAATCGGTGTTCTTGTTCCCCGGACAGGGCAGTCAAGAAGTCGGAATGTGCAGAGAATCACTAAGAGAATCTAGTGTTAGGGAAATGTTTGATGAAGCATCGGAGGTACTCGGCTATGATCTGGCTCGTGTATGTATGGATGGTCCGGCGGATGAATTAAACCGAACAGCCGTTTGTCAACCGGCTGCCGTTGTGGCCAGCCTCACAGCAGCTTGGAAATACTCGCTTCAGAACGTGAGCTAGCTGAGCATGAGTTGATGACAGAGTACGTTACAAAATAATCTTCAACCAGAGAGTCGTAAATATTATATTACGACTCCTACGGTCTTCAAACTCTTGGCAGTCTTGCGCTAGTGTAGTCGGTGGCATTTATGAAATCACGCAGATCATTGGCTAGGAGTTGTTCGACTACTCTGGGTACGATTTTCAGAAGAGATATAGGTGTCTGTAATCAGGGTCAGACCGTTCACCTTTTCCCTTGTACAATGGTGTTACTGTTGCATACCAGACCGGTATATGCCGCACGTGCTCCGGTTGAAGCGCTAGCAACTATGTCCAAAGTGAATTTTAAGTTTGACCATGACGCATCGATTGTGCTGTCCCCACAGAATAACGCGGACAAAATCCTAAAATTATGCGCATAATTATGCGGGCGAAAACAGGCCATTATGTGGCAAATATGCGGGTTAATGCGGCAAATATGCGGGTTAATGCGGCCATTATGCACGGGATATGTCACTGATACAACTTTAGCGTGCAGTCTCATGCAAGAATACAACTTTGTCGTACAAACTCATGAACCCATACGACTTCGTAGTACATTTTCAACAGCATGCACTATTTTCTTGTTCATTCTCATGAATAACGCGGGATTTATGCGAAATCTCACGAAAACGCGGATGATAACCAATAACGCGGAAAATTCCGCGGAATCGCGGTATCCTGTGGGGACAGATTGTGGTGAGGACATAATGGTCTTTCTCAGCATGGCATGACAGTGGAGTGCAAAATTCCGTACTCTACTTTCGCAGTTGCCATGGGCTGTTGCGATTGTAATTCAAAAATATCCCTTGTACTATCCCCCTAAATTTTGTGGACTCCTTCATTAGTCCCTTAGCAAAAATTTAGGTTCACGTTTTAGGTCAAATATTAGAACACAGGCCACTAAGCATGTCTGTGTATGATGGTTCTACCGGTAGGACCACGGTCTATGCAAGGTATCACTAAGAAATCGTCAAAATCATGGAAATTTTGCATACGTGGAATTCCTTTTTGCCCGGGAACAGGATAACTGACATGGGTTCCTGATAAGAAGGGCAAAGATAATAGTAATATGTGCGTAAGGAGCATTCGGCTCATGACCATAGGTGATTGTCAGCTCATCTTGAAGTCAATCACTGTTATGATTGAGGAGAGACAGAGAGAGAGAGACACACAGAGACAGAGAGAGAGAGAGAGAGAGAGAGAGAGAGAGAGAGAGAGAGAGAGAGAGAGAGAGAGAGAGAGAGAGAGAGAGAGAGAGAGAGAGAGAGACAAACGGGCAGAGAAAGAAAGAAAACAAACCAGGCCGAATTGAATAATGGGCGCGTTTGATTACACACATTCCGGTCAGTTCTAGAATTAGTTTATGGTGGATGCATCGTTCGATTACACAAATTCCGTCGTCAGAATCGACGTCAATTCTGAAGAGCGGGCGGAATTGCTAATTCTCCCACCAGAATTGGCGCACTCGACATACACACCATGCTAGGTCCACATGCGCACGAAGGTGTGCGGGATCCCACGTGATCCCCTTTTACGACTACAGTAAATAGTGGATATAACGTGCCCCTTTGATTTTCGATAACTTATCACTATATCCGGTGCATCACTATAGCCGATTTGCATGTATGACTGACACATGGCACATGACTGTGCATGAAATGATGCGTACATGCTGGAAAAAGCATGAAAAGCAGCCACGTGTACATGTGGCTGCTTACAGCATGCAGGGAAGAATTTTCTCTCGATCACGTCTGCTCACTCTGCTGCCAGATGCATCCAGGCAACACTGGATCAGTTTTGGAAGAAGTGAACTATATTGGAAGAACACTTGTTTTGTGATCATCACTCTTGATCAGGATATGCGATATTTTCCTGTGCATTTGATATGGTTTGCTTCCTGAAGCCCATCACAATAAGCGATATATCGGTGTAGCCGATAATAGTGTGTATAGTGATATTTTAGCTGTATTTTTTTGTGATTTGATTTTGATTTTGGCGAGTTCTATCATTATAGCCGGTACAGTCAGACCTCGCTTATCCGGTTCTCTTTTATTCGGATCCCTCGCCATCCGGAAGAAAATAGCTGGTAACATATTTACAGCATACGTGATGCATCCAACATAAACGGTTTTCGGTTATCCGGTTCCCTCGCCTATCCAGATATTTTCGTGGAAAACGGATGTGTGCGGTTAAGCGAGGTCTGACTGTATATCGTTACACCCGGTCACTTTATAAACGATACTCACTGTATTACGTGTAGTTCGTTTATTTGCCGCAATCCGTTTATTCTGTTCATCCGAGAATTATAAAGCCTGGATCCAGAATGTGTAATTGAAAACGCCCAATGTCTTTGTGTCGGGTAACATGGCCAGAATTTCAGCAGTCGGCCGGGTTTACTTTTTATTTCCAGATACCCGATGCTGTAGACAGCAAACTGTTTCGCCCATAAAGGCCCCATCAGTACAGCTACGAGCTTTTTAAGCAAGCCGAGCTACCATCTATGGTGCAAAGGAGGCACCACAGACATTAAGATAGCTCGTCGCTCTAGCGCCAGGTTGCTATAAATTATGCATACTGGTGGTGTTCAAAACATTCGCTGACCACAGCCAACCTGCTCAAAAAGTAGAAAGTGATGTAGTCCTTCACGATCGTGATGCTAGACCCTGCAAAGTACAAACACAATGTAAGTAGAAGAGAGATTCTGCTATACGTCAAACCAAGAGTACATAAACCTCTTGATCAAACGTAGAGAAATCACGTTTAGAGCTGGGGTCTGGGTTAAAGTCTACGGCTTCGCGTGTATTGGGTCCAGATTTCTATGCGTAGATGAGGTTCTCTGCGTTGTGGTACATGCAGAGAATATGTGTACGGTTCTGCTGGGCATGATTCAAATGCAGGCAAAAAACTGCCAAATATGGAAAGGGAAATTCCCCTGTACACATTCCACATAATTTCCTTATGTGAACGTAGAGCAGAACAGGTTTCTTTACGTTACGGGGACGCGAAGAAAGTTCCCGGGATTCGTCGTGTTGCGTTCCCGTAACGTAGAGCAGAACATCTCTAATGTTGCACTTTACTCAAAGAACGGTCCCAAAGGACCATGCATTCGCGCAAGCAAATACCACCTGCACATAAAGAAAGTTTCAGTTGGTGCTCAAAAACACGATCGGTCGGGTTACCCGAAACGAGAGGCGTTTTCGGTTTGGCCCCATGTTCAATAATACTGTACAGTGTTTCATGAGACACACTTTGGACTTCTATCGAAAAGGATTAACTTACACCTGGTGCTCTACTGATCATGCTGGAATATGTTTGTGTCCAGCACTTTCTGCATGCACTGTATTGGGAATTCACATTAGGCAACTTCCGAGAATATCTGACCGTGGGTTGCATAGCCCGAACCTCCTTGCTTTGCTGTTTAATCATTGACTTGATGTTTCGGAACTCTGTGAACTTTGGCCCAGCTTTCTCGATTATCTGCTACTCTATGTTTCTTCAGGGTGGACCATCATGGCCCTCTCTGAGAGTTGCAGGCTTCAGCGTGGGAGAAATCACATCTCTTATTTATACAAAAAGCATCAGTTTTAAGGCAGGTAGGTGCCTTTTGCAGACTTGTGACATCTATTTCCCTATGGGTTGTATTTTTATACATTTTCCAGTACTGCCAAACGGTCGCATTTTCCGTATTTGTACGGAAAATCACTCCTTCGTCCGCAGTACGGAATTTAAGAAAAATGGTCCGGAAAATGGAAGAAGATCGATCAGCTACAGATATGTATGTAGAAGCATCATGGTAAGCGTAAGCTGAGCGATGAATATCCCTGTGCCAAAGCGAGTGCATGCCATTCTTCGACCACGCGTAGCACTATATATTATGTCGTGGTCTTGTTTTGCACTAGCAAATCCAGCCACCGACAAGCATATGAGCGTAAAATAACTCGATACAAGCATGGCAATGCACACAGAAGCACATTGGGTGTATGCAAAAAAAACACGTCAAAATACGGAAAATCAGAAGTCGCAGAACGCAAAACAGACCCAGTTGGTTGGCAGCACTAATGTTCACTTATGTGCTTATTAATATTAACTTTTTACAGTCGTGGACAGTTGCTTCATAACTCATTCGAATGTGTTGTTCTCTTCTATTTTACATTTATTATTGGCTCAGTATCCGAGTTAAATTTGCACACCTGATGAGCCGTCACGTACAATACGGCGAAACGTACGTCGTGTGAAACTACTTTTTATAATATTGTAGTCAACTCGTCCACAATTATGTATTCTGCGTGTAGAGTATTGTACAGTATACGAGGATGGTGGTGACCCATTCATGTGACGTGGCTTCTGGAAACTAACATTTTCTTCTGTGCTCGGGTTACGAATTGATAGCGTAATTGCTTTGCATTGTAGATAAAACTTTACTCTGCCTCCTCCTCCTGAATCCGGGTAATAGCAGTCGTTGTGATACGGAAGTTTTCTCCCTGCCTTCAATCCTGCCTTTCTGTAATAGGTATGCAGTTAATTCAAGCCCGGGGACGTGCAATGCAAGATGCCAGTGATCGCTTCCCTGGCGCTATCCTGTCAGTGCGCGGTTTGAAGCATGTTGATGTGATTGACTTGTGTCGTCGTTGCAAAGAAGAGACGAGACTCGAGTCTATAGCCCCATGTAATTCTCCGGATTCCTTGTACCTAGGTCAGTTGCTTTGAAATATGAATGCCTTCTCCGTTTTCTCTTGATACCTAGTGCACGGGGGGATGTTCGGTGTGATCTTAGAGAGCTTTTGCGCCATGGAGTATGTCCATGAACTACTGGGGGCATTTTTTCCGTGGAGTCCATCTCCTTTCTCACATTTTGCTACACATACTTTGTCACGCACAGCTGTCTTGAGGAAAATGATCATAAATTGAGAAACAGAAAATGAAATTAGGCTGCATCTTTAATGATAGCTTGCATGCCGTCTAGGGCTCAAATGGCTACGGTTTTCATTAACTGCTACACTAACGGTCGGTTTATCGGGTATAACCTACAAGCTGCAGCGGTCCGACGCGCAGCTAGTTTAAGCAGTACACGTATAGTATGAATACAATATACTTGTTCGAAATTGCGGAATTACTACTAATACATGCACAAGTTTGCATGCTCATTCACTCGGCAGCGTGAAGTTGATTCAAATTGTCACGGATGGTACTATGTAGTGTACCTTTATGCATGTGTACGTACACGATACGGTGTAAAACTGCAAAACTCTGTAAAAATGCGTACTCCGAGAACTCGAAAAAGTAATTTCGTAATCTTTACACAAACGATTAATCGGACTAACTGTTTGAGCCCTGATACCATCCTACCGGTAGGAACCAAGAAATCGCGCTGCAAAAGTGCTTTTGGTTGAGAATTTTCTTGAAACAATTGTTGAGATGAGGTCTTTGTAAGGCAAAGTAATGGCGCAAAATGCAAACCTATGTCCAGTGCATTGCATATGTGCGATTTTATCAATTGTCAAAATGGCCGCACATGCTCCTGCCGGAGCGCTAGAAACTCTGTCCAAAGTGAATTTTGACCATGGCACATGAATCGTGATGAGGACCTAATGTCTTTCTAAGCCTGTCATGGCAGTGGAATGGAAAATTCCATGCTCCATTTCCATGGTTACCATGGGCTGTTGCCATGAAATTTCGTAATATGCCTTGTACGATCACGTCCAAAATTTGTGGACTCCATCATTAGCCCCTTAGCAGCAGTTTAAAGTCAAGTTTTAGGTCAATGTTAATTGTTAGAGCAGAGGCCGTGCAGCATGTCTGTGTATGATGGCCGTACCGGTAGGACCGAGGTCTATGCCAGCTATCATTAACACATTGTAGGTGTTTTGCAAATCAGAGTACACCACAGAGTATGTTCTCGTGGGAAGCGCTCAAGCTGTGTCAATGTTCCCCTGTATGTCCTCTGGTAGCGGAGAAACTCTCCGAAATGGATATCCCGCTATGTGCGCCTACCTCGTGGTTGCAAACACCCGCAGTGTAAATTCACAGTAATGCGTGTTGAGCTGATACTGGGAGATGTGCATCATTGGATCTCTGCTCTCTCTATACTCGTGACTGATTGGCATGCTGTTGCTGCCCACTGCTCACTTTGTTATTGTGTGACACCAGGTATCAGCAGCTTCCTCGCACGGGAAGCATTCACTGTGGCAGGTCACTCACAGCTCGTGGATATGGCAGAAGGCTGTGCTGCAGACATGGGAGCATCAGTGCTCCAGCGTCTCTCCGTCGCTGGAGCGTTTCACACTCCCCTAATGGCCAGTGCTCAGGAAGCGGTGCGCTCTGTGCTGGACTCAGTTGTTGTGTCCATGCCACGATGTCCTGTCTATTCTAATGTCACTGGCCTGCCATTCACATGCCCTGATGACATCCGTCAGCGCCTTGTAGAGCAGCTAGTATTGCCAGTACTCTGGTCAGCTATTGTTGCCGATTTGCTTGCGGCAGCTTCAACAAGTACACGCTACATTGAACTTGGTCCAGGTCGGTCCCTTACCGCCTCTCTGGTCTTGAACAAACGTGCACTTTCCAGACGATGTGTCAACATTCACGCAAATTGAGAATGCCAGTGTACGGTATGGACAGTTGGACACACATATGCATGTATTCCAAGCATGCTTTGCGGTAGACACGAGTCAGTACCGGTTACATTGCCTCTCTTGTTTTCCTCTTGAGCCTTCTCAACTCTTTTTTAAAGGGGAAGTTAAGGCTAAAATCAAAATTTCACCAGTTGTAGTCTTCGGGGTGCTGAGTTGAATGGTCGTGGTCCGAGGAAGTTGAGACGCTCCCTTCCTACTTTAATCCCAATCGAACTCGCGCACTTCCACCGAACCTGGGTGACTGCGCCCTACTAGATGGGGATTTGTATGCAAAATGTCACTAAAAGCGCCATTTCGTTCTTATAAAAGCACGGATGACCGCGATTGGCCCATATGTTGTAGTCTTTTGGTCGCTGAGTCGACTGGTTTTGGTCCGAAAAGGCTGCGATGCAGCGTTCCTCCTTTATTCCGAATCGAACATGGTTGAACAAGCGGTCACGTGCTCCTGCGTACACCAGTCAGCTGGTCACTGTGCCTGCAGGGTACAACTTACTAGCCTGTTTGACCTTTTTTGGGTGCAGTCCTGTCACTCGAGTTGAACTCGAGTTGAACCTTGGTGTGAAAGTTGTCGCCTGCTGACGTGGTGACCAGGTGATTTGGGCACCCAGGAGCACGTGACCGCTTGTTCAACCATGTTCGATTGGGATTAAAGGAGGAACGCTGCATCGCAGCCTTTTCGCACCAAAACCAGTCGACTCAGCGTCCAAAAGACTACAACATACACTCATACCTCGGTTATCCGGACCCCGAAGTTACGGGCACTTCGGTCTACCGGGCACCCTGGGGGCAAGTTTCAGTGGAAATATTACTACTCCTTTGTCACTTTGTGTGGAAAAAGTGACGTCACATGCCATGTTCTGTCACATGCCATGTTTATTATGGCCTTTTCCCCATCAAGATGTATATGATTTGGAGTTACGGACATTTCAAAGTTACGGGCAGTGCAAGGTCCCGGACTGCCCGGATAAACGAGGTATGAGTGTATGGGCGAATTGCGGTCATCCGTGCTTTTATAAGAACAAAATGGCGCTTTTACGGTGACATTTTGCATACAAATCCCCACCTAGTAGGGCGCAGTCACCCAGTTTCGGTGGAAGTGCGCGAGTTCGATTGGGATTCAAGTAGGAAGGGAGCGTCTCAGCTTTCTCGGACCAAGACCATTCGACTCAGCACCCCGAAAACTGCAACTGGTGAAATTTTGATTTTAGCCTTACCTTCCCCTTTAAAAAACTTTTCCAAAGATCAAGTTGTTTAAAAAAATGCTTGTGACTAGTACTTGTGAAGTATGTCAGTACCAGCTTCTTCTCTTACCGGTAAGAGGTCACTGCAATGTGGTGCAACTGACGATAGTATTTATAGTACTGTAGTAGTAGCTTCTTTTTTCGACCAGACAAGACCACACGACGCTTACGAACACCAGCACGAACAGTTCACCAGCAACACCCCACAACAGCAAGTTCCCACTATCTCAATATGGAACGAAGCAAGCTTGTCAGGAGTAACTACTTGCTGTTGTAGGGTGTTGCTGGTGAACTGTTCGTGCTGGTGTTCGCAAGCGTCGTCTGGTCTCGTCTGGTCGAAAAAAAGAAGCTACTACTACTATGAATCGACGGGCTGAATAAAGATGGCATCATCGAATAGTATTTATTCCCGAATTTACTTTAGTAGCATCAAGAGTATCTACTCTTGGTAGCATCTATCGCTAGCCAGGACTCGGGGTTCCTCTGACTCTTTTTTCATGACTCTGTTTTTCCTAGTAAAGAAAAGGACCAAGGAACTACAAGTTACGCTATAATGTCCACTAACGAATTGATCTTTGAATCTTTACAGTCACGCAAGTTGTGTGGTATGTTGCTATGCGTCCTTGAATCATGGTTTGACGGTTTGACCGTATTGTCTAACTAATGGTCTTGCCAGTATCTTCATCGACATGCATGTACATGTACATCCACCAGCGTCCTTCACAGCTGAGACTTTCAGCTTGTTCTCACTCTTGGTTGCGCTCACCTTCCCCTCCTTTGTATTCATATACTAGTAGTAGCTTAGAACCTTCCAAGTTGGAAGGCTCAGTTGGTTGGAGTGCGCACCCAAGACGTGCTCAGAGAGCTGATAGCTAGCCAGATACAAGTACTAGCAAGAGTCCATAATGGACTCTTGGTACTAGCAGTAGTTCTTTTTTTCCTTTAAAACTTTTTTGACTCTTTTTCCCCTCACTCTTTTTTCCTCTCTTTCAAGTCTTTGTTCCTCTCACTCTGATTTTCCTCTGACTCTTTTTTCTTCGGGCTCTCTCATTTTCCTCCGACTCTTTTTTCCTCTGCCTCTTCCTTTTCTCTGACTCCTTTTTTCCTCTGACTCCGATTTTTCTTGGTTGTGATAATTTTACCATTCAGTGTATGTTGCACACGAGCACATGTTTGCAGAAAATACCTATCGCCGGCATGCGCGGCAGGCACGACAGGGTAAACGATTACGTACATCAATACGCCCGAATGTAGGCATAAGCTATAATCATTATTACTATTAAAAGGTGGTTCAAGTACTGTAAAAGCCTTATATACGTTAAGCAGAAATCGATACAATCATATTATTCAGTGTTGCTATTGAGCGTGGAGAATGAGTGAGAATCGTTACCTTTAATCCACGTATTGGTCAATTTTAGGAAATTGTTCTATTATATGTGCCTCCTCGTTAGTACATCATAATTATGTACTATGTGTACTCAATCTATCACGGTACTAAACTGTTCTGTTGAGGCGGTAATTCCTCATATGTGTTATGTACAGATGCGCCTGAAGACCGCAAGATCGGTAACGTATCTTCTCGTTAATTAAGTAAATTAACCTATGAATTTTGGACAATATAATTTTGAATTTTGGACAATCGTTAAATTTGCGACTCGTTACTGATAATAACATGTCTTACAGTATGTGTATGTATTACTATGAATGATGATGTATGCAAAGAAATACAATAATGGTGTCTGGATTAAGTTAGCTGCGTGATAACTAATGCAGTGATGCTTCACCCAAGAAATGCCGAGAATACCGGGAGGGAGCACTACGAGCACGGACCGTGAACAGTGAAGAAAATCAAACCCGGCAATTGGATTTATAATGCAATGAATAAGAAACCGTACTGTGACGCCGGCACACTCAGGCTCATATTACAACCATAGCAACGAATAAAGTATTCCAGAACGTTTTCTTGTTACAATTATCAATGGAATTCGTGACTACAGTAAAGGGAATGATGAAATTACAATAGAAGTTATTTATACTGGTGACATGTAGGCTTGGAGTGAGCCGCAAAAAAACTCGGAGGATACAAGAATAGTAAGAAAAATAATAGCACAAACTTCGGAAAAATTGCACTGGTAATAAAAACTACTACATGTCCCGCGGGCCCGGCTCGCCTCGTAACATGCTGTCAAATCGAAAAACATGTTAAACTACCAAGCAAGGCTTCTGTGTATATACATGTACAGGTGAGAAATGATAGGACTTGAAATTAATTGGGCAAGAGCAGAGTGATAATTATACATGCATCAGTATGCAAGTGTGTGGTGAGCCACGGGACGAATCACTGTGCATGTACAAGTCATGTAGTTACTGGAAGAGTGCAATTGGATTTGGTTGCGTTTTCACCCCCAGCGTTTACAAGTAGTTGTCGTGTGCCAGCTTCCTCTCCATTCAAGTCGAGTCCTATCCAGTAAACCAGGTAAACTGTAATCATGTCAGACACCACCCATTTTACTAAACTGGCCATTTTATTTGCCATGACTCGACTACTAGTACTATACAGCTAGAGTACATGCAGTCGATAGCGCTATAGCGACTGTCAAGACTCAAAAATAAACCTTTTTTTATGTACTCTTGATATTGTGTTTAAAAAATGCATGACCGTTGCGCGATGATGTCATCGTGGAACAAGCAAAATACTTTCAAGGACCTGGGACGACGTGTATCAAACTTTCAAAGAGTCAAGAATCAAGAGTTTATGCACTCTTGTCGTGTAGTCTTGATCTTGGTACATGTAGTATTGATTCGATAGCCTGGTCCAGGAGAAGCTTTGGGTACAGTAACTGTTGTAGTGTTGAGATATACGACGGGAAGAGTGTTTTTTCCGTTTGCTCCCTTTGCAATACGACAACGGAACACATGGCTTCGGTGGTTAGTGAGCATTTGGAGGGCAATTGGGAAAATTATTTTTCCAGACCATAGTGTTGTCCTGTTGCATTCTGTTTTCATTTTTGAGCAGTACAATTCCAGTCCAGCTCTGCTGGAGCTCCGGCGTCGTTTTTCTGAGGAATGTCAGAGTAAGATCATTTTGTGAAACCTCGTTTTCCGTATCTCGGGGCTATCGATGACAGTGTCCACCACATACCAGAAAGGCAGAAAGGCCAGGCCAACTGGATTAAATTTGTAACATGGAAATTGTGGGCACAAGTTATGCGATCGAGTCCACCAACTATTAAAACAATTTCCATTTTACAATTTTTGTCCTTGGCTCACCATCTGAGTTCCAACTGGATTATTTTTTCAAGTGCAGATTTCTGTGATGCAGTGCTTCCCTGTTTTTCATAAAGAAACCTCTATAACTCCCATGTCAATGACCAAGGCATGGGCTTACATCGATTGTAAAATTAATGAAACAAATGTGGCACTGTTGTTGCATGCCAGGTTTCTAGTACGTCTAGGCAGGAACAAAAATAGCGTGTGTGTGGGGGGGGGGGGGGGGGGCAGGGGAAGCATTACCCCATAAAACCATAGGAGACAAAGTGTGTGTACCTACCAGCAGCAGCAGCAGCAGGTAGTCGAGTCAACACACAGTGATGGTAGGACACATGTACATGCATGATGCTCTTCCACTGCCTGTGTCAACGCCGTTGCTACAGGCGATTCGCGACGTTTGTCCTCTACCGTACAAACTACAATCGATCCATGTGTTCTTCATCAGTTTTCTATTGCTAGTATACTATAGCTTGATTTACATATCGCCGGGAGGCGCCGCTGGTGAACCTCTTGCAACCTCTCTTGGCTCATGTGAACCAGGCTAATGCGTGCCAAAAAACAAACAAACAAAAAACACGCTGCGGCCCCTGCCCCCCCCCGCCCTTTTGGCTATAATAGTACCCTGCATGCACAATGTCATTAGAGGGGAAGTACATCGCCTTTTCAAGTTGGGTTCAAATGAAAGACAATAACTTGCCAAATCGCGAATTGTATGATCCATGTTGCCTTAGAGACCGGCGCAGTGATGACGCACATTCTGCTTAGCTCCGCGAGAGAGAAGGTCAATCACTGCAGAATTTTCTCACTTGGTCTTATTGTATTCACGATGTGAAAAAGTGCTGTGTTCAATACTGTTAGTTCCGTGAACTGTTTATTAGTAGTCCTCTCCGGTGTGTACTGGGACGTGACCGGCAGGAGAAAGGCGGAGTGCGGAGACAGCAGACAAGCGAAAATAGTGACGAACCAAGTGCTGAAAGGCACAAATCAGACATTCAGCGTTTATCCCAACCAAGGACCATGCCGTTTGCTCTTTCCACTTCCTGAAGATGAATGTGATGCTTGCTGGCGACTCTCCTACATGAATCTCTCGTAACATCTTCTGAAGCCACGTGAGACGACGGGTGGTGGAGATTGACGAACGAAATGTCGTAGTTTTTTAAAAAGTTTGCTGAAAAGTTCTCAGGAGAGATGGCGAATACCTAGCATCTTCTCCTAGAGGAACCATTTCCTAGGCTACAGTCAGCGTAGGGAAATGCAGGAGAAGTCCGATAAACAGTTCACGGCACTGAACACAGCACTGAACACAGCACTTCTTTCACATCGTGAATACAATAAGACAATTGAAAATGAGAGAATTCTGCAGTGATCGACCTCTCTCTCTCATGGAACTAAGTAGAATGTGCGTCATCACTGCGCTGGTCGCTATGACAACGTGGATCATACAATTGGCGATTTGGGCAAGTTTAGCTTATCGCATGCAAGCGAGAGATATGCCATTCGAACCCGTGTCAAATTGTCTTTCTTCTGGACCTAAGTTATTAAAATCGATGCACTTCCCCTTTAAATGCATACAGCGATGTAATTACTAATAAGGTATGTTTACTAGTATTTGGAGTACTGTTACGGGGTCCATGCATATAGGACGAGGTCGGTCAATGTGGAAAAAGTACTTGTGCTTGCATGTACTATGCCACTTGTACATCCCAGCATTTTATTATGTGTTCCTTGTCTACGTATACACATGCATGCTTTGGCAGAACATACGGTACATGCTCAGCCCCCCTTTCGAGACCTATCAATCAACCAAATTACCAGCCCCAAGGTTGATACTGGTGTACAAAAATAGTCAATTATAATTGCCGTGTACTCTGTGATCAGATCGGAGTTCATCATGCACAACTTTCAGTACAAATTCAGTGCACTAGCTCTTCTCAAGGTTGTACTACTGGTCATCATGATAGTCAATCAGAAATCTTCTTTTCGTGCTACTGTGTTACACTTTGCAATACTTGCTAATGCCAAGCTGCTCTTTTTGTCACTTCAGAGCTGGAAACACAACCAGACGAGCGTGACAAGGAGCTTGTCCAGTCTGATGACACCTACCTGCAGAACTACCTCATACACACGCAAGGAAACGAGGATGAAGCATTTCACATGCTGGTATGTTTTATTCCTTGGTGTTAGCCTGGGTTTTCTTGCAGACAACATTCAATCGCACTTAGGAAAAGAACAAACTTCAGGGACCTCAGGGACCTCACAAGGATAATAATATTACTAGTATTGTATTTGCAATACAGGCAAGAAGAAAGTGAATGGGAACAGTGGATTTAGTACAGCAGAGAGGCGAAAGTGAATGAGAACAGTGTGTTCCGAATCCCTTCTCAATTCAGACTTTCCCGCAACCAATGCGCTGACTCGATCCTCATCTAGTCACAGCAGCTCACACAATCATTCTTGAAGACTGTATTAGAAACTTCCTCAGGTTTTCGAACCCAAATTGCAGATCTTGCTGAACTTGTTCAACTCTGTGAACCAAGAACTCAGTACATGTAGAAGTCCTGAGTGCAAGTCGTACAAAGTACCAACGTGCAATGTGCAAGTGAGTGCCATAGTGTGCCTATATAGCGAGCAGCAAGGTGATAATGGTATCAGCAACCTGACAAGAGACACAAGCGGAATATGCAAGAATCTAGAAGAAGGTTCAGTGACAAGAACCAGCGCCTAGAAGATGCTACAGCTAGTGCCATGCAAGAGCTTAATGTCGCACCTTACAGAATAATGTGTGACTGTGAACAAAGAAGTGCGCCAGCATGATAATTACTAGTATAGTGTGTATAGAAAGTTTACACGTGTGCCAAGTGCAATGTACATGTGTGATAAATGCAAGATAGGAGATAGTTCCTTCCTATCACAAAACCTATGTGTTGCATGAAAGGTGTGCACTGGGGGTAAGTACAGAGCATCTAAATGGTAAAGTCATGATGCGTGACCTCCACACGTTCACATGCTGTCAATGGGCGATACAACTGCTACTTCCTTGACCTTTGCTCATACACATTCCAACACAGTGGATTTAGTACAGCAGAGAGGCGAAAGAGCACTGCATTGCATGCTTGTTAGGCTTCTTCACACTTGCACCTTTTTGTCATTTCCTCTATGTGTATGAGGTCACGCATTTTACTGTTTTTATTTCTGGCTACTCTTCTTTGCACTGTTCTATCACCTCTTTGCTCTACTAAATTCATTGTTCTCGTTCATTTTCTTGTTGCTTGTATTCCACCTGATGAGAAGATATTGAAAGTAATTGTGGATTTTTTCCAACATGTTGCTGGTGACGAGCCTGCAGTTTTTTCCCCCCGAGTGAGATAGCCTAGGTCTTGTTTACAACTGTGTCTTGCATACCACGATTGGCAACGTTTCTCTGCGGGAATGTGTGTACGGACTCTGGTGAGGTGCTCTGTGGTTGCTGCATGTTAATAAATAATGGTCCTGTGTTGTTTGATCTAGATGGATTGTATGGCGTGGCGTCGGAAAATGGGCGTACAGGGTAAGGCTTTAAGAAGTACATGTACGCACATGTATTGAGTGCGTGTGTGCTAACATGCATAGTCACATGTATTGAGTGCGTGTGTGCTAACATGCATAGTCACATGTATTGAGTGCGTGTGTGCTAACATGCATAGTCACATGTATTGAGTGCGTGTGTGCTAACATGCATAGTCACATGTATTGAGTGCGTGTGTGCTAACATGCATAGTCACATGTATTGAGTGCGTGTGTGCTAACATCAAGAGTACATAACCCCCCAGAGTGTGCAACGCCTGATCCAGCTCTGCATAGGGTCTTGGTCGAGCGGAATCGGATCTTTGCGTCATAATACCGTACACATCTGAGGGGAACCCGGGGAGTCGCGGGTACTCTTGGATCAAAAACAATGGTGCCCTGCCTCGAGACCGGCCTTGCGCTGGTGTGAAGTGTACGCATGACATCAGAAGATCCGATTCCGCTCGACCAAGACCCTACACAGAGCTGGATCGGCGTTGCACACTCTGGGGGGTTATGTACTCTTGCTAACATGCATAGTCACATGTATTGAGTGCGTGTGTGCTAACAGTTACATGCATAGTCACATGTATTGAGTGCGTGTGTGCTAACATGCATAGTCACATGTATTGAGTGCGTGTGTGCTAACACGCATAGTCACATGTATTGAGTGCTTGTGTGCTAACATGCATAGTCACATGTATTGAGTGCGTGTGTGCTAACATGCATAGTCACATGTATTGAGTGCGTGTGTGCTAACATGCATAGTCACATGTATTGAGTGCGTGTGTGCTAACATGCATAGTCACATGTATTGAGTGCGTGTGTGCTAACATGCATAGTCACATGTATTGAGTGCGTGTGTGCTAACATGCATAGTCACATGTATTGAGTGCGTGTGTGCTAACATGCATAGTCACATGTATTGAGTGCGTGTGTGCTAACATGCATAGTCACATGTATTGAGTGCGTGTGTGCTAACATGCATAGTCACATGTATTGAGTGCGTGTGTGCTAACATGCATAGTCACATGTATTGAGTGCGTGTGTGCTAACATGCATAGTCACATGTATTGAGTGCGTGTGTGCTAACATGCATAGTCACATGTATTGAGTGCGTGTGTGCTAACATGCATAGTCACATGTATTGAGTGCGTGTGTGCTAACATGCATAGTCACATGTATTGAGTGCGTGTGTGCTAACATGCATAGTCACATGTATTGAGTGCGTGTGTGCTAACATGCATAGTCACATGTATTGAGTGCGTGTGTGCTAACATGCATAGTCACATGTATTGAGTGCGTGTGTGCTAACATGCATAGTCAGCACTGAATACTGTAAGACATGTAGATATAACGAGGAAGTAAATCTAACGTTTTAACGGATGACATTTCTTCGTTATAATAAGATTCGTTGAGGCCGTACTGCTTCATATATGTCGTGTGTGGATATGCCAGAATGCTGCAAGATCGTTGACGTATCTTCTCGTTAACCTATGAATTTTGGACAATCGTTAAATTTGCGACTCGTGATAATAACTTGTCTTACAGTAGTGAACCAGACATTCTGCTGGTGGTATTTTTCTTTGAAAGTGAAGTGCTATGTTATTGTAATGGTTTTGACTGCACTCATTGCTTTTCTTCTTCTTCTTTCATCTGTAGGCATGACGGTCCATGACCTGGATGAACAGCTTGTGCGCTCTGGAATTACCTTTTTGCACGGCCGTGATCGTGAAGGCAATGCATGTTGTAAGTGCACTTTATCTGAAAGGTACTAGTGTCGATCTCGCCAAGCAAGCATGTACAGGCGGCACTCATGATTGTACTAACTAACTTTACTTTGGCTCGTGGCATTGATAGGGAAGGATTAGCAAGTCGTCTCCGTATTTTTTCCCCAAAGTTCTTCCATGTGCACAACTGTTTTCTTGCTTTCTTTTCGTTTTGTGTCCAGTGGTAATTAACACCAGGTTCCATAAGAAGGATGCAGAGAGATTTCTTCTAGTCAAAAAGTACCTCGTGTTTTTACTGGAGCAGCAGGTACATTTGCTCTGTTCTTTAAAAAAAAAAAGAAGTTTTGTCACAGTATTGTGCTGCAGGCACTAATCCACCCATCTGTTCATCTGTCTATGTCATCTATCTATGTCATCTATCTATACATCTATCTCACTGACTCACAGTCTTTCCTTCTCCCGTCAAGTCCTGTATGAAGCGAACCTTTGCCTTTGTGCAGAGGAAAGTGCTGCTATTGGGAAAGAAGGGAATTATAAGGCATGTGAAGTGTGTTGTGTTTCAGTGTGCTTTGCACGGAGAACTGAGGCTTGTGAAGTGTGTTGTGTTTCAGTGTGCTTTGCACGGAGAACTGAGGCTTGTGAAGTGTGTTGTGTTTCAGTGTGCTTTGCACGGAGAACTGAGGCTTGTGAAGTGTGTTGTGTTTCAGTGTGCTTTGCACGGAGAACTGAGGCTTGTGAAGTGTGTTGTGTTTCAGTGTGCTTTGCACGGAGAACTGAGGCTTGTGAAGTGTGTTGTGTTTCAGTGTGCTTTGCACGGAGAACTGAGGCTTGTGAAGTGTGTTGTGTTTCAGTGTGCTTTGCACGGAGAACTGAGGCTTGTGAAGTGTGTTGTGTTTCAGTGTGCTTTGCACGGAGAACTGAGGCTTGTGAAGTGTGTTGTGTTTCAGTGTGCTTTGCACGGAGAACTGAGGCTTGTGAAGTGTGTTGTGTTTCAGTGTGCTTTGCACGGAGAACTGAGGCTTGTGAAGTGTGTTGTGTTTCAGTGTGCTTTGCACGGAGAACTGAGGCTTGTGAAGTGTGTTGTGTTTCAGTGTGCTTTGCACGGAGAACTGAGGCTTGTGAAGTGTGTTGTGTTTCAGTGTGCTTTGCACGGAGAACTGAGGCTTGTGAAGTGTGTTGTGTTTCAGTGTGCTTTGCACGGAGAACTGTACAGTTTAAAAACAACACCGTATGAATTCATCAATGATCGTTTCATTATGCTGGGACTATAAATAGGCACATTGAACAGGTGTTGATTGACACCATGGTTATGCTAGAAATAGATGAATTATGGTGTTATCGACGGTGGTCTTCCTTGTCTGAACCTACCGTATTTCTAATATCATGTGATTGTTGTGTTTCTGGAACAAACTGTATTGCCCATGTGCATACAATGAACAACGTTTCAAATAATGCGCCTGATAGATGTACTGGTCAAACAGGCACTTCATATCTGTGTGATTGTCTGTGTGTATGTGTGTGTGTGTATATGTGTATGTGTGTGTATATAATGTGCATGTGTGTGTGTGTGTGTGTATGCGTATTTGTGTGTATATATGTGCGTATATGTGGTACATGGTGTGTGTGTGTGTGTGTGTGTACATGGTGTGTACATGGTGTGTGTGTGTGTGTGTGTGTGTGTGTGACTGTGTGTGCATGCATGTGTGTGTGCATGTGTGCGTATGTGTGCATGTGTGTTTTTTGCTTGTGGATGCGCAGCGTATCCGTGAGCCATCAAACCAGCTGACAGTGATATTTGACATGACTGGAACTGGACTGGGCAATGTAGTAAGTGCTCAAATTGCCATGTGTTACTAGGAACACTAACACACTAGCACACTAGCACAGCTGCAGAGTATTGATTGTAGAAATGCAATTGTACCTTTGCAACAGGGTGAATCTATTACAGTTGTGTGTCAGTTATCTGGCACCCTCGGGACTGGACGCTGTTGAATAACGAATATCCTGGATGACTGAAGCTACAAAGAACCATCTTGTGTTGACATAACGAAAGGACGGTACATATGATTCTCCCCCTATTTTGATGCTCTATGTGTAGTAATATCCTGAGACAGTGGTCATGCTATATAGACCGACTCGCATGTAACGTTGCATAAGGGCCACGTTCATGACTCTCACTGTCCACATTTACTTGCAGTAAAGTTTACTGTTTAATAGAACCGTAATATATACTGTACTGTAAATATACAATTTCAGCAGCTAATTCAAGGGGAAGTGAAGGCTAAGCCTAAAATCAAAATTTGACCGGTTGTAGTCTTCGGGGTGCTCAGTCGAATGGTCTTGGTCCGAGGAAGCTGAGACACTCCCTTTCTCCTTTGTTCCCAATCGAACTCGCCACTTCCACCGAAACTGGGTGACTGTGCCCTACTAGATGGTGATTTGTATGCAAAATGTCACTAAAAGCGCCATTTCGTTCTTATAAAAGCACGGATTATCGCGATTGGCCCATATGTTGTAGTCTTTTGGACGCCGAGTCGACTGGTTTTGGTCCGAGAAGGCTGCGCTGCAGCGTTCGGGCCTTATTCCCGATCGAACATGGTTGAATAGGCAGTCACGTGCTCACGCATACACCACTGGTCACCGTGCCTGCAGGCTACAACTCACTTTGAATTTTCACACCAAAGTTCAAATCAAGTGTCAGGAACTCACCCAAACAGGTTGTAAGTTGTACCCTGCAGGCACGGTGACCAGGTGACTGGTGTACGCATGAGCACATGACCGCTTATTCAGCCATGTTCGATTGGGAATGAGGGCCGAACGCTGCAGCGTAGTCTTTTCGGACCAAAACCAGTTGACTCAGCGTCCAGAAGACTACAACATATGGGCCAATCGCGGTCATCCGTGCTTTTATAAGAACGAAACGGCGCTTTTAGTGACATTTTGCATACAATACGATTGGGAATAAAGGAGGAAGGGAGTGTCTCAGCTTCCTCGGTCCAAGACCATTTGACTCAGCACCCCGAAGACTACAACTGGTCAAATTTTGATTTTAGGCTTAACTTCCCCTTTAATTTTGGCTGTATTCGGCACCGACCCAAAATGCCGAAATTCAAACGTTGATGAAAATTTTCACATCGGCTTTGGTGATGCGTACTAGTATCAACCCCGTGCCGAAAATAAATCGCTGCCGAAATGCCAAAATCGCTGCCGAAATGCCGAAATTTTGTAGCGCCGACATGTTGTATATTTACAGTATGCGCTGTCAGTGCACTGTTGGATAACGGACGTACCGGATGGCTGACCGCCTAACAAACTACATACTACTCAGTGTCTGCTCCAGTGCCGGGTGAGCCGGGTAATCCACCCGGTTGGGCGGCGCTTGGACGCGGTTGAAAATATAGTACCGGGTCACCTGTGACCCGGTTGGTACTTTACACTTTTGAACTTTGAAAGGACTGACTACATGGCTTGTATGTGTCAGACACTTCTTCTTTTTTTCGTAATTTTCTAATTCCTGTCCTCTCTTTTCTAAATGCGGGTTATCCATTCGCCTTTATATCATTGGGCCTAGTTCCCGTTTATTGTCCGAATTAAAACAAACCAACCAACCAGTTAGCATGTGACTCGGCAGGTGAGACAGCGCCAGGTACATGTACTTCAAGAAGCCGCTGCTACCACTAGATATGGCATGTTCTCAATTTCTTTCCTTGGCGCTGATAGGTGGAATTCTCTGCCTGTCTCGTGTCGTCAGGTTGAGCATCTATCCGTTTTTGTTCCGCTCTGTAAAGAGCACTTAGGGTTCCCTGTAACAAGACGGCAACGTCTGTAGGGCCTTCCCTATCAAAATAATAAATTCTACTACTACTACTACGAAGTACATGTGTACCCGGCTCCGACCCGGTTGAAATGGTTGCGCCAGGTACACGTGTACCCGGCTGTCCTACAATCCTAGAGCAGACACTGACTACTGTATCGTTATCTGTTGAACATGTGGGCGTGTGAGTGTATGCTATTGAATTAGTGTCAGTGGTTTCCTTTACTGCTTTCATGTTTGCTTAGGATATGGAGTTCATACGTTTTATCATAGACTGCTTCAAGTTCTACTTTCCCAACATGCTCAGTAAGTGCACGCTTTACTGGTTTTGTTCTTCTCCAAAGAAGTATGTATGGAGACATTTGCATTTCCACCTTCAACATTCTTTTCTAATTTGGGTTTTGAGAACTCAAGTTGCAGTGATTACAGGGGTGTATGTAGGAGTGTATGTAGTCGTGATTTCAGAGTAGCTTTGCAGCCGCACTACTGTACACATGAAACCGGGTCCAAGTCCTGCTTTCAGCAACCACCTAAGCCTGTAAGATCACTATTCTTTGACACCAAATGTGTGGCTCGTGTACGGGCCACCCTGGTTTCAGAGACCACCTGTATTCGAAAACCACAATGGGCTTGTTCTATGGTTTGTTGCTGGAACCAGGCTTCACCTGTATCTACTTGTGAGTTTAGAGTAGATCATTCGTCTTTATAACTTGATTTTGTGTGGACTTACATTTGGTTGAATAGACAGTGGATTGGTTGGTGATATTGCTTTCTGTACGAATGTGTGCGGGTTCGAGTCCCATACTCTGCCAGCAGGAAGTTTTTGTTTAATGCAAGTCATTCGTACTAAGCACTCAGTCGTTCTGAACTGTTGTGCTATGCTTGGCTTGCAATAGTAATTGTCTCTTTCGTCTTCTAGTAGTGCATTTTTCCAGTGGCATGACTTTAAATTTCGGAGACAACATCAACAGGTTTTTTTTGCCACCAATGGGTTTCTAAGGGTGCGTTCTTAAAAATCCTCTCGGAAAAGTTGGAGACTCTCCGAAAAGTTCGAGAGCTGTTCTTATATCCTCTCCGACTTTTAGGAGGCTCTCCAAGCTGTCCAAGCTTCAGAGGTGGTTGAAACTTGGAGATTCCCGCGGTTTGGGATCAGCGCATGCGAACTAGGCTAAAAGCCACGTGTTGATCATGAGTGTACGCATTTCCCTATTCGCATACGCACAACGCATACTATATTCGTGGCACTCAAGATCGCGGCCCCTTTGGCGCTTTATTTTGCTTGACATGTCCAAAATATCTCCGAATTCTCCGAGACCCGTTCTTGAAGAATCCCAGTTTCTTCGACTTCTCTTCTCTTCTTCTCCTAGAAGCTAGAGAATATAAGAACGCACCCTAAATATCCTTGTTTCGTTATGGCGATGAGTTATTAAACTCAGTACTTAGTGTACTGTCTGGACGGGTACCATATGATCCAGAGTTAGTTGCAGTGTATAGCACCAGTCTGATGAGGCCATATGTGCTGCTGTTCTGTCTCTTTCTGTAGACTACTTACTGGTTTTCGAAATGCCCTTCATCCTTTCAAGTGAGTATTTCCCTTGTCTTTTGTACCTTTGCCAATGTAGCTCGCAGAACATGTACTGTAAAGCACCGCGAGAGCGCCCCGCCATCTCTTGACTTTCTCAAATTCTGTCCACTTGAGAAATGCTGTTGAAAAGTTTCGAATCTCTGGTGTTCGAAAAGGAGGCTGTAGAGGAATAGATAACTTGAAGGCTTGCATCATCGGAGAGTCGGGGTGACTGGCCTTGCCATATCCGTAGGAGCACTGCCGCCCTTAATGATCAAGATACAGCCGCAGCTCCTGAAACAATTGGAGTGAGTTCGTCAGACCCTGGAAAGTGGTCACAGACCGGAAATTCCACTCGCTGGGTCCTTGTTACCTAACTGTGGATTGCAGCACAACTGCACAAGCAAAACAAATTCTTTCTGCTCCCAAGACTTGAACTTTGTACCTTTTGTAGCGGCATCTCCGGTGCCAATAGATTTTGCAGTTCTGCTGAATGAAGTCCGATTGTGTGTGTCAAGTTTGTGCCCTGCATCAGTTCAAATCCCAGTGTTCCCAGGTCTAGGGCTGCTCAGTGCCCGGTGCGTACTCGAGTCACGCGATCACATTTCATTGAGCAGCTCTGTACTTCTCTATGCTGTCCTCTCCTTTTTTTTGCAGCCGTATGGAAGATTGTAAAGGGTTGGCTAAGTGAACGTGCTCAGGCAAAAATAAAGTAAGTTGATTCAGGTAGATTGAGAGAGAGAGAGAGAGAGAGAGAGAGAGAGAGAAAGAGAGAGAGAGACCTAGGTGGTAGCAGCCATGCTCAGGAGTCGGCTCAAAGAACTCCAAGCTTTCTCGGATGAAGTTTGACAACTGGAAAGCGATCCATAAAGTTGAATTTTCATGCTCCTCCGTTAGATGAATTTCCTTTCCTTTTTTTGCCTGAAAATGGGCTTTCTTTGCTTCAAGCCCATGCAAGGTGTGACATCACATCCAGCGCAGTGTGCCGTGACTTTCTGCATCTTGTCCAACTATTTGAGTGAGTTTGAGCGAAGGACAATAACATGGCGGTGCAATCGATATCTTGGTTCTCGAGCGTGGGTTGCAGCGGAGTTCCTGTTGTATAGTGGTGGACAATGGTGGATTTGATTTCCTTGACGAGTTTGTACTCCTTGTGATCCTCTCTCCGAGAGCTTTCCGAAGAGCACACGATTGTCAAAATTGGTGAAGTAGAACCAGTCCTATGGTGGAAAATCGAACGACGTGTACTCAAAATGCAGGAATTTTCTTGTTGTGGTCATTTTCCGTGGAAGGAGCGAAGGGCTAAGCACATGTGTATTGTGGATTGTGTTGCACTGGGTTACTTGCAGCTGTACAAGTGAAGTAGAATTGTAGTAGAAGGTCATGCCCTTTCTGGGAAAGGATTGCCAGCGCAACAATGCTTTGACGTCCTAAACACGGAGGGCTAGCTGGGTGATTTGCTCATTCAGCTATTTCAAAGTCAAGTACATGTACATTTATGTCAAAGGCCCAGACGAGCAGATGGGTAATGGGTGGCTAAACATTGTAATTGCATCGGGAATCTCAACGTTGTCAGCCATGCCATTTCTTGTGGCACCCAGTGCATAGAAGAAGTAGAAGAAGTATGACTGTTTCTTTTGTAGGTACTTGACCAGCCTCCCGCGGAAGCGGAGAGGTGGTTCTTGACCCGCCCTGTATGCTGATCTGTAATATTGCTTTCTTTTTATCTGTTACTCGACCATCCTTGATTTGCTGCGCTTTGTTGCCTGTTTTGCAGCTTGCATGTTCCATTGATCATCTCACTCTCTCTCTCTCTCTCTCTCTCTCTCTCTCTCTCTCTCTCTCTCTCTCTCTCTCTCTCTCTCTCTCTCTCTCTCTCTCTCTCTCTCTCTCTCTCTCTCTCTCTCTCTCTCTCTCTCTCTCTCTCTCTCTCTCTCTCTCTCTCTCTCTCTCTCTCTCTCTACCACCGTTCCTTATGTCTCACTGCTCCGTGTTTGTAGGTTCGTGAAGAAAGGCGACATTCAGGAGTACATTGATGCGGAGCAGCTTGTGACAACCCTTGGTGGCACGGTATGTTTGAGTTTGTATTGCTTCCAAGATGTTTACACCCTGTAGAGTACAGTGGGTATGGTGGACTGTTTTCCATGCAATATCCCAATAGCAGCGCACTGTAGCAATGCGATTATATATACAACCATTAGTCTGGTGCGTACCCATGCACTGGTGTGTACTGTAAGTCTACACATGTTACAGTCATCTTACCGCTGTTACAGTCATCTTGCAACCTTTATTAGCAATCTCTCTGTCTGTCTCTCTCTGTCTGTCTGTCTGTCTCTCTCTCTCTCTCTGTCTCTCTCTCTCTCCTCCTCCTCCTCCTCCTCCTCCTCCTCCTCCTCCTCCTCCTCCTCCTCCTCCTCCTCCTCCTCCTCCTCCTCCTCCTCCTCCTCCTTGACTCCAGGATACATTCACGTTCGATGCAGATGAGTTCATGCAACAACATGCTCCTGCTGAGTTGTAAGTGTCTTGTTGCTGGTGGTGGTGGTCGTGGTGGTGGTGGTGGTGGTGGTGTTGCTGTTGTTGTTGTTGTTGTTGTTGTTGTTGTTGTTGTTGTTGTTGTTGTTGTTGTTGTTGTTGTTGTTGTTGTTGTTGTTGTTGTTGTTGTTGTTGTTGTTGTTGTTGTTGTCCTTCGCAGTTGACGGCGGTGGTGGTGTTTTTTGTTAGTGTAGTGTGTGCATAGGTACCTGTCTTGGCCGTTTTATTCCGATGCACTCTGTGTAGTGTAGGTCACGTGTGCACCGGTGGGTCCATTCACATGGCTTTGCCGGTTTTGCTCGCTGGGCAGTCGCCTGGCGCATGTCTTGATCTGTTTCAATCTCTCTCCTATTGCGGCTATAAGAGGAAATCAGTGGGTGTACTCCCAGTGCACTTGCAGATTTGCGTGCTTCTTGTGCGATGGGCATACATGTCACATTACGTGTGTGTGCGTGGGCGTGTGTCTGTGTGTGTGTGTCTGTGTGTGTGTCTGTGTGTCTGTGTCTGTGTGTGTGTATGTGTGTGTGTCTGTGTGTGTCTGTGTGTGTGTGTGTGTGTGTGTGTCTTTGTGTGTGTGTGTGTGTGTCTTTGTGTGTGTGTGTCTTTGTGTGTGTGTGTGTGTGTGTCTGTGTGTGTCTGTGTGTGTCTGTGTGTGTCTGTGTCTTTGTGTCTGTGTCTTTGTGTGTGTGTGTGTGTGTGCGTGGGCGTGTGTGTGTGTGTGTCTTTGTGTGTGTGTGTGTGTGTGTGTGTGTGTGTGTGTGTGTGTGTGTGTGTGTGTCTGTGTGTGTGTGTCTGTGTGTGTGTGTGTGCGTGGGCGTGTGTGTATGTGTGTGTGTGTGTGTGTCTTTGTGTGTGTCTGTGTGTGTCTGTGTGTGTGTCTGTGTGTGTGTCTTTGTGTGTGTGTGTGTGTCTGTGTGTGTGTGTGTGTGTGTCTGTGTGTGTCTGTGTGTGTCTGTGTCTTTGTGTCTGTGTCTTTGTGTGTCTGTGTGTGTGTGTGTGCGTGGGCGTGTGTGTGTGTCTTTGTGTGTGTGTGTGTGTCTGTGTGTATGTGTGTGTCTGTGTGTGTCTGTGTCTTTGTGTGTGTGTGTGTGTGTGTGTGTGTGTGTGTGTGTGTGTGTGTGTGTGTGTCTGTGTGTGCGTGGGCATGTGTCTGTGTGTCTTTGTGTGTGTGTGTGTGTGATAATGTGGGACTTAGCTTGTACTTATTTTTGGTGCGCTCGCCTTCCCCTCTTCTTTGTCCTTCATCATGAACACTCCTACTTGGAGGGCTGTTGGTTTGCGCATCGGAGTTGTGTTGGAGCTAGATGTCATGTCACGAGAGGGCTTGAAATCCCAGGAGCCCTCGCTATGCTTTGTTTGACCTAGGTCATCATGTGTGTTATTTGACCTGATAGAAACATCTTTGCAATACAAAACTTCTTGTGCCTGATAAATTGTGATAATTCTCTTTTCTATTGCAAAGACGTTTCTATCAGTTCGAATAACGCACAATCATGGTGAAAAAAGAAAAAAAGTTGGACGGTTCGCGTACCAGGCAGGTCAAGAACCAACTTTCCGCTTTACCATCACCATGAGGCATGATGACCTAGGGCGTGATCGTTTGGTTGGATCCAGATCCAGATCCGTCGGATCCACTGGATCTGCAGTGATTGATTGGTCGAATCCGGATGCAGATCCTTCGGATTTGGATCCGAGCAACCCTGCCCCGGGAGCGGGGTTGCCTGGATCCATTGGATCCAAATGTGACCTTTGTGTGTATATGGCTGGTAAAAAAATCATTTTTGTACTCATTGTCGTACGACTAGTCGACTTTTGTTGACTTTTCGTACGACGTGCGCGATCAGTACGACTTCTTTCGTATCTGGCGTGCAAGTGTTGAGTTTCGGAGAGAAAAGAGCAGTACGAGGCATGTGGCCTCTTATTTCCTAATGCTTTGAAATTCTCCGTGAAGTCCGAATTTGAAATTAATTTAAAAATGTTTGTTCAATTTCAGACGCCACTTTGAGTCCATTGCTATGGAAGAGGCTGATGAAGATTGCAATGGCGACCATGCAGATGGTACTCAGGCTGGCTCAGATTCTAGTCCCTTGCCAAGACGGGTAAGCTGACTTGTCACAGCAACTTGGTTTTATGCAAGGAGCTTCACATGAGAGAGATAGAGAGATGTAGCGACAGACAGATGTGTGTGTGTGTGTGTGTGTGTGTGTGTGTGTGTGTCTTTCTTCTCTTTCTCAGACTCCTCCTGACTTTTCTTTCATTCTCCTGGGTGGTTACCAACAGCCAGTGCATGCCGGAGTATGTGGTGTGATGTGTGTGCGGGAAAAAAATGAAAAAAGACCAAAAAGTAGGGATTCACTGACCAGAAAAAGCCACTTCATAGCTGTGTGGTGTAGACCAGGCTGAAAAGTGGCGGTCAATTCTTCAGCTTTGCTAGCTGTTGAAAGGTGCAATCCCAGCACAAGTTGCTATGGCTTCTGCCGTATCATCGCCTCTGGCGATGGGCGTCAAATGGTCAAATGGTGTGTGTGTGTGTGTGTGTGTGTGTGTGCATTTGGAAGTTGGACTAGTTTCGGCTCCACAATCCAGTGTGTCGTTACTATAATTATAGCTTTCATGGCTGAGGTTGTTGGTATGTCTGTTGGCTCTGGGTTCCCAGTACTCAGTAGCTGAGGCTGGTTGGTAAAGTAACTCCAATTTCACTTCAAGGTACCAGTGCATCTAGTGTCTGCTTCTATCAAAGCAGCATGCTGTCTATACTGGTTACCCCAGCAAGTGTAGGGTGTGCATAGGTGACTGTCTTGGCCGTTTTATGCCGATGTACTCCGTGTGGTGTAGACCAGGTGTGCATTGGTGGTCGATTCACATGGCTTCGCCAGTTGTGTGGATTAGACAGTTATCTGGCGCAAGTCTTGATCTGTCTCTTTCAGATCTTGTTCGCTATCGTTGCTATAAGAGAAAATCTGTGGGTGCACATCCAATATCTGTGGGTGCACATCCAGTGCATTTGCAGATTTGCGTGCTTCTCTTGCGACGGGCGTATACATGGTACATGGTACATGGTGTGTGTGTGTGAGAGAGAGAGAGAGAGAGAGAGAGAGAGAGAGAGAGAGAGAGAGAGAGAGAGAGAGAGAGAGGGAGAGGGAGAGAGAGTGTGTGTGTGTGTGTGTGAGAGAGAGAGAGAGAGAGAGAGAGAGAGAGAGAGAGAGAGCGTGAGTGCGTGCACGCGTGAGAGATTGTGTATGTGCATGTGTGAGTATGTGCATGTGTGTATACCTACTTCCTCCGACTTATTAAAATGTCCGTTTCAAATCATTGATCTGTTCCGCTCGATCTACCTGTCATCTCACAAAAATAAAAACAGAGACACAACTCCTCACCTATTGCAGTTGGTCGTAGGTTAGTTTGGAGAAAAATGGCAAGCCCTAAGAGCGAGGAGAAGCCATCTCCGAGGCGTTTGAAGCATGTCGCTGCGAAATTTTACGGCGTGAGTGCTCCTCCCGCAACAAAAGGCTGTTCGGAAGCGATCCTACTCACGGAAGGGTACGGAAGGGTACGGTAGCTGGCGAAACTGACAAGCCAGTGAGTATCGGCGTGTCATGCTCAGCAAAGACAGCGTGTGTGCCTCAATGCGTGAGAAGCGATGGTGGTTTCACGCGTGGCCCCACACTGCAAGAGCAAACCTGAGCTAGGCTGAAGCACTGGTCATTGCACGGGAAAAAGAAACGATCATTGTCAACATCGTTGTTGTCACGCAGCCGCCTCAATCGCCCGACCTAAATTTAATTGCATTGACCTGGCATTCTTTGCCAGCTTGCAGTCCGACACTGAGCTCGTTGCGAAGGTGAATGTCGCCGATTTGATGGAGGCTGTGAAGAAATGTTGGTCTGAGTAGCCCGCGGAGCGGATGGAGAGTGGAGATGTTTCTAAGCATCTTTCAAAAAGCATCATCGAGAGCCGCGGTGACAACACTATTCACACCACACCGGAGCTCGAAGACGAAATCTGCTGCGAATCGCCGCGCCCTGAGCTTTCCAAAGCGATTTGTGACGAGCGCTGAGAAAGTCCGCGATGAAAGGGTTGCCAGAATTGCAGCACCCAGCGAGGAAACCGCTGAATCCACAGACTCCTCGTAAATGAGAGCGACCAATTTTCCTCTCAATGTGATGGCCATGCACATAGCTGTTGCTATGCAAAACATTTTGAACACACAATCTGTCTTCGTGCTGTACTACAACTTTAAACTGAACCGCACGTTTTAATAAGTCGGAGGAAGTATGTTTAAAGTCCTGCTCCCTTTTGTGTGTGTTTCCAAAATATCTTTTGATATGTTGGTGTAATGGATTCAATCGGTATCTTTGTCACTTTAGGTACACTTTGCAGAAGACTTTTCGTCCTGCAGCACGTCGCAACCAGAAGACAGGAAGACTAGGTATGCTTTGTCGGTGGTAATGATGTTTTTTGACATATACCGTAAAGTACCGTTGATCCGCCCCCCAAGCCATGTCGCTTCCCAGGTGGGTTTTCGGCAGGGGGCGGGAATTAGATCAAGGCTGTCAAGTGCAGTACTATGTACAACAACTTGGAGGATGTGCTGGATTGTGCACATTTTCATCCTGGATTGGCACAAATTGTGTACAGCAGTGCATGCGTCGGTTCAACATCGTATTTCGTTGTATACGCCGAAGTCGCTTCACAGGTAGAAAATCGACAGGGGGCGGATCAACGGTACTTTACGGTACTCACCGTATGATGTGTCAGACACACGAGTGCAATACATTTCCTATGCTATGGCCAATGGTAACCAGGCTGGTACCGGCGGCGTCTCCCATTCCCAATCAGGCGTGTTAGAGAGCGCAGCCATCCTCGGCCTTCACCATGTGGTGGTGGTGGTGGTGGTGGTGGCGTTGTTATGATACCTGTCTGCTCCAACTGCGTGTTCGCATGTGCACTGTGTTTTGTATTTTGTCATGATTTGGTAGTCAGTGCGGCTTTGTGCTGTTTATCTTCATGCTAGTGTGCATGTGTCCTGATACTATCGTTCTTGTTGTTGTGGGTGTTTAGACCAAGCACGTCGCGGCAAGAATCCAATGACTGTAAGTGCAAGATTGGTGCTGGCTAGGCAGGCATGCATTCACATATTCGCCCATCATACTGGTATGCACATTTGTTCGTCCAGTGTTTCATATATGAGCCGTCAGATGCGAAAACCGACCTTATGGGAAACACTGCACAGTGCAGAAAAATGCAGTTGAAAGTTGGCGAGTTAACGCACTGGTGCGCCTGGACAACCAAGCTACAAACCTTCGTATTTCAGTCAAATATTGGTCTTTCGGGACGATCCAAGTATGTACTGTATAAGCAGAAATATTCGTCTGGAGTTTAATTTCGTCTTTTTCGTCCAAGGAGGTTTTGGACTAAATAGAGAGGTTCCACATAACGTAATTACGTTAGTAAAAAACGTAGTCGATCTACGGAAAGTCTTACGTAAACTGCATGCGCATCTGTGTTCCGCCATACGGAGTTTTCAAATCACGTAGCTGCCCTTGGCAACTCCGAACGCGGCAGTGTACGACCAGATCGACCTGGGGAGAGAGTCATAAATTTGTACCTCAATCCACTTACGGACCAGCTACGTTATCAGAGCCCTATCTACGTACTCAAAGTAGATAACTTTCCGTAAGTGGAGTGCAAACTCGCGAATGCACGGGTTTTCCCCGCCCACTAACGTAAAGTTGCTCAACTTTACGTAGTGCGGAACCTCTCTAATTAAATGTAGGACTAATGTCGATTTGCCCAGCTTTTCTATACACTCTTATGATCCATGGACGAAATTTTCAACCGGACGAACTCATTTTCTTTGGAGTTAGACGAAATTATTGACCGACGAAATTTTCTGCCTCTACAGTAAATCGAAGAGAAAACTCCAAGGAATCCAATGCAGCAAGCGCGATCCCGGCACGATGCTGCGTTCCCCAGATACAAAGCCTGCAAGATGCGTCACGGCACCGTGCATTTCTACGCGTAAATCAAATGATCCAGACCTGGGGTTTCCCCCTTTTCAAGCGATCTACGGTCTCGGCAACAGCCTCAGACGTCTTGGAAGCTCTCAGAGCATCTTCAAGAATAAAAATTGGGCGTCCTGGGATAATGGAGATGGAAATGGCGAGCGATTTTTGTGTGACGGCGCAAGTCCAGCGCTGAAGCGATGTCTGCCGTTGCGCTGGTGCTGTGCTTTATTTGCTATCGGATTTGGGCCCAACGGGTTGCTTGTCGCCAGAGCTTTCCAGAAAGCCCAAGTTTGTGGAAATCGGTCAAAGGAAACAGAATATATTCTCCAAAGTAGGTGAAACAATTGTTGGTATTGCACCCAAAATTGAGATGCAATTTGTAACGGTCTCCTATTGTAGAGGCTATACCTTTACTTCCCTTGATCTAAATCCTTGACCCTTCTCACCAGCTCTCCTCAGTTTCCCTGGTCATGACTGCGCTGTTGCTGCTGCTGCGGTGGAGGAGGCTCCGGGCAATTGGCGATTAGATGCCGAGGGCTGCCACAACGGTAGCATGATCGCTGCCCACGACGCGGTGCTGCAGTTGCCAGAGCAGCTAGGGTTTCCTCCAACTTCGACATCCTTGCCAGGAGCTCCGTCATCCCGTCAGGTCGTGCGGCACATACAGCTACAGCAGGTGGTGGCTGTGAAGTGAGGTCGGTCTGCAGGATGGCCAGGGCCCGTAGCGCGTGCTGCAGTGCGGCATCTAGAGTGGCGGGAGCCTGCCGCCGGACATCAAGGCGTAGCTCTTGGCTGTCCAACCCGTCGATATACTGGTCCTTGGCAAGCTGCTCGCGGACGTCGGCTGCCAGGGCGGGGTAGGCTAACCTCACGGCCCTCCGGATAGCCTCGCAGAAGTCGGATAGGGACTCGCCTGGCCGCTGGCGCCTGGCCTTGAGCTCCGCTCGGTGAACATCTACTCGGACGGCTGGCGAGAATCTGCCCTCTAGGGTTGCCACCAGTTGTGCAATGCCTGCGCGTACTACATCCGTTAGCGAGCCGTAGTATGACTGAGCGTTGCCAACCAGGTACAGGGGGAGGTAATCGACCTGTTCTTGTGGTGTCCAGGCGTTAACTCTTGACACTTGCCGGAAGTGTGCTATCCAGGTTGTCCAATCAGCTGACGCACTGCCATCAAATTTATCCGGGGTAGCGCACGGCCGGAGACAAGTGGGGTTGACTGCCTGCTGTTGTTGGGCCATCTCTACACACGGGTAAGATATCTTCCATCCAACAACACAACAAACAACAGAACTTAACACCGCTGCCACCAGATGTAGCCTGGCCTCAGTGGGCCAGGCAGCAGACAAGGAGAATCATCAGATCAACTCACGAATAACTTTGTTAGGTCACAGTCCAGTTGTGGATCAGAAGCAGATTCAGAATCACACTGAATCAGAAGAGGATGAACTGATGTGTGAAAGCCCTACTTATACGGAGACTCCCTCGATTTAGGCTAAGGCCTGTGGAGAATCCATAAATACAAATACAAATACAAAATACCTGGCCAGAGTGCTCTCTGGCCAATCAGAAGCTATGCATGTGACTACCATGACTACAGGTGTGGTGCAACTGCACCAACTAGGAAATGCAGTGAGTCATGCATGATGTCAAGTAACAGTTAGGGTGCGTTCTTAAATTCTCTCGGAAAAGTTGGAGACTCTCCGAAAAGTTCGAGAGCTGTTCTTATATCCTCTCCGAATTTTAGGAGGCTCTCCAAAGCTCTCCAAGCTCTCCAAGCTTCAGAGGTGGTTGAAACTTGGAGATTCCCGCGGTTTGGGATCAGCGCATGCAAACTAGGCTAAAAGCCACGTGTTGATCATGAGTGTACGCATTTCCCTTTTCGCATACGCACAGCGCATACTATATTCGTGGCACTCAAGATCCCTTTGGCGCTTCATTTTGCTTGACATCTGCAAAATATCTCCGAATTCTTCGAGACCCGTTCTTGAAGAATCCCAGTTTCTTCGACTTCTCTTTTCTTCTTCTCCTAGAAGCTAGAGAATTTAAGAACGCACCCAAAGTTGCCTGCTAAAAAGTATGAAAAAAGAATAAAGCTTTACAAGGTGGCTCGAACCTAAACTACATGATCTACTGACTAGTACTGTTCCCACACCACTGGCATCCCTCCATACAAGGTACAATGAATGAGGCATGCCCAAATGCAATATGTACTGTGTTACAGTATTGCACCCAAATTTGAGATGCAATTTGTAATGGTCTCCTATTGTAGAGGCTATACCTTTACTTCCCTTGGTCTAAATCAACTCTGGTTTTTTGCATACGCTGATGCTCCTGGCTTTCAGATAGTACCACTAACACAAATATGTTTTTTCCCATAAGGGACCTTCCGTAAATACCGATATTTGTTTAGAAACGAAACGTTTCTCTTCAACCCCCCTCCCCCCCCCCCCCCCTCCCTGAGAAACGAACACATACAAATGGTACATAGTATCGATATTTTTGGTCATTTTTTCTGGATATGCTCACACATGCAAAATGTACATCGATATTTTTCGGGAAACGAACAGGCGCTCAACCCCCTCCCACTAAACGACTAGTTTTTGTTTCTAAATAAATATCTACATAGCAGACTCAGCGGAGGACGTTCAGGTTGGTTGTAACTCTGAGTTTCATGCCGCTAGGCAATCATCAGACAACTGGGTTGTAACTCCAACCTGAACGTCCTCCGCTGAGTCTGCTATGTACTAAATAAATATCTATATTTACGGATGGCCCCTTTAAAGGTCGTTTTCGCATCTGACGGCTCCTATGTAAATAATTTCGGATTGAGCAAAGATGCAGTTTAGTCACGTTCTGGGTCGACGTGATCAATTGGCTCAGGACTTTTGGCTCGACCTGCTGTACTTGTGGCAGTGCTCTGGTCTTTTGGGCTTTTTATCATGTTTTCCTTCAGATGTACTAAATGTACATGGTCGATAGAAATAATGTGTACACACTCATGCCACGAGTCCACGACACCAGAGGAACAATAAGTACGGATTTGAACGTTGTTTTCACGTGACAATCAATTCAAATTGCGATTTTCTCGACTTTTTCCACAAAAGCTGTGGTCATGTTTTAGAGCGCTCTGGCTCATGTAGTACATGTAATATTTCTAAAGCAGGGATTTAGTTTGCTGCAGCTGATATTGCCATTCCCTGAGTATGGTGGATGCCGGAAGAGAGCTGTAGCTGATCTTTGGATCTGAATCAAGCTTGAGAATTTCTGCTTTTTCTCAGAAGCTACAAGGAAGAGAGCAGTAATGCCTGAACTTGCCATAAATGAACAAAGACTATAAATCCTTCCTTCTGTCCATGTATGTGTTTGTGTGGATTCGATGGAATAGCTGTAACATCACAGCAACGGCAGGCACATGTGCACAACCTGCTTCAGCAGCAGACATCGAAAGAATCTTTGAATGGCGGTGGTAGTCCAGGAAGTTCACTGCGACGCCGTCATGTCACCACAGCTGGATTGCTGGAGATCAGGTTAGCACCACAGTGATGACTCTCTCTCTCTCTCTCTCTCTCTCTCTCTCTCTCTCTCTCTCTCTCTCTCTCTCTCTCTCTCTCTCTCTCTCTCTCTCTCTCTCTCTCTCTCTCTCTCTCTCTCTCTCTCTCTCTCTCTCTCTCTCTGTCTCTGTCTCTGTCTCTCTCTCTATCTAATTCTCCTGCAGAATGGTGTTCATTATAATTATATTATCAGGAGTCGACTGTATGAAAAAGGGCAAAAGCAAACAGTGGAGATTCACTGGCTATAGCAAGCACTTGGAAAACCTATGGGTCGGAAGACCAGGCTGTATCACGGCGGTCAAATCTTCGGCCTTGTAGAAGCTGTTGAATGGAGCAACCCCAGCACGATTTCTTATGGCTTCTGCATCACTATCGTCACCTGTGGTGATGGACAATCTGTCTGCGGGTCGACTTTTGAAAAAAGCCAGCTTCAAACTTTATTCTGTGTTATGTTTTCTTTTGTTTTAGTCCTTCCAGTGTCATGGAGTTCCGTGGAAACGGTACGGACGATATAGTTGTACCACTTTCCATACGAAACATCAGTACGAATGCAATTGGGTTCAAGGTAGGTTGTACACGGCGAATTCCCACGGCTATATTCAGTGTGCAATGCAGCTTACTTATAAAAAGGTAGTTGGGGGGGGGGAGTTAGGTGACAGTTAGGTGGACATTTTGAAGTTGGGCATAGGGATGCATTTTTGTTAGTATGCACAGCACAAACATCTACGGGATCTGGAATCGTAATTGTATAAGGCCTGCTGGGCTTCTCACTCTTCAGGAAGAGTGAATAGCCAATGTTGATTTGTGCAGCTAAAGCGGGCAATGTTGGTTAGAAATGGAATATCTTTGGAATGGTTACTCACATTCTCATAAAACTTTGAGAAGACGGAGTACATATCCATAGATGGTGTGAAACACCTTGGATTGAATGAAGGTTGCTACATGCACCCTAAGAATAAGGGGTATATGGATACAATATTTCCTGCCATCTTGCAAACTTCAAATATTTTCGGCACGGAGATGAAGAGTTTGCCCAAGGTTTCGTGTGAATTTTCGGAATAGGGTTAGCCAATAGAAGACCTTTACCTCGAGCTTTTGGGGGTCACCATGCATTTTATCGCTTCATGTGTGTGTGTGTGTGTGTGTGTGTGTGTGTGTGTGTGTGTGTGCGCGCGCGCGCGTATGTATGCGTGCGTGTGTGTTTGTTTGTGTGCTTTATGATGCGGTGCATGTGCTTTGCTGTTACCAGATCAAAACAACTGGACCAGACCGCTACCACGTAAAGCCAAGTGCAGGCATTGTGCAGACTGGTGCATCGGCTATCGCTAATGTTACACTTCGCTCTGGTCAGTCGTGTTTCTGTAACACCACCTGCTTCTAATAGTGTGTGTGTGTGTGTGTGTGTGTGTGTGTGTGTGTGTGTGTGTGTGTGTGTGTGTGTGTGTGTGTGTGTGTGTGTGTGTGTGTGTGTGTGTGTGTGTGTGTGTGTGTGTGTGTGTGTGTGTGTGTGTGTGTGTGTGTGTGTGTGTGTGTGTGTGTGTGTGTGTGTGTGTGTGTGTGTGTGTGTGTGTGTGTGTGTGTGTGTGTGTGTGTGTGTGTGTGTGTGTGTGTGTGTGTGTGTGTGTGTGTGTGTGTGTGTGTGTGTGTGTGTGTGTGTGTGTGTGTGTGTGTGTGTGTGTGTGTGTGTGTGTGTGTGTGTGTGTGTGTGTGTGTGTGTGTGTGTGTGTGTGTGTGTGTGTGTGTGTGTGTGTGTGTGTGTGTGTGTGTGTGTGTGTGTGTGTGTGTGTGTGTGTGTGTGTGTGTGTGTGTGTGTGTGTGTGTGTGTGTGTGTGTGTGTGTGTGTGTGTGTGTGTGTGTGTGTGTGTGTGTGTGTGTGTGTGTGTGTGTGTGTGTGTGTGTGTGTGTGTGTGTGTGTGTGTGTGTGTGTGTGTGTGTGTGTGTGTGTGTGTGTGTGTGTGTGTGTGTGTGTGTGTGTGTGTGTGTGTGTGTGTGTGTGTGTGTGTGTGTGTGTGTGTGTGTGTGTGTGTGTGTGTGTGTGTGTGTGTGTGTGTGTGTGTGTGTGTGTGTGTGTGTGTGTGTGTGTGTGTGTGTGTGTGTGTGTGTGTGTGTGTGTGTGTGTGTGTGTGTGTGTGTGTGTGTGTGTGTGTGTGTGTGTGTGTGTGTGTGTGTGTGTGTGTGTGTGGTCCTCGTGAAGGTAGAGCTTTAGTAGTGTGCACCAGCGCAGTCACGTAACAAAGATGTCCTACATCCCAACAGCTGTATCGACTCGATGAAGCCAAGTACAGGTGGAATCTTGATAATTCGAACCCCAAAATGACATGAACAAAACTTCTAATTATCCGGACGTTCTAATTATCCAAACATGTACCCACATCACATCATGTATGTCAAAATGCTTGCATTGACATGTAGAGTTGCACTACGCACCTTAGAAACAGGTTTAGTGGACACTGAACTGCCTGCACATGCAAACCAAACTGATTTGCAGATAATAAAGTGAACTTCTAATAATTCTTTGCTAACTTCGAATTATCAGCACCAATCCCACGCATTTTCTATGTAAGTGGATTCCGTGGGACTTCTAATTAACCGGACATACCCAGTTTGAGGTTCGAATTATCAGAAATTGTTATGTGGAAATCGTATTGATAGAAATCGGTCCTGGAAGAAACTTCTAATTATGCAGTATGTTCTAATTAACCCGTATTACAATTATCAAGATTCCACCACCTATATTACATGCCAGTGTATGTTGTACACAATGTTTGCCATGGTGTGGCGGCGGTAGTGTGGCGGTAGTGTTGGATCTAGCGATCCTTTGCTTGCAGTAGTCGTACTGTTTTCTTTGTTTAAAGTAATCTTAGTACCGTTAAGTACCGCAAGAGCGCCCCGCCATCTCGCCCTTTCGTGGTCGTATTGTGGAGGCTGTCTCCTGTCTGTAGGTCACACGACACGAACCTTGTACACGCTTTACACATCGTGGAGTCAATCCGTACCTTCGAGTGGATATGAGCTCTACACAAAAACCCGCTAAGTGTGACCTTAGGGTTCTTGCATCGTACAAACTTCACTGCACTCTGCCATACGATTTTCTTTTCCCTGGCTGTTAAATCAAGGTGGGGCATTTTCGCGAGACGGGGCGCTCTGACGGTACTTTACACTTATCTTAGAGTCTACACATTTCCGAATCTTATTCACTGGTTGAGGGATTGGAAAAGGAAAATGTCTGAAGAACAAATTGACTGTCACCACCAGTACTCTACATGCGATTCTTGTGTCCCTAAGCATTGCTTATGTTTGTCTGCTGTGTAGGTGCGGATCGCTCGCTTGTGTTGCAAGATAAGTTCCTTGTCGAGTTTTGTCCAGTGCCACCAACGTTGCAGGCATCTGAGCTTTCCAGATTCTTGAAGAGTGTTGAGAAATCCGCTATGCAAGAGCAGAAGTGAGTTGCAGCTGTGGCTACTGGTTTGACTTCTGTGTGTGTGTGGGGGGGGGGGGGGGGGGGGGGTGCGGGAGTGCATGTGCATGTGTGTGTGCATATGTGTGTGTGGTGTGTGTGTGTGTGTGTGTGTGTGTGTGTGTGTGTGTGTGTGTGTGTGTGTGTGTGTGTGTGTGTGTGTGTGTGTGTGTGTGCCTGTCGTGTGAATGGCATATAAGCAGTAACATATGGCACATGTACATGTATTGGGAAATACGGCATTGCTGGTAACATGTCCACTTTCTCGTTTTTTTAGACGTTTCATCTTGTTTTGTTGATTGTCTTTGTTAGACTTCTAATTCAAATTGCGAAGCCAACACCACCAGCATCACAGCCCAAAACCGAAGTGGTCGCGACAGAGACGAAACGGGATGCTACCCAGGCAAGCACAGCAGCAACACCAGCTGCAGTCGCATCTCAATCACCCAATCTCAGACAACTGCAGCGCTCCTTGACGGAGATGGAGTCACGTCTTGGTCAACTGGAACGCAGTCATCAGGTGATGATTGGCCAGAACAAGACGGTTCTGGACCTCGCGTATGTGTTCATTGTCTTCTGCTTTCTTGTGGCTCTGGTGTACCTAGCACACAGGCATCAGCTTCTTCAGTACGCTGATGCCTGGTTATGATAAGCACGGCAATGAATGCATGCACAGCATGCAGTCTACCTGTGTTGACACTGTTTGCCTGGTATGTTGGTGCTGGTGGGAAAAGCGGCCTACAATCTCTGGAGGTACTGGAATGAACTCGGAATGGAACCTGTTTTGGGGGAAAATAGCTAATCTGCCCTTGGCAACTATGATGATCTTGGTTAAATAATGCTGTCTGCTTGCACTCTTCTGCACAGCACGACTGGCTATGCCGGTCCTTACTTGTGTGCAAACCCAGCCCGCTGTGCAAAACTCATGTAATTTTATACAATAATAATTATCATGATTCTATTTTTTTTAACACATTCTCAAATTTTAGCTCAATGAGAAACAATAAGATGAACAACAAAGTCACAAGAGTACAACATAGGTTTTTGAATATGCATGTGCATGTGTTTTGAGGACCAGTCCATTGCTGTACCTTTCTGCACTGTGGCCATGCGTGTCCTTGAATCAGCGTAGAATACATAGCACACCAAATCTTCTTCTGCGTCTTCATTTGTTTCTCCAATCCCGAGACTTGTCTTGGGTGGTGGTGCAGCTGCCTGCTCATGTTTGCTGCTGTTTATTATGTATGTATTTGATTTATATGATTGCTATTTTCCTATACATATCTGTTATACCATTATTGTGTGATGTGGATTGTCGATATCTTTGAAGTTAGTGTGCTATTATCTTTTTCGTTTAGGCCACACACTCTGAAACAAACAGAGCTTGAACTAATGGGCCTGCTCGCGCAGTTTGTCTCAAACATTTCTCTTTGCGCTTTTCGTAATTGCTGCGTGTGAGTAAAGTGAAGTTCGTATATCCAAGTTACTGCCAGCTATACTCGGCTTTTGACAAGCTACCGCCATGCCTCATGATGCCAAGCTGACGAATGCGGCCTGAGCACGTACCTAACATTACATGTACCCTCGGTGCTTTTATTAACGTTATCGGTGTAGTCTTCGGTACCCCTGGGGCATGTCCGCGGCAGCTACATTACTAAAGTATTCAGTGCCTTGTTGGAATATGCCACTACATGTACATTGTATCCGAATTAGATGATTTTATTCTGTCTCTGCCAGTTTGTGAGTTCTCTATTTTATTCTTGCGAAATTTGGTAACCCACTGAAAACAGTGCGAATACAGTACTGTCAGTAGATAGACTACAGCCAGTGGCAGTACAGTCCTACAGGGCTTCTAAATAGGGCTGAAACGATCGTGGATTTTCACGTATCGATTACTCTTTAGTTTAACGATCGAGTAATCGGTTATAATCGTTAGCAAATAGAGTCATAATTCTGTTCAAACATTACTCTGTTTCCACAAACTATGCCTTCATAATACCAACAAATCTGCATTAGTGAAAGGGTAGCTCCGAAACATGGCAGTTTTGAAGTCAATTAACCTCAGAACATGAACCATACCCCTGGCAACTGCACACTCCCAGCGGAAACTGATTCAAACTTCACAAAACGAGGGTTTACAGTACTTTCTGGACACAAATTAAAGAACGCAAAATAATCGTAATCGGTAGTCTAAACGATTGCTCGATCGTTAGAGTTATCAAACGAGTACTCGATTATTCGGTATAAGCCCTACTTCTAAACCATGTATTAAAACTGAGCTACATGACTTTGTACAGTATGACACTTGAAAACAATACTGATATTTGAGTAGAACAAGCTATCGACGTCGACGTGCTCCTAGACTAATGGCCATGCGTCTCAAGCTCTAATAACGGGCTGTACAACCAGCCGGCTAAGAATCGTAGTAAGATGCATGGCGCGGCGTGAAACGCAGCGCCTTTCGGTGTATTCTTGCCGTCACCTACAGAAAATCCGGTGCCTTTCAGAAATCAGCCGAGGGACTACTCTTGACTTAGCGGCTGTTGGGCATTCATGGTTGCGAACTAAAAATGGAGAATGAATGGCAGCTTCAAGGGAATCATGTCACTTCTAGCCTTCCAACCAGTCACCTGCTGCATACTCTGTACTGCTATGGCGCCGACAGCAGACAGTCGGTACAGGTATGTTTCTGGCAGCGCTCGTCACGTCAAGATTCATGGTCGGGTCCGGTCATTCATTGGAATGCAATTCATTTGTAGCTAGCTCCGCAAGGCGGCGATAATGTTTTTCTGGAGCGAGTGAGTGGGTGTCGCACCGCACATAGCCCGTGTAGACCGGAGGCTTGACTCGTTGCAGCTTTCGAATGACAATCTGGCAGAGCAAACTAAGTGACGGTCACGAAGTCTAAAGTCAAGAGCAACATCACCCGAAAGGACCACGAAGTGGATAACCAACTGCGCCGCACTACTGTGGCATAGGCATAGCTTTGCGGAGCGAAAGAAAGGAGGTTCGAAAACAAACGTGCTGTGTCCATACTTTGTACGCTTCAGCAGCGTGTTTGGACTTTCCATAGACTAACGTTATTTCCCGAGATATCGACGAAGAGGAACGTTTCGTGTGTATATCGCGCACCGCTGTGATTCTAACATCTTGCACTGGGAGCCACCGCCATCTGAAATACTGGACAACAACATTACCTGCAACAACATTGCATGGCTGCATTCAGCCTCTGTCGTTGAACTTGTAGTGTGTATGTGTGGTTCAGAGCGTTCTGCAAGAGACGTACGGAGTGCAGTGGGGAGCAGTATAGCGTGCTTACTGCTATCATGACACCAATTCATTGTTGGCTGGTATTAGCTGGCTCTGTGGCTTGTATCTTCTCAACCGTGATGGGACAACAGAGAGAAGGCTCAGATGAAAGTATGTTAGCACCAAGGTATGTGAACTCCATTTTTGTCGAACTCTACACTACATTTGCCATAGACATGGGTGTTTTTTTTTGTCGCATTTTTGACAATAGAGAGTTTACGCTTCACGTTTTTCAATTTCAAATGTGAGAAAAACGTGCCTTGAATCGCTTCTTTTCACCGTGAGTTAGCCCTCTGTCGCGTTGAAATCTCACATTGCAACGTGCGGAGCGCCATTTGACCGTGAGATTATCGCGTTCGAAATTGAACAAACGTGAAGCGCAAATTCCCTAATGACTATTTTCGCCACGCTACTGGGCTTGTCTTTGCTTCCCAATGATGCTCATGCTCATACATGTACTTTTTATGATAAGTCTCATCTCTTCGATCAGATTGTAATGATGTGCTGGTGTTAGTGGTGCTGCATAGCAGCGGCTTTATACGGTGTTGCCACTCCTGTGGAACCCATGCCATGGCACTTGACACCCCCCCCCCCCCCCACACACACAGAAGACGAAATGTAGGTTAAAACTAGGGCTGAGTCGGAAAGCATTTTCTTCGGGTATCGGGTCCGGGTAGTTTTCCACGGGTAGCACGGGTACCCGATCGGGTAATGTTTCCATGGTAAGACCACAATGCACACCGGCCCCTTCCCTTGCGCACTGGGTAGACAAGTGTGAATTATATGATGTCATCTGCGACTTCGGGTTTTCGGGTACTATTCAGTACCCGTCTACCCGAGGTCCTCACGGGTAGCACGGGTACCCGACTACCCGTGCACACCACTAGTTAAAACAAAAACAAACAAAAACCCAGACCAGAATACATTGCTTCTACTGGACAGATTTCTGCTGATACAACACTGTCTATCTTCTGCAGTGACCAGGTGACTACTGATAGCATGCGGCATATGCTCCAGGTGTACATGTATTTGCTTGATGTGTTGATGTGTGACATCGGTCGAATTGCAGTCACAGTATAGACGTTCTTGTGGTGTCGTCCGTGCCGCAGGTTTTCTGTCAGCAGCTCTTCAGTGTGGTTTATAGGCCAGGAAGAGAAGGTGTTTGTCGTCAGCTTTGATGTGTCCAATGTGAATGTCAGTGTGCACTTTGCTGAAGTTGGACGTCAGCGAGCCAGCTGGTCACTAAGACTGGAACAGAAAGGTATTGCTAAGCCTCCATTGGAATAGGTAACATTGCTGTAATGTAACACCTGTGTGAGCTACGTCAGTAGTCAGCCAACGCCGTTACTGTTGCTTCTGACACGCGCGTGGTTTAAAGCATACATGCACCAGCTGTGATGACTTGTGAACATAGCTTTAATTGCACTCTGCCATACGGTTTCCTTTCCCTGGCAGAAAAACCAGGGGGGGGGGGGGAGGCTCTCGCGAGACGGGCGCCCTCTTGAGTCGGGGCGCTCTTGCAGTACTTAACTGTACTATGTGTAGGATTTCAGCTGATTCAAAGTTGGCAATGGTGAAGTAATTCACTGTACACTGTTCTGGGCAGGTCAGTGCTCATGGAAACACTTTTAAAACTGCATGTCATGTGATGGTTGTCGATAGATACAGCCAATGTGGTGCGCTCTCCACAAGCGTGCTGTACTTCTCTGTGTTGTCCACAGTGCTGTTCACACACGCATGCAGACTCCCATTCTTTTCCTTTGTAGGTTTTGACCAGGCTAGGCCTATCAGTGTGGCTTGTTCCAACTACAACTAGTACAAGATCGACTGCTTGGTGTATTGGTGTACATTGTCATCTGATAATCATGGCGAACAAAAGTTATGGTGAATACAGCAGCTATTGTAGTGTATTGTGGTTGTGTCTGGTTGTTACCTTTCCCCAGGATGGGCGAGAATGTTGTCAGTGAAGGTAAGACAACTCCGAAAAAGACTGCTGGTAAAGTTATTGTACACCTGCTTTGGCGCTAGGGCTACTACCACCGTGTGACATTTCATGGCACTTTTTAAACTGTCATTGTTCCAGTTGCATGCTGGCTAAAATGATACAGTTTCAGTGACAGCTTGCCACCTTGATGTATGCACCTTGCACCTTGATGTATGCACCTTGATGTATGCACCTTGATGTATGCACCTTGATGTATGCACCTTGATGTATGCACCTTGATGTATGCACCTTGATGTATGCACCTTGATGTATGCACCTTGATGTATGCACATTGCACCTTGATGTATGCACCTTGATGTATGCACCTTGATGTATGCACATTGCACCTTGCTGTATGCACCTTGCACCTTGGTATGCACATCAAGGTGTTTACTTTTATCTACTCTTCAGAATTGATGGACGGGGTCAAAAAAGGATTAGGGTCATTTCTTCTTGAAATTGCGTATGTCATGGATGTGCATGTTTTTGTGCATGACGTGTGTGCATGTACCGTAAAGTACCGTTGATCCGCCCGCTCTCTATAATTTTTGCCCCCTGTCGAATTTCTGCCTATAAGCGATTCCGCGTGTACAGTGAAATACGGTTTTGAACCAATGGATGCACTGCTGCACAGTACGTGCCAGTAAAGGATGAAAAATGTGCACAATCCAGCATGCCAAGTCTGATCTTCTGCTTTGTTGTACATCATAATGCACTTGACCGACTTGATCTAATCCCCGCCCCCTGCCGAAAGACCAGCTGGGAAGCGACATAGCGTGGGGGGGGGGGGGGGGGATCAACAGTACTTTACGGTGTTTGTGTATGGCATGTGTGTGTGTGTGTGTGTTTGTGTGTGTGTGTGTGTGTGTGTGTGTGTGTGTGTGTGTGTGTGTGTGTGTGTGTTTGTTTGGCAGTTATCAGATCGCATCATTGCCGGCAACATGCGTAACCCGTACAAGACGCACACTCTTCACATGGTCATCATGGCTTACCGGCAGGACGACGCCACCAAGCGACCTCTCTACTCCTATGTGCTGCCAGTACAGCTGACCTATGCCACACACAGACTTCTCGTCACTACCAACAGAATGGTGTACAAACGGGGTGAAAACGGTTAGTTGGCTTGATGCTCACTGGCCTCTGCTAGGCTTCTGTGCAGTGACCTCTGCTCTGCAAGTCTAATGTGCAGTGAACTCTGCTTTGCTAGTGCAGTGAACTCTGCTTTGCTAGTGCAGTGAACTCTGCTTTGCTAGTGCAGTGAACTCTGCTTTGCTAGTGCAGTGAACTCTGCTCTGCTAGTCTAGTGTGCAGTGAACTCTGCTCTGCTAGTCTAGTGCAGCGGACTTTGAATCACGGTAAAGCTCCAAGGTGCTGCTTGATTTGAGCAGAATGGCAAGGTTGACAGAGGTTGTGTGATAGAACAGGTTTGTTGAGTTCCATTGTTGTGTGGTAGCTGTATTCTTGTGCATGTCACGGTAGGCGGCTTATACAGCCCACCATACACAATCACGGTCTTAGTCTGAACTTCTCTCAGTTTCAAGTTGCATTGTATTCTTGTGTGGCTGTTATGCTATGTTTTGTTGCTACTGCTGCTTCTGCCGCTTCTGTTGCTGCTGCTGCCGCCGCCACTGCAGCTGCTGCTGCCGCGGCTGCTCTCGTGTTGTAACACGGTGACAGCTATGGTTGTCGTCATTCCTGGTCACACGGTGCTGTTATTTATGTTTTTTTTTAATGCTCCGTGATATTAGGTTCAGTGAGTGCAGTCTTGATGAGCAGAAGCATGCAGCCATACCAATCCAGTGTCTCTTGCACTGTCAAGGTGAGACGAAAACTACAATATCCTGGACAAATGTACGCTAACACGAAATTCTGATGATAATAACAAATGAACATGCCTCCAGTGGTCCTCAAGTAGATTTCTCTGTTGCACAGTGCCACTGCACGTGCACTTGCCTCTCCAACAGCAGCCATGGGCTTGTGTGTGTGTGTGGGGGGGGGGGGGTATATTAGAGCAGAATTATGTCATGCACACATACAATATGTGTGTTCGATTATCCGGTTACCTCACATGTCAGGATATTTTTTGTGGAAAACGGATGCGCGCGGTTCGCAAGAGGAGCCTAACTTGTTAGTTCTACTGTCATGCAAAGTCATTGAAGTTACAAGGATATATCAATGATAACCTTTACACAACAAAAGTTCGAAGACAACCAGAGAATCGAGCTTTGTCACTGTATCAAATGTCGACATGAGAGCAAAATTTTAGCTACGCAAGTTCACGCCTGACGTGTCCTGAAAGACACGTTCACCCGGCACCAGCACCAGTCTCAGCAGCACATGCTTACACTGGACTATGTCTAGCTGCTGCTGTACATGATATGGAGGTACTGGCATTGCAGCACATACTACCATGCATAGGAGGTACTGGCATTGCAGCACATACTGCCATGCATAGGAGGTACTGGCATTGCAGCACATACTACCATGCATAGGAGGTACTGGCATTGTAGGTGGCAGTGCTAAACATCACACATCACCGTGAGGTCTGCTCTCCCGGCACATCTTAGTGTTTTGCACCTGGGGCGACAGCCGCGCTGTGATCTTCACCAACTATTTAGCGCTAATGACTTGCTCATAGTCGGCATTATAATGATGGCAGTCACAGGGCCGCTTAGTACCAGTGTTTGATGATTGCCCCGGCATTAAAAAAACGTTTTTGAAAGTTACAACACAACACAATCCAACTGAACTCCTTCTCTTCATTTGGTCTTACTACTTCTCAGTACATGTGCTGCTGTGGACTGGTTGTATGTGTAGCTGTTATCATGTGCCAAGTGTCAGCTGCAATGCTGAATATGGCGCTCACTCTTCGCTAATGTGTAATGTGTACAGGCCCGGAAAGGCACAGGACAACCGATTCTTACACTGGATGGCTACACCCCTGTAGCTAATGGGCTATTGTGGCAAGCTCAACTAACCACCAGTCTTCTGCCATCCGATGTTCACCATTTCCTTGTCCAGTGCATTGCTCGTAGTAAGGTAAGGAGTAACCATAGGACAGTCTGCTGCTAGCTTGCTGTGTGATTGGCTGGTCGGGGGGGGGGGGGGGGGGGGGGGCTGCAAATCATGGAAACGTTCGCGTGGCACCATGGTGCTTCTTGCTGTGTGAATGGCTGGTTGTGGGAACACAGTTTGCATGGTGCTGTGGTGCTGTGGTGCTGTGGTGCTGTGGTGCTGTGGTGCTGTTGTGCTGTTGTGCTGTTGTGCTGTTGTGCTGTTGTGCTGTGGTGCTGTGGTGCTGTGGTGCTGTGGTGCTGTTGTGCTGTTGTGCTGTTGTGCTGTTGTGCTGTGGTGCTGTTGTGCTGTGGTGCTGTTGTGCTGTGGTGCTGTTGTGCTGTTGTGCTGTGGTGCTGTTGTGCTGTTGTGCTGTTGTGCTGTTGTGCTGTTGTGCTGTGGTGCTGTTGTGCTGTTGTGCTGTGGTGCTGTTGTGCTGTGGTGCTGTTGTGCTGTGGTGCTGTGGTGCTGTTGTGCTGTTGTGCTGTGGTGCCTATAGCCTGTTCACATAGCTCAGTTCACAGTACACGTTGCCACCGGGGTCTTTGGAATGTTATTCCATGGTTCTCTCGAGGGCAGTAGTCTTGACTACTGTAGTTGAAGTAGATGTTGCATTTAGTACCACTTTGTACTATACTAGTACAGCTGTACTGCCGAGCGCCGAAGAATGATGCACTGAAGAGTGAATACTGAATACGCTAGAATTTTACCAGGCTGCAGGATCCCCTCCTGTACATGTACATGGTGGCTCAACTATATACACCATAGACCATAGACCATAGACCATAGACCATAGACCATAGACCATAGACCATAGACCATAGACCATAGACCATAGACCATAGACCATAGACCATAGACCATAGACCATAGACCATAGACCATAGACCATAGACCATAGACCATAGACCATAGACCATAGACCATAGACCATAGACCATAGACCATAGACCATAGACCATAGACCATAGACCATAGACCATAGACCATAGACCATAGACCATAGACCATAGACCATAGACCATAGACCATAGACCATAGACCATAGACCATAGACCATAGACCATAGACCATAGACCATAGACCATAGACCATAGACCATAGACCATAGACCATAGACCATAGACCATAGACCATAGACCATAGACCATAGACCATAGACCATAGACCATAGACCATAGACCATAGACCATAGACCATAGACCATAGACCATAGACCATAGACCATAGACCATAGACCATAGACCATAGACCATAGACCATAGACCATAGACCATAGACCATAGACCATAGACCATAGACCATAGACCATAGACCATAGACCATAGACCATAGACCATAGACCATAGACCATAGACCATAGACCATAGACCATAGACCATAGACCATAGACCATAGACCATAGACCATAGACCATAGACCATAGACCATAGACCATAGACCATAGACCATAGACCATAGACCATAGACCATAGACCATAGACCATAGACCATAGACCATAGACCATAGACCATAGACCATAGACCATAGACCATAGACCATAGACCATAGACCATAGACCATAGACCATAGACCATAGACCATAGACCATAGACCATAGACCATAGACCATAGACCATAGACCATAGACCATAGACCATAGACCATAGACCATAGACCATAGACCATAGACCATAGACCATAGACCATAGACCATAGACCATAGACCATAGACCATAGACCATAGACCATAGACCATAGACCATAGACCATAGACCATAGACCATAGACCATAGACCATAGACCATAGACCATAGACCATAGACCATAGACCATAGACCATAGACCATAGACCATAGACCATAGACCATAGACCATAGACCATAGACCATAGACCATAGACCATAGACCATAGACCATAGACCATAGACCATAGACCATAGACCATAGACCATAGACCATAGACCATAGACCATAGACCATAGACCATAGACCATAGACCATAGACCATAGACCATAGACCATAGACCATAGACCATAGACCATAGACCATAGACCATAGACCATAGACCATAGACCATAGACCATAGACCATAGACCATAGACCATAGACCATAGACCATAGACCATAGACCATAGACCATAGACCATAGACCATAGACCATAGACCATAGACCATAGACCATAGACCATAGACCATAGACCATAGACCATAGACCATAGACCATTCTTTATACTATATAGACCATTCTTTATACTATATAGACCATTCTTTATACTATATAGACCATTCTTTATACTATATAGACCATTCTTTATACTATATAGACCATTCTTTATACTATATAGACCATTCTTTATACTATATAGACCATTCTTTATACTATATAGACCATTCTTTATACTATATAGACCATTCTTTATACTATATAGACCATTCTTTATACTATATAGACCATTCTTTATACTATATAGACCATTCTTTATACTATATAGACCATTCTTTATACTATATAGACCATTCTTTATACTATATAGACCATTCTTCATGAAAAATAAGAACGGCCCAGGCTACGACTGAAGCATCAGTTCTTCGGCACCACACAATACGGCTATGTACTCTAACACAAACACTATGCTCTTGATCAAACTTTCCGATACACACTGAGGAATGTTTCAAGTACAATGGTGTTCATGTAGGTGCTCAAGTTCATACCGTTTCATCAGTTGCGCAATCCTGTATGCAGTAGATTGTGCTGTTATGCAAGTATTTAGTTTGGCTTGCAGGGTGTAACTAAATTACTTGCATGGGAATCGTTAAAATCACGGCAAATGGTCTGGCTAAGTCAAACTTTCAGCTTTTCATCACGGTGGATTGCACACCTCATTGAGTACTGATGGTACAGTGTTTTACATGTACGCTGTTATAAAATGAATATGTCCTTAAATGGATTGTGTACTAATACATGTAACGTTACTATAGAAAGTGCACTTGCTGCTTGCAGGTCCAATCTGGTGATGTGGTGACAGTTGAGCGTTTTGTTTTGTTCCTGTAGCGTCCGTTTGCATCGTTCAGCACATTCACAGTTGTGGATCACGAGGAGACAGGTAGGTTACTGGCCATGGTCGTGTGGGATCATTGAATGTGCGGTTGAATACTTGTTGGTGACACAGTGCAAGTACCTGCCAGGTTCTTTATGACCGGCCAATGCTGACATAAACCAAGACAATCATGCGAACTCCTTGCAGCCTGGCCAGACGAACACTGCACTGATGCTGTTCACCTGCCGCGTGACTACACTAGGAGATAAGAGTTCACCTGCCATGTTGCTACTTCAAAGTATTGGCAAACGTGTGCACAAATTTGACACTGTGTACTGTACGCATCACTGTGTGTGTGTGTGTGTGTGTGTGTTTGTGTGTGTGTGTGTGTCTGTCTGTTTGCGAGTCTGTGTGTGTGTACGTATATACATGCATGTGTGTGTGTGTGTGTGCGCGCGTGCGTATGTGTGCGCGAGCGTGCACACATATATGCGTACACGTGTGTATTGTACTTGTGCCGCATGTAGACTTGGCGTATCAAACTGATCTCGTGGGCAGACTCAAGCCATTCTACATTTCATCATCGCAAACTGCCACCACTCTGGAGTCGTGGCTAGAATCCGTCCAGGCAGTGTAAGAATTATTGATTAGTGAATGGTGACTGCGTATTGGCTGGGTATTTGTACCATCCAGGCATGTTATTTGCACATCCACAGCCCAGCACAGCACAGCCCAGCCCAGCCCAGCACAGCCCAGCACAGCACATCCACAGCCCAGCCCAGCCCAGCCCAGCACAGCCCAGCACAGCACATCCACAGCCCAGCCCAGCCCAGCCCAGCCCAGCCCAGCCCAGCCCAGCACAGCCCAGCCCAGCCCAGCACAGACCAGCACAGCCCAGCCCAGCACAGCCCAGCACAGCACATCCACAGCCCAGCCCAGCCCAGCCCAGCCCAGCCCAGCACAGCCCAGCCCAGCCCAGCACAGCCCAGCACAGCACAGCACTAGCCTTTTTAAAAGCACACGTACAGTGATTTGACTTCTGCATAAGAAAGTACTGACCCCTGACATATTTGCATAAGAAAGTACTGACCCCTGACATATTTGCATAAGAAAGTACTGACCCCTGACATATTTGCATAAGAAAGTACTGACCCCTGACATATTTGCATAAGAAAGTACTGACCCCTGACATATTTGCATAAGAAAGTACTGACCCCTGACATATTTGCATAAAAAAGTACTGACCCCTGACATATTTGCATAAGAAAGTACTGACCCCTGACATATTTGCATAAGAAAGTACTGACCCCTGACATATTTGCATAAGAAAGTACTGACCCCTGACATATTTGCATAAGAAAGTACTGACCCCTGACATATTTGCATAAGAAAGTACTGACCCCTGACATATTTGCATAAGAAAGTACTGACCCCTGACATATTTGCATAAGAAAGTACTGACCCCTGACATATTTGCATAAGAAAGTACTGACCCCTGACATATTTGCATAAGAAAGTACTGACCCCTGACATTTTTGCATAAGAAAGTACTGACCCCTGACATATTTGCATAAGAAAGTACTGACCCCTGACATATTTGCATAAGAAAGTACTGACCCCTGACATTTTTGCATAAGAAAGTACTGACCCCTGACATTTTTGCATAAGAAAGTACTGACCCCTGACATTTTTGCATAAGAAAGTACTGACCCCTGACATTTTTGCATAAGAAAGTACTGACCCCTGACATTTTTGGCTGCTTTTCGGACATATCCTTCTTTGGACCGGTTTTCGGAAGAGCCTTCTAAAATCGGACGGTTTGGCATCACTGGTAATGCCTGGTTTTGAGCATCACTGGTAATGCCTGGTTTTGAGCATCACACTTCGTGTGCCCATCATGCCACATTGCACTGCAATCTGCTCATAGTCAACGGCATGAAGTATGATATCATTACCGGTATCAATGTAGCCTTAGCTCCTAACGTCGAAGCTCACGATTCCTGCTGACTGACTTGTTCACAATTGACTGACTCACGACTGTGTCTGGAGCACACGAGAAGTTGACGAGAGGTTGACTTCGCGGATAGTGATTTTGAGGACAGTGTTGTTTGAAGACTTTAATGATACTATTACATTGTTCCCCGTACAGTCGGCTGTAGGCCCTGTTGTATTCTCCCTGCACAGCTCCAGAGAGTCCGGTTCTGGCCTCGTCGAGTCAATATGCCATCAAGAAGGCGCCTACGTTAATGTGCCGCTCAGATAGCTCAGCCATTGACGTAGGCGCCTTCTTGATGGCTGAGCTATCTGAGCGGGACATTGACATAGGCCCCTGTTGCTATGTGTGCGTTCTGCTTTATCCATGGGTGGCCGCCCTAAAACAGAAGTTGCTGTGTGTGCGTTGTGCTTTACCTATCGATGGCCGCCCTGAAACAGAAGCGACCCGCAAGAGTGCACGATGATGTCAATATCACTTTGGTCTAGCCGAACGAATTGCTCTACAAATGCCAACGCAGACTGGAGGAGGGATTGAGTAATGCTTGGATAGAAGTCGACAGCAGATCGGGCAACAGATCAGGCAACAGATCAGGCAACAGATCAGGCAACAGATCAGGCAACAGATCAGGCAACAGATCAGGCAACAGATCAGGCAGAGTGGTGATACATGTACTCGTACAATGTAGGCTTCTCAGTGGATGACCATCCATTTCTGTGCTTTGTGCTTGTAGATACCCATCTTTGCAAGCAGCCAGTGGTACGTCCCATTTCATTGCAGGCAACGGACGTAAGATCTCCGAGGAAAATGTAGGTATTGGGGAGAGCACAACGCAGATGCAACCGATCCTATCAGCCTTTGAAATTTATCAGAAATTTATCACGGAAATTTATCAGAAATTCAGAATAACATTATTGATAGCTTGCATGCCGTCCCGTCCTACCGGTAGGACCCAAGAAATCGCGCTGCAAAAGTGCTTTTGGTTGAGAAATTTCTTGAAACAATTGTTGAGATGAGGTCTTTGTCAGGCAAAGTAATGGCGCAAAATGCAAGGCTATGTCCAGTGCATTACATACGCGCAATTTTATCAATTGTCAAAATGGCCGCACATACTCCTGTCGGAGCGCTAGCAACTCTGTCCAAAGTGAATTTTGACCATGGCACATCAATCGTGGTGAGGTACTAATGTTTTTATTAGTCTGCCAAGGCAGTAGAATGCATAATTCCATACACCGTTTCCATGGTTACCATGGGCTGTTACCATGGAATTTCATAGTATGCCTTGTGCGATCACGTCTAAAAATTGTGGACTCCTTCATTAGCCCCTGAGCAACAGTTTAGGGTCAAGTTTTAGGTCAATGTTAGAACAGAGGCCATGCAGCATGTCTGTGTATGATGGTCCTACCGGTAGGTCCTACCGGTAGGACCAAGGTCTATGCAAGCTATCATTATAGTTGAATACTCTGCATGAATTACCATATACCTGCATGAATTACCATATACCTGCATGAATTACCTGCATGAATACTCTGATGCGTAGCATCAGGTCCTACATTGTAAACATTACCCTCATGAATACTGACACACAACTTGATCAGGTGATCAGGTCCTACTTATTATTACCCTCATGATACTGACCCACAACATCAGGTCCTTATTACCCTCATGATTCCGTAATTGGCCAGCTGTACCATGCCGGCATCTTTTCAGTGCATGTCACGTGTGCCGTTACAGCATAGCTACTCCACAGCTCAAATTCATCCTTGAGTTGTCACTAGGGGTGAAACGAGTATCTATTTTGACCAATCGATCACTCGTTCATAATATTCGATCGAGTATCCGATTATTTCGAGTATTTTATCAAAATTCAAAAGCACTAGATTTGCGAGTTCTCGACCAATTCGGAAGAAATTTATCTGTGAACATAGAACAAAAGTCGCCAGTGTCTTGTACAGAGTGTAAAGTAACGATTTTCATCAGTACTTTTATATCTCAGATCGTTACTTGCCGTGGTGATCGCATCGTCCAAGTCTTAAAATACTGACTCAAATCCATGCATAACGCATGCATACCAGTGGACCAGCGGTACAACAAAAGTTTTTGAAAAATACAATGCCAATACTTCAAAAAAACAAAAAAAAAAAAAACAAAAAAAACGATCGAGTGCAAAATTTCGAATACTCGCTCGTTTGAAATTTTCGAACGAATACTCGAATATTCGAACTAATCGTTTCACCCCTAGTTGTCACTAATGTTACTGGTGTTACTGGTGTTACTGGTGTTACTGGTGTTACTGGTGTTACTGGCATGCTTTTGGAAGACCGGCGTTCAAAGTATGTTGTGCTGTCTGTACATAGCGGCATCCGATTATAATGAAGATCAGAATCAGGGAAGATAACTTTCCAATTGGGATATGGGCTGGTGCCCGGCACCGTTAGTACTGATTGATCACATGATTGGAGTGTTTGATCCACTGCATCATGACTGGTGCACCACGCACAGCCTTCTTGTGGTGCGAGCAACATGCTGTGACATTTTCCTGGTCCATTGTTGTCTTGCAGCTGCGTCCGAATGGTAAGCTACCCAACACTGCCGGCTTAGCACAGGCGATATCTGCAGCACTTGACCTCGCTCCACCGGGAACGCAGGGCTATCTTGTTGTGCAAGATAGTCTATCAGCAGCTACTAGGAAAGTTCCAGTGCCAGTGTTTGCCGACCTGCCAGAGCTGGCATGCACAGCACCGGTACTGAATATTTCAACATCTCGCTACTTTGCCAATGATATCCTGCGTATCACGGTAAGGCAACTTGCATAATTATTCCCGTACCTATGCAGAAGACGTTACTTCAGTAACGTCTGGCGCTAGCCAGGGTCCACACAGCTTTAATTTGGTGTTTGTTTGTGTGTTTGTTTGTGTGTTTGTGTCACGCCTGGCGCTATCCCGTATCTGTCCCGTACCATACCATCAAACACAGCTGGCCACATACAGCTGGCCGCACTATTCAAATAGGGCTTGCGCTTTCAAACGCAAGATCATAACGTGAAGCAACTTGGAAGAATGAGTATGAATGCGAAGTGTATGGGGGAATGCATGTAGGGCGATAGTGCGGGTTCGAATCCCAGGTAATGCCTGAAAAAAAATAGGAAAATTGAAAAATGTATAACATCCCTATTCTTTTTTTGCCATCATCAAGGCGGTAGATGGTGTCGTATTACCCTCGACCGTACCTGTCCCGTACCTGTCCCGTACCTATCCCGTACCTGTCCCGTACCTGTCCCGTATCTGTCCCGCACCTGTCCCGCACCTGTCCCGCACCTGTCCCGTACCTGTCCCGTACCTGTCCCGTACCTGTCCCGTACCGTACTGTACAATCAAAGACGGCTGGCCACAATGCATATTCAAATAGGGCTTTCAAATACAAGACCATAACGTGAAGCAACTTGGAAGAAATAGTATATATGCGAAGTGTATCGAGGGATGCATGCAGGGCGATAGTGCGGGTTCGAATCCCAGGTTATGTCTAAAAACAAAAAGTAGAAATTTATAAGAATTTATAACATCCCTATGCTTTTTTTGTCTAGGTCATCAAGGCAAAAAAGCATAGCGTAGGGCCCTGAGCTTCCAAGCTCTCTCATTAGGGGTGAAACGAGTATCTATTTTGACCAATCGATCACTCGTTCATAATATTCGATCGAGTATACGATTATTTCGAGTATTTTATCAAAATTCGAAAGCGCTAGATTTGTGAGTTCTCGACCAATTCGGGAGAAATTATCTCTGAACATAGAGCAAAAGTCGCCAACGTCTTGTACAGAGTGTAAAGTAACGATTTTCATTAGTACTTTCATATCTCAGATCGTTACGAGAGTACTTAACTTGCCGTGGTGATCGCATCGTCCAAGTCATAAAATACTGACTCAAAGGCATGCATAAGGCATGCATACCATGACGTACAGTGGACGAGCGGTATAACAAAAGTTTTTGAAAAATAGAATGCCAATGCTAAAAAAATTTAAAAAAAAACAAAAACGATCGAGTGCGAAATTTCGAATACTTGCTCGTTTGAAATTTTCGAACGAATACTCGAATATTCGAACTAATCGTTTCACCCCTCATAATTATACAGGTAGAGTGGGGTTTCACTAGTGACATCCATCACATGACCACTCAGTTTGATTTTGGGGGGGGGGGGGGGTCATGTTGGTTCCAACCTCCAGTCATTGCAGTCAACCCTTGCAGTCAACCCTTGCAGTCACATGATGTCGGTCATGTGGAGTCCACTGTCAACATGCCAGCATCACTTTCTACACAAATGCAGTCGCATGACAAAAATGCACAAAACTGTGAAAAGCCACTCTTATCCTGGTATTACTACAAAGTAGATAATTCCGAAAAGGCTCAACCCCAGATTCACCTAGTGATGGGATCATCTGATGTGCCTATAGCTTATTATGAGTTTTGGCTAAATATCTTCCGGTGCCAGCGTTGCTATATGGAGCAGACTGCGAGTGCGCCGACACTCTACTAGAGTGTAGCAGTGCATGCCGTGTCTCGACTGTATGCACTGTATGCACTGTATGCACTGTATGCACTGTATGCACTGTATGTACTGTATGTACTGTATGCACTGTATGCACTGTATGCACTGTATGCACTGTATGTACTGTATGCACTGTATGTACTGTATGTACTGTATGCACTGTATGCACTGTATGTACTGTATGTACTGTATGTACTGTATGTACTGTATGTACTGTATGCACTGTATGTACTGTATGCACTGTATGTACTGTATGTACTGTATGTACTGTATGTACTGTATGTACTGTATGCACTGTATGCACTGTATGTACTGTATGCACTGTATGCACTGTATGTACTGTATGTACTGTATGTACTGTATGTACTGTATGTACTGTATGCACTGTATGTACTGTATGTACTGTATGCACTGTATGCACTGTATGTACTGTATGCACTGTATGCACTGTATGTACTGTATGTACTGTATGTACTGTATGTACTGTATGTACTGTATGCACTGTATGTACTGTATGTACTGTATGTACTGTATGTACTGTATGCACTGTATGCACTGTATGTACTGTATGCACTGTATGCACTGTATGTACTGTATGTACTGTATGTACTGTATGCACTGTATGCACTGTATGTACTGTATGCACTGTATGCACTGTATGTACTGTATGTACTGTATGTACTGTATGTACTGTATGTACTGTATGTACTGTATGCACTGTATGTACTGTATGCACTGTATGTACTGTATGTACTGTATGTACTGTATGTACTGTATGTACTGTATGCACTGTATGCACTGTATGTACTGTATGCACTGTATGCACTGTATGTACTGTATGTACTGTATGTACTGTATGTACTGTATGTACTGTATGCACTGTATGCACTGTATGTACTGTATGTACTGTATGTACTGTATGCACTGTATGCACTGTATGTACTGTATGCACTGTATGCACTGTATGTACTGTATGTACTGTATGTACTGTATGCACTGTATGCACTGTATGTACTGTATGCACTGTATGCACTGTATGTACTGTATGTACTGTATGTACTGTATGTACTGTATGTACTGTATGTACTGTATGCACTGTATGTACTGTATGCACTGTATGTACTGTATGTACTGTATGTACTGTATGTACTGTATGTACTGTATGTACTGTATGCACTGTATGCACTGTATGTACTGTATGCACTGTATGCACTGTATGCACTGTATGTACTGTATGTACTGTATGCACTGTATGTACTGTATGCACTGTATGTACTGTATGTACTGTATGCACTGTATGTACTGTATGTACTGTATGTACTGTATGCACTGTATGCACTGTATGCACTGTATGCACTGTATGCACTGTATGCACTGTATGTACTGTATGTACTGTATGTACTGTATGTACTGTATGTACTGTATGTACTGTATGCACTGTATGTACTGTATGCACTGTATGTACTGTATGCACTGTATGTACTGTATGTACTGTATGTACTGTATGTACTGTATGTACTGTATGCACTGTATGCACTGTATGTACTGTATGCACTGTATGCACTGTATGTACTGTATGTACTGTATGTACTGTATGTACTGTATGCACTGTATGTACTGTATGTACTGTATGTACTGTATGTACTGTATGCACTGTATGTACTGTATGCACTGTATGCACTGTATGTACTGTATGTACTGTATGCACTGTATGTACTGTATGTACTGTATGTACTGTATGCACTGTATGCACTGTATGTACTGTATGCACTGTATGCACTGTATGTACTGTATGTACTGTATGCACTGTATGTACTGTATGTACTGTATGCACTGTATGCACTGTATGTACTGTATGTACTGTATGTACTGTATGTACTGTATGCACTGTATGCACTGTATGTACTGTATGTACTGTATGTACTGTATGTACTGTATGCACTGTATGTACTGTATGCACTGTATGCACTGTATGTACTGTATGTACTGTATGTACTGTATGTACTGTATGCACTGTATGTACTGTATGTACTGTATGTCCTGTATGTACTGTATGCACTGTATGTACTGTATGCACTGTATGCACTGTATGTACTGTATGCACTGTATGCACTGTATGTACTGTATGTACTGTATGTACTGTATGCACTGTATGCACTGTATGTACTGTATGCACTGTATGCACTGTATGTACTGTATGTACTGTATGCACTGTATGTACTGTATGTACTGTATGCACTGTATGCACTGTATGCACTGTATGTACTGTATGCACTGTATGTACTGTATGTACTGTATGCACTGTATGCACTGTATGCACTGTATGTACTGTATGTACTGTATGTACTGTATGCACTGTATGCACTGTATGCACTGTATGTACTGTATGTACTGTATGCACTGTATGCACTGTATGCACTGTATGCACTGTATGCACTGTATGTACTGTATGCACTGTATGCACTGTATGCACTGTATGCACTGTATGTACTGTATGTACTGTATGTACTGTATGCACTGTATGCACTGTATGTACTGTATGTACTGTATGCACTGTATGCACTGTATGCACTGTATGCACTGTATGCACTGTATGTACTGTATGTACTGTATGTACTGTATGCACTGTATGCACTGTATGCACTGTATCCACTGTATGTACTGTATGCACTGTATGTACTGTATGCACTGTATGCACTGTATGTACTGTATGTACTGTATGCACTGTATGCACTGTATGCACTGTATGCACTGTATGTACTGTATGCACTGTATGCACTGTATGCACTGTATGCACTGTATGTACTGTATGTACTGTATGTACTGTATGCACTGTATGCACTGTATGTACTGTATGTACTGTATGCACTGTATGCACTGTATGCACTGTATGCACTGTATGTACTGTATGTACTGTATGTACTGTATGCACTGTATGCACTGTATGCACTGTATCCACTGTATGTACTGTATGCACTGTATGTACTGTATGCACTGTATGCACTGTATGCACTGTATGCACTGTATGCACTGTATGCACTGTATGCACTGTATGCACTGTATGTACTGTATGCACTGTATGCACTGTATGTACTGTATGCACTGTATGCACTGTATGTACTGTATGCACTGTATGCACTGTATGCACTGTATGCACTGTATGTACTGTATGTACTGTATGTACTGTATGCACTGTATGTACTGTATGCACTGTATGCACTGTATGCACTGTATGCACTGTATGCACTGTATGTAC